TTAAGATAAATTGAGGATTATTACGATGGACATTCGATTGTTGTTAGATAGTTATAGATCCCCCTCTCCCCTTCTACTTTCGAAAACGAGGAAAAATTTCAAAGGAATTTATTTATTTAAAAACATAAATTAAATAGCTCCCGAATTGTGAGACTTGTAGTTTATTAGAGAAAACATTGAACATATATAAATTTATTAGTGATTACATTTTTTAAATCTTAAATTTACATTATTGCAGCGAACCAATGAGGTTTTACACCGTTAGTTTCATAGACACGTCTCATATCCTCATCTAGAAGAACTACACCCCATTAATTATTCAGAATTATTCAATAAGATTTCCCCATCTATGTTTGACACCTTACCTCAAGAATCCTCCCTCAACCCCCCGCCTCAACAAAACCTAAGAACTCCCCCACTTTTCACGTCTACAGCTTTCTACCACAAAAACCTTAGAGACACCTTCACCCCCCACTCTTAGCGTGCACAGCTATGAGAGTTCTACCACAATATTCATCCCCAATCCATGCGTCCACAGCTATGAGAGTTCTACCGCAGCACTCTAGTGCGGTAGAACTCTCATAGTCTATCTACTGAGTTTTCATACTTTCATGTAATAATGTCTTATACAATAAACTTAACTGTTAATAAAAACACCAACAGGCCTTTACTGAAATTGCGAAAAAAATTAACTATAAACGTTTTTGTCACAAATGGTGGCTGCTAACATATGCTAAATATCACAGATTCCTTCAATATTGCATGTCGTTATCAAATGGACTCCAAATTCTGTCATTCAAATTAATTTTATTGGATCTTAATAAATTTATACATCATTTTTGTATTAAAATAAGACTAAGCAACACATGCTTTGTGAAGCTCAGTGTGCTCTTTAATTCTATTTCCAACAAGACATTTTCAAACCTATACTTATTATTATACAAAAGTAAAAACTTATCTGACTCTGAATTAAAGTTTGTTTTCTGGCTGGAGATTGATATTGATTTTCTTATTAAAGTTATAATTTTAGAAAAGTATTGAAAATAAAAATTATTTTCAGTCAAGCATTGAAACAATAGTAATAGAGTGAGATAAATACATTTGATAGCATAGTATGTACAATTGAAAAAATTCGGAACAATTGTGCGAAAAATCATCGATTTCAAGGAATGAAGATGATTCATGATGAAGACTTCTGGGAAAGACGATTAATTTATAATGAAAACTCTAGTTTAATACTATACAATTAATCGACTTAAATTCAATTACACTAATGAAGTACTTAACAAATATTAATTTTACTAAACATTAAATCTTAATAACAATATTAATCACACTTTAGTATTAACCGATTTTAAACTTGGATCATTTACTCTACCACTGAAGAGTATCATATCAGAGCTAACAACTAATATTATGAAGGGTTGATTCACCACAAATTTGATGCTAGAAGTATTACTGCAGCTATGTACTTCTTTCGGACCTATAATAATAGTTAAATATAAAATTTAAATAAAGTCATTTAACATTCTTTTAAATAAAAAAGAAAACTTACAAATATAATTCATTGGAACCTTCCAGCAGCCACCTTCATGGACGTCAATAACAGTTTTCTGTATTATATGACTTATTCTTAAAGGTTTCGATTCCACAACACACTTGAAATCATTACTGTCATTTGTTATATTCGTCAGTCCAAACTAAAATAAAACAATTAAATATTATGAAACTATCGTAATATTTAAAAACAGTACCTAATTTAATTAAAACATTTGAACTAAATTTTGAACGTTCCAGAAAAATTGATCAATATTAAATAACTTACGTCTTCTGGCTTTTCGGCTAAATCGATAACATTTTCAATCCGAAATTTAGGTAAAGATAGTTCGACAACTTCAATTGATGAATTTGCGGTGAGTTGTGAGTATGTAAGCTCATTTAGCCTTTCAACCACTGTATTTAGACTTGTTCCATTTGTTGGAAGCATAATAATCATTGATAAAGAATTATTATCACCACTCTAATAGCAAAAAAAAATGTATTAATATATTTAAAAACAAAATAATTAATGATAATAAATAGGAATGTCATTTTTCTATTACTTCAAAAGGAAGTTCAACGAATTCTGCCTTAAGATCTGGAAGTTGTCCGTAACGGAATTTGTTTACTTGAATCATAGTACATACTTTTTTTGTCGTATTATCATTAACATAAAATAAATTTTTACTGGTAAACTGACGATCAAAAGGATTTGACCAATTTCCACTAAAATATGTTACACTCGTCAGTAACACAGAGGTTGAAGAATTCAAATGATCTATAAAAAATGAAAGCTATAAAATTGAATCTTAATATAAATCAATAAAAATAAATTGAATCGTACTTGAATCTATAAACACTGGAATTTTATCATTAGTACGATTAGAACTCCAATTATTTAATTGTTGGACTGTAGAGTTTATATCTTGAAAATCAATAGTTTGTGGTTCTGATTGAAAAATAATTCCTGTCAATTTTATAAATCTACGATTTACATCCACATCATTTGGTAAATATATTTTATTGGCCATATATATTTCAACACTTGAATTATTAGTTATATTCTGAAACAAATGACAGAAAATTGATTGAAAAGTGTCTTAGTAATAAAGCTAAGTTATCAAAATTGTTTTTATAAACTTACATTGACAGAATCGACAATGGATTTAAAAAGCTTCAAGCGATTGTCATTTGGATAAAAACTAAGATCTAAAACTTTATCAAATTCTTCTTTCATGGGTGAACGACATCCACTTCTAACCATTGCTAGTAATAACGCAAAATTAATTGGAGATAGAGCAACGTTTGATTTATCATCTTTGAGAAGAACTTCTGATAATTTAACTCCGTAATTGAATAAGCTACGTTTTACTCTTCGTAAAGATGTCAATTCGGTATTGTTCATCGGATCTATGGATTTGTCAGTAGATTGATCGGTGAGATCACAATAGGAGTCATTAGACGGCTGTGTCGTCGATACGAGATCTGTTGTTGACCATGTAGTAGTAATTATATCAGGTGATTCAGTAGTCAGTTCACTTGTTGCTCTACATAAAAAAATAATTGAAATAAAATAAAAGTAAACAGTTTTATATCTTCAAATAAATGTGTTTAATCAACTACCTGGACATTAAATATGGTGTAGAACTTGATTCAATGAATTCTAAAGTAGTTGGAGTCTTTGTAGTTTGCTTCTTTTTGCCAGCTTTATCATTAAATATTTCATCATCTTCTTCTTCAGTAGTCATAGTCGGTAATCTTCAAATGTTAACGAAAATATTTAATTACAAATAATCAGAAATATAAGAAATATCTTATGGACAGACACTTACAAAGTAACTCTATATGGAGTTGCATCAGAATATACAGATGATTTTACACTTGAATCAGTAGAAATGTGATCATATTGAGTCGTTAATGTGGAAGCATCCGTCATACTATATTTGACTGTGGTTGATCTATCCTCTTCTTTTTTCTCTGACTTAGTTGATAATCTATAAAATATAGATTAAAAAATTAAATACTTGAAAATATTTGAATTGTTTATAAAATCTATACCCAGTAGTATCGCAAGGATTAGGACTGCTTCGATTATTAGCAGAAAGAGTAGTTGAAGTTTCTATTGTAGTAAATAATGGAGTTGTTATTTTTTCTTCATTTTGGTTTTGAGTTGAGCTACAAAATTAGATAAATAAATTAGTGGATTACAGAAAAAAATATCAAAAAGCTTGACAATGAGTAAGTAATTAGTTACCTGATATAATCAACACTAGTAGTACTTTTTCTATCCATTGTTGATGTTTGAAAAGTTTTGGTGGTAACATCTATTGACAAAGTACTTGTCGATAAACTTTTTGTCGAACTAGTATTATCAGAATTATCTTTGGTTGGAGTATTTTCTTCAGGCACTGTACTTAACTTGTATCTTGGTGTTGATGAACTGATAAGAAATGGATGATAAATTAATGAAGTGAAAATTAATCAATTTCTATTACAAGTTAATAATTACTTTATTTCTATTATGTGATAATCAATTCATCGATCACTCACCCGCTAATCGAAGATTCTGAAGTTTTACTGGATGTTGATGATTGAATAGTAGAGATTGATGGACTCGTAGATGATTGATCACCTGGGCTAACATGTTCTCCTGGAGATGTAGTAGTAGTACCAGAACTTGTTGAAGTTAATTCATTTTCCGTTAATAGTCTACTATCAATACCAGTGGTAGAACGAGGAGAAGTTGTATCCTTTTCAGTTATAGCAGTTTTTTCAGTTGATGATCTGAAAGATAGAAAAATTCATTGCATTTCTCAAGCACACTTAACAGATAAAATTAATCTATCATTATATTTCTTCATTACTCAAGAGCAACAGGAGTAGACATTGTTTTTAGTAGAGGTATATCCTTCGTAGAACCAGAAGATAAACTAGGAGTTGTAGAAAATTCTTTCACATCAATAGTAGTCTGGGTGCTTGAGTTATCTTTCTGCAGACTAAAAAAAATATAAATTACCGTTAATATATTCATTCATCTGTATCGTAATTTTATATTTACTTACTTAGAACTATCAGGTGGATTGGGAGTCATCTCACTATCAGTTATCAACATATTAGTCGATTGTATATTGCTAAAAATGAATTTAACTATGAATATGATTGTATTTTGGTTTAGTTATACTATTTATATTCTAATAAATACCCAGTTATTGGATTAAGTGTAGTGGTTGACGCCAAAGAAGTTGGCATACTTGTGGTCGTTTTTTTCTTGCGAGCTTGATCATTAAATATATCATCATCATCTTCTTCCGTCGTCAAAGTCGTTAAGCTAAAATGTTAGAAACAAATAACATTTTCTTATGTTTTAAAATAAATAATTCACGAGTTTTGAATGTTTCTATTTACCCAGGAGTAGTTGATAGTAAACTAGTTGGTTCTGATACATCACTCACAGTTGTAGCACAAGGAGGTATTGTCACATTAGACTTGATTTTCCAAAAAAACAAGCATAATTGAAATTAATAAAATTAATTCTAAAAACTATTGATATATCTACCTACCAGCTGACACAAATTTAGAATATTTGGATAATTTGTACAAGAACAATTACAACCGGATGATTGAATTTGGTATGTCCCATTACTATTTGTCACTTGAGGAAATGTTGATGTTATATTATTACATCCATTTAATAGCACTAATAGAAATTGGCAAACATGTGGTATCATATTAGAGATTTGTAATCCTTAAAAAAAAAAGAACAAACGAAGTAATCAAAATTATTAAATTTTTTATGCAAACTTTTACTTCTATAGGTAAGATTCAACTGCGAAATTAATTCAAAGACAGAGATTTATACCGCAAAAAATTATACGGAAAGCCCATTGAATATAAAATTTTATCATTAAATATTTTGTATTCAACAATATTAACAAAAAATTATCAAGAATCATATGAAAATGTTTGCTCATATCTAAAACTCTTTATATTATTCAAAAGAGCACGTTTACTACTCCAAAACATTCATGAGTAAGATTCGATTATCGATAAAATGATATAAAAGAATGACGAATATTTGTTATGAAAAAAAAGAATTAAAAAACTTTTTTTTCAAGGTGAAGCACGTAATTTTAGGTGATTTATCAAATAAATAGATCAAGTTTCATTGTTGCACTTGAATGTGCATTTAATATCAACATAATGCTGACAGCAGCTTTAACAGTTTAGTGTAAATATTGTATAATACACGGTGCCTCACGGCGATATTAAAATTACAATCGCTTGAGCATAATGTTTGTATACTTCCTTTATAAATCAAAAACAATGTAACTATTATTTAAGAGGTGACTTTTTGATAATCAAAAAGATTGTTAAAAACTGGCATAAGCAATGCAAGTTACATAGTTCATTAAAAATTGAAAAACTCTTTATTAAAATTGGTAATATAAAAAACTGGCTTTCGTGAATGTTTCGATTGATTTTTGATTATTCATTTTAGTGTTTAACTTTGAGTTGTCGTACAGCATGATAAAGTAATGTGACTTAATATAATTTTTGCTTTATCTATTAAAAATATCTGTTTCAGTATTAAATAGACGATTAAACAAAAAAAACATTGCTCTTTTTCGTCTTTAAATGGCAGAGTATCATTGATAATATTATTAAATACTGGCTGATTGTATGAAACTGCAGTTGTTTCTGTTTTATCACTGAGGATGCTGCTAAGAATGCTTGATTCAATCATCACTATCATTTAGAAGGTAAGACCAGCTTCAGAATACGTAGTGAAGATTTTCTCAATTGAATTTGCATAAGCTGCTGTCCTTAAGTCTAGACCTAAGTTAAACTTCATAGCAGTCTTCATGATGGCCTGTGAATAAATATAAAATAAATAAAATTCTCTTTCCTTACAAAAAAAAAAGCAGTGTCATCAATTTCATGATGATTTTCTTACTCTTGCAGAACGTTCCATAGTATAGTCGAGACCTGAATGGACAATGTCTTTTTCTGAAGCACCAGAGATACGTTTTTGGAATGCTTCTGATGCCGTAACGGGAATACGACCACCAACTCTACCAAACCTACGTTCCAAAGACTCCTGAACAGATTCTGAAATAAAAAATAACGTATATATATTTTTCTACTCAATACATTTTAAAATGCAAATATTATAACACAATCTAAAAATAGAAAAAAGCAAATATGAGTAACCGACAAATTGTTGGCATACTAATGAAACATAATCATCATAAATACCTAATAAATGATAATTAGATTCCCTTTCGTATTTGAATGTGAGACGTCCGTAAGAAACATGATTTAAGTTTTTAAGCCATTCGAAAAAGGAAACGGTGACACCACCAGCATTAATGTACAAATCAGGAATAACAAGAACGTTTCTTTCAATAAGTATTTTATCAGCCGCAGGCGTTGTCGGTCCGTTAGCAGCCTCAGCAATGATTTTCGCCTGTCCAAATAATTAAACATTACTCCAAACGCAGATAATAAAAATAATCTCACGTTCATTCTTGTGCAAACTATTTTATCAGTACATACTTGAATTTTTGCAGCGTTATGTTTGGTTATAACTTTCTCAGTAGCAGCTGGTACAAAAATATCGCAAGGTTCGTACATAAGGTTTTCACCAGTGTATGGCTCTGCACCAGGGAAACCAATGATTGTTCCATTTTCAATTCTGTAGTCTTCAAGAGCTTTAGGATCGATTCCTTCAGGGTTAACAATAGCGCCATCATGCTCTATTACTCCCGTACATATAGCACCAGCACGATGTAGATACCTCATTGTATGAAGACCAACGTTACCAAAACCTTGGACGATAAATGTCTTACCACCCCATCCTGGGGTTGTACCAATCATTCCCATATAATTTGCTTCATTAATGAAATTCTCCAAACCATGGAAAACTCCTCGACCAGTAGCAGATATACGACCATGAATACCTCCTTGATTGATTGGTTTCCCAGTAACACAGGCATGGGCATTGATGTCTTGGTGTCCAATAGTTTTGGCATAAGTATCAGCAATCCAGGACATCTCTCTTTCTCCTGTTCCCATATCTGGGGCAGGTACATCAACACCAGGTCCTATAAAAAAAATAACATGTAAAATAAAGATCATTAGAAAATTACAATTCAGTAAATTATTAGCAGCCAATGAAAAATGTTCACCAATCTGTACAATTATTTGTGTTGATTAGCTCACTCAAATGCCATAAAAATTATTCATGATTACATAATTCCAATAACAGTATATTTCTAATCTTTGTTTACTATGAATACAAAGTCTAACTACTCTATCTATAGAGTGTTTAAAATAAATTCATAAAGTTCTAAAAAGAATTAGAAATTTTCTGAAAATGATAATTATTTTAACATAACTATTATATTGACTTCATAAATATATTTAAAATTCTATCAATACATCAACGTTCAATTCTTTTTATTTCACAAAGTGAATAATGAGCGTGATCGGATTTGATAGATTTATTACACCAAGTATAGGTGTATTCCGCCTTATGACCTCAAACAACTTTGATAATTATTATCTCAAGTAATACTGAATTGAGTGAGATTTGATCAAGTATGAACTTGACTTATTCAAACTGATTACATAAATATTTTCAGTTTATTTTTCAATGTTAAAAGGTATTATTAAAGTTTGAAAAGGACAAATATCTATTAAAAAAAAATTCTTTACAAAATCCATTGACGTCATTATGATTAATATACCGTTTGTCAACTATTTTAATAATATTTTAAATTAATATTAAATATTTTTTTAACATAAAATCAAAACGGGTATTTCATTTAAAAATAGTTTCAGTAATATGCAAAGAATATTTATGTAATTTTCTTAATTGTTGTAAAACATACTCTCCTCGAAAACACAATTGTATATTGAATGCATAATAAATCATATAATTGTTTTATTTATCTAAATACTTGTCGAAGAATCGACAATTATACTAAATAGTAGCTCTATATTAAGTTAAAAAACATTTTTAATTACATCTAGGCGTGATTTTGTTAAGTAACATTTAAAAATAAATAAAACATTAGCATCATCATTATCTTTATGAGTCATTTTAGTATTTTTCGCTTGAGTAAATATTAAAAATTTTACTGTCACAAGATTGAAGTAATATTAGCATCGTCTAATCATGAAACAAACTAATAAAGATTAGTATATAACTTTTTCATGATATCTTATTCAATTTCTTGTAATTAAAAGATTATCATTGGTCCCAAAGAAGAAAATATCTTCAGTTTTTATCACATAAAAAAAAATCTTACCAATAAAACCTTTCTTTGCCATTTCTAAAGTAAATCGACGTGTAATCTGTTCTAATTCATGTTCAGAGTATTTTTTAGGATCAATCTTGATTCCAGCTTTAGCACCACCAAAAGGAACATCAACACAAGCACATTTGAAAGTCATCAGAGCAGATAAGGCTTTGACTTCATCCCTGTTTACATCCATAGAAAATCGAATACCTGGAAATTTAAGGATAAAAGAGATTATTGAACTGAAAAAGAATTGATAACATCAATATTTTATTCATTTGATTGCTATCATCCTAATCAATGATAATTAACATCCGGTCTTTATAAAAAAAATATGATTAAATTCAAAATACACTTATTATGAAAAATGTGCTTTATCAATTAATTTGTTCATGATATCAAAGAAAAAAGAACAAGTATGCGTACTTTGTCCAGAATTAAATAAATTTGTGGTAATGACTCATGGTTGCCAATCATTTTATTTTAAAACATCTTCAAATATCTTAACTTTTGGTACTTGCTTTCGTTCATGCTAAAAATGTACAGATCAAATGATTAGTCAATGATTGACCCATTCAGAGTAGACGGCATGGCACCAAATAGCTTTCGTAACTTTTTTTGGCTGTCTCATGAACTAGTAAATCACCTGGCATTTTCATCTCATGTCATATAATTCTAATTAAATAATATCATCGTCTATCGAAATAACTGTGTATCAAAAATATACCTCTTAAAGTATTTGTCGTTAATTTTTAAACATATTCATTCTATGTAATCTAATCCTGATTGATGATAATTAAATCAATTGTTTCATAATATTTTAACATTTAAAATGTTTATTTTAAACAGTCAACAAATTGATAATAAAACGGAAAAAGGGTAAAATTAATTTTTACGTAATTTTAGTGATATAAACAAGTGTTTACTCATCTTCGATTTGAAAAGGAAAAGAGTTCCCGTTTATTTATAACGTTGAGGCGGTTACAAGGCTCTCGTGAGAGTGAAGCTATACTCGTTTAACATAAGAGCTTAACCCGCTTTTATTGAAGCTTAAGTTAAAACTTCTGACCTCAATCTTTGTTAATAAAAATGTAAAAAATATTTCAATTATTAATTAATGACAGTTATCAATATTTATTGACAATTAATTAAAACAAACGATAAAATGTTTACTTAACTGTTGGAAAAATATGTAAATAGTAAAAATAGATGAACTAGGTCATCACAGTATTTATTCTTTTTTTATTTCTAAGATTATGAAGTAGTGAATAATTGTAAGTACAATTTAATATAAATTCAAAGGTTATAAAAATGTTACAGAGAAAAATATCGTATCAAAAATAAGGAGGAAATGATAATACCCAGAATAGAGTAGATAAATAAGCTTAATTATTTCAATTGACTGCCAAAAAGAGCACGAGAGTATAATTGAATCATCGCCACGTGTTATGGCAAACAATTCATGACGTTGAAAAAATATGAAGCCATTTTTATTTATCATAATGAAACCAGAGACTCATGAGAAATATTTTCACATTTGAAAAGAACTAATTGTAAAAAAATAAAATTAATACAATATATCATATCAAATTCAATTCCAAATGAATAGTAACAACGCATTTGAAATGTGAAAAACTGAATTAATAAGAATAAAATTTATAGTATCACTACTATATATTTCTATGATAAAAAATTACATTCAATAAAGACATCTGGTTTATCTTACCAGCTGCGGTTTTAATTTAAAAATCAAAAATTTCGATTTGAGATAACAACAATTGAATTAACAAACATACTCTAATTTAAGATAACAAGTCAATACTGTGAAAATACAATAGAAATATCTCAAAATATATAAGAATAATACAATAAACTGTGTGCATGGGTCAGAAAAACGACTGTTCTATTCAGGAATGGAGTTCTATTGAATCTGCAATAATCCGGAAACATCCTGTTGTATAAATTAATTTACTATGATTGTTTTTTATGAGATTAATTTTACGATTGAAATCCAATATCCGAATGTCAGCGAGTTAATATTGAATATATTGATAGCTTGATAGTAGAAAGAAAAAAATTCATAACAAAGAGATATTTGAGCACAAGCAAATAAGTCTGTCATTGTATTTATCGTATCCGTACACAGGACTCTTGTATCAATATTTCTCTTGACCTTGTTATTAACTTGATGAATTATCACTGTCACTTGTCTAAAGTAGGCAATTATGAGCTTAAGAATTTAATTAGTTTCGAGGGAAAAATCTGATTCTGAGCCATTTTCTTCAACATTGCTTTCTCTCTCAAGTGTATAAAATGAGCAACATGAAATAAAAAAATAACTATTATATAGTAAAGTATCATTTTTATGTGAAAAATTAAGAAAAAAACCCACCGCCTTTGCAAGGTGTTCGATGAGTGGAATGCTGAGCCCTATAACCAGTAATCATCTCATAATCTCCAGAATCTAGTCTGATAGGGAAAGTTGTTTCCAAAATATGATCGCAAGGTTCCATTAATGTTAAAATTCCTTTAACTTTCTTCTTTTTTTCATCAATAGTCATCCTTGATCGTTTGCCAACATCTTCAACCAGCTTATCTTCAATAACTTGGCAGGCGCGATGGAAAAAGTACTCGACCATGTTGAAAAACTTAGGGTTGTCAGCTGTGGGAATGTCCTTTAAACGATCCGGGATTTGATGTTCAGCATAGCCGCGGGTTTGAATCGCCGCCGGCACAACACGCGTTAAGATTCCAGGAATGTCAGCAACCGGCACTTGCTTCAGTGGTCCTTTGGACCGGACCATTTTATTTAGATGATACATTTTCGTGTATGGTTCTCACAAGATAATGAAGCAAACAGAAATTGATTATTTTTTAGACAATTAATGTTATCTTTCACGTATTTATAAATGCTGTTACTCCCACTCTATTTCTTATTCACACTCGTTCGCGCGACTAAACGAACCCGCGATACACGACGCTGATCGAAGACACAGTGTAAGTGACGACGTATTATCAGCTTCGCTAATGACGACAAGTGACGCTCACGTGGTCCCACGTATCCTAGATAGCGGCTAGAATTTTAGAGATTGGGAGAAATGGCATTAATTCAAAGTGGAATAAAATGTATTTCTGACTTATAACTCATATGAAAATAGAAAAATACTTATTTAAAAAAATTCACAAAACACAATGGAAATGATTCATTTATGATTCAAGACGTTATTCTTGAATAATAATCAATTGAAAAAATAAATGGGAGAAGTGCACTTTCTATGAAATTAATCGCCATCAGCGATTGTCATGACACCTAGAAATGTCAAAATTACAGTAATAATCAGCGAAAAAGACCCACTGATTTTAGCTTTACCAACTGAGCTTTGATCAATGTTCATATGTAAAAAACGTGTATGGAGAAGTTATTTTGCACACGTGACAATATATGACATCTCTTTAAATTAACATTCACTCATTAAACTCTATTTTTTATTGGAGTAATATCCTTGTATTCATGTAAATAAATAAAATCGTTCCTTGACCTATTTCTATAAAATGTTTTGTTTCCATTGAAATTTTCTAGTGCTGAACTCTGTAGATGGCTCGACTATACAAAGTCTTCAGGTTTACTGGTATTCATATGCGCAATACATGTTTGAAATTACACACATATAAAAATACAAGTGTTACAGTATTTATCAGATTCGTCTTGGATTTTAATATAGGTAATGTTATCTGTTTAAGTGTTGTTTGACATCTTCTAGAAATAATAACTGTGAGAAATAAGGTGAACAACTCTTGAAATTCAAGTAAATTTAAAGAATTTTCAATTTACTGCAAAAATGGATAGTCCTTTGCCTCATATCACAGAGAGCAGTGACTTTGCTTATACAAAGCCGAAAGACAGGTTAGTAAACATGTTGGATCAAATTGAAATACGAGTCGAAAAATTAAGAAGAGAGGCATCCAGACTCGAAGAAGAAAAAGATATAATGCTTACAACTTTGGATACTTTGAAGAATAATGAAGAAATCCTCGATTCTCTCGAAGAGCGTAAGTTTAAATCTTCTAATTTTCTAATTTCCATTGCAAAAGTAACGTTTGAAAACGTTCGACCCCGACCCATAAAAAATTTCTAGAACAATCACGAACTTATATCAATTTGATTTATCACTTACACTATTTATTTGTCACACATTGAACAATTTTGTTTTGATTCATAGCTGATCGTGATGATATCCTTCGATATGCCGAAAGACTTTCAATGAGATGTTTAACTGTTGAAGTTTTAGTGAAAATCCAACGTGATAGCATTCAGCAAGAAGCTTTACATCAGGTAATAATAAAAAAAAAAGAAGGTGAAAAATACGATTTTGCTATTGACATTGTTGTAAAATTAAAAAGTTTCTACTGGCAATTTTACACGGGTAAATTGTAAATTGGCTTCTTATTTAACAAGTCCTTGTTAGTTTTATTATCTAGTCATTTGATTAGATACTACGTGAAACATTTGTATCTTTGTTCAAGTTTTAATTACTAGAAAAAATGTTCAGTAAACAGAATAAATCATTTATCGAGTTAATATAATTCCTCTTTTCTAATGTTATATAGCATGATTTTTTGATTTCAGGTAAATGGATTAATTGACAATTTAGTGATAAGTTTAAAGAGCGATCCAAGTTCAACTCGTCAACGTTGTGCCGCATTTATGAATGCATGTTCATCATATGGAGTAGGTCATTCAGATAAAAATTTTGAAACTGCAATTCTTGGTTGTACCTTGGATGATCAAAAGCGGATCAAAAAAAGACTCCAGGGTTTATTAGACTACATTGATTCAATGAACACTATAGAGATGCAGTGAGATTTCATGAATTTGCATTACTAATGACGCTCGAGTTCTAAAAAACTTATAATCTAGTAATTCATTACTAATTCATTATTTCGAGTTGCTTTCACTGTCTTAGGTAAGATAGTATTGAAAATGATAATTATTTGAAAAACTTGTCTTCTGATCACGAAAATATTCCAAACTAATCAAAAATCCAACATTAGAACAACTTTATATTAAAGTTTCCCTTATATACATGTCACTGAAAAGTAGACTAATTTAAGTATTTTTTGAACTGTGTAAAGATCTTTTTATTTGTACCAATTTTTATATGAAACTTGTCATTTTTATAATGGAATGCTATCTGCAGCTTTATTTAGCTTTCGTGATATTAAAAAAAACAAAACAGAAAAATTAGATTACAAGTAATAAGAATATAGTATCAGAGAAGACGCGTATGAGTGTTGTACGATGTTGTGTAGCACTCAACAAACCGGCCATTGACTCTCATCAACGCTCAAGGTCTTGTGAAAGGTGAAGGACATTTTATGTACACACCTACAACGTACTATTTCGATGAAATACTCAAAAATAATGAGTCTAAACACTTATTTTCATGCGCATAAAATAATAAATTATCCACTAAAATCAGTCATTGAATATTGATGTAATTTTTCTTCTATTTCTTTATGTTATGTTATGTTAGTTGATATTAATAAAACATGATGAATGAAAATAAAATGAAATTAATAAGTTACTTAACTTATTTTATTTGGTTAGATATCGTACATTCACCAAGTTAGAATAATATAGCAGTAATTCTTTAATAAAATACATACATATGTACAAATAGAAAAAACAAAGTTTCTAGATCATAAAACCTCGACTTAGGTATGTTGCTGTAATACTCATAAAAAATGAAATGACTTTTTCTTTAACCCTTTCGCAGCCAGTGACTATTATAGTGAATATCACACTCAGTTTTATTCATGTGATTTGGATAAAAATAATTAAAATGTCTTCTGGTAATTTTCTTTATAATTAATAAGAGTGTCTGAGGCTAAATTAAAGGAATAAGAAATCTATTCTGAAAGGGTTAAAGTATGATATGTATTCAAGTTTTGTAAATTAATATCTGATTTTGATTGTTCTAACAATTTATTCTGTTATTAAATATAATCATCAAAATTACAAGAGCCTACACGCATTCTTGATAAAGTTCTTCTTTTTATGATGTCGAGTTTTACCACCAGGTCGTAAAACAATTGTTCCGTTTCCCATGTTACCACCTGTACATTCATTTGGGCTAAAAGCACCTGAAAAATGAAAAGTAACAATATTTGCATAGAAATCAAATAACTTATTTAATCATATTATCATTAATCTATGTCAAAGCTCTTATCATTAATGGCCTAGATCATGATTTCTTTGTATTCTATGTGACTAAGATTTTATATAATAGTGAAATGCTTGATTGTTAACATTAATTTATGTAATCAAACTAGAGAATCTCAATGTCTTGAAAATACAGTCACTTGTAAATGCTATTTTTGGTGTTTGTAGACTTGGAACTATTGATTTTGGTGCGTGAAAGTCAAGAAGAGAATTAACAATGACTCTATTATGTTTCTAGAGATTATCATGTAAAAAAATAAACAAAACATTCTTTAAAAATTATTGACAATTTTAAAAGTGGTCGTGGGATAAACTTGTTATTATCTTTGTTGTGGCTGGAATGTACTACCATTTATGCCAACAAGAATTTCTCTACTGTACTTGTCGCGCGAACAGCTCGGGAAAAAGTAGCTAACCAATTGATCGGCTCTTGTTTCAAGGAGAGACCAAGAGCCAAGATATCTACCAGACATTTACTGAGTCCAGTCTTTAGTGTATGTAAGCTGTATTTCCTTGAACATATTCAGATCTACTGATGCATTATTTATAATTAAACGACCGGATACACGTCAGGTTCTAGAGCACGCAATCAGACATTATACACGAAAAGATAAAGAAATATATCTATTTGTATCATTATTCTTATTATCAAGATAAATAAAACTTACTGATCACTGAGGGCGATCTTGGGCCTGATGAGTATAATCTTAAATCATCTTGGAAATCATCTTCACATCTACGCATCTCTATTAGACATCGTGAGGCAAGATATCTAAATACACTGGCAACACCCACATCTTCTTTGACTGATGTTCGTAGGAGTTTACATCCTAGAGCTCGACCTAATCTTTCTGCTTCATTTCTTCGAAAAGAAAATAAAAAAAATTATAATTAATTGAATAAGAAAGAACGTAAAATAAAGCAACAACTATTATATTTATCAGAAATCAGAACTTACGAATCTATCTGACATTGATCAACAAGATCAATTTTATTTTGCACCAAGACAGTCGGAATTTCCCCGCACTCATTTTCTACCTGGAAGAAAAAAAACAAAGAGAGAGTAGAGAGAAATATTTGATGAAAAAGGAGAGAAAATTAGAAGAAAAAACTCACCTTGAGTTTCCAAGCAGGTACAGCATCGAAAGAATCTCTGTCAGTTGCTGAATAAGCTAAAACACATGCATGTGCACCTCTATAATAAGCAGCAGTGATTGCATCAAATTCTTCTTGGCCTGCTGTATCCCATAACATCAGTCTTACAGTTTCTCCATCAACTCTATTAACAATAATTATTGAATTATTGTGTTTAATTGAATGCAAAAATCATTTTATTTCTAATAAATATTTCAAGACTTTGATCATAATCCTCAATATTATTTTTTCCTCTGATTTAATATTAAATTTATGATAATTTCATGACATTTACTACTGTTTTTACATGTATAATAAAATATTAACGAGCATTAAAGCCTTATTTATTGACTTAGAATTAAGTGAATAATAATCTCACTCAATTTCTCGCTCCAAAAAATCAACTCCAATAGTTTTCTTGTAGTCTTTTGTATAAGTTCCTTTACAAAATCTCTGAATCATCGAGGACTTGCCTACGGCACCATTTCCCACTATGACTACCTGAAATTGATTACAACGTGTACTTAAATTGATTGGTGTACTGGTTCATAAGGGATAAATGGGGAGGAATAAAAATAAAGCATTCCATTAATATTCGAAAAAAAAGGAATATTATAAAAGAAAATATGCATACCCCTATTATAATAAATAAAAATTACCAAGTATTCATGATAAATTACCGTAATATGACGTTAAAACCCGACGTCATTTATGTTTTTAATTGGACATAATCTTCCGTAAAAAACTATAATTTCTAATGAAAAGACTAATTGATACTTTCAAGTAACCTTTTTGTAGTGAATAAAAAATTAAATGGAGTAAAGTTAGTCATCTAATTTAAAGTAGTAATTAACAAAAGGAATTATGAATTAATTTTAAGCAATGAAAAATCATAAATTTATTGTTTTACAAATAAGAATCATTTTCTTAAGCTGGGAAAGTATATATCTTATTTTATAAACTCATCAAATAAAGAAAGTCATGAATGATTTGAATACATTTAAAGAATCAATTTCATAAAGAGCAATATCTCTATAGCTAAGTTAAACTTTCTCAATAACAAGATTATTTCCTTTAATAAAGTCAATGACTCGGACTTTTTTTTCAAGTGCTAAATTGTCCACAAATATTATATGATTATGTATAATAGTAACGGTGAATTGGCCACGCGCCTGAGAAGATATGTGTATACATAGTCGTTAAGGAAAGGGGACTTAGGGTCTACCAGTTTTGTCTACTTAAAAAAAACCGGTCCAAGTTTAAATCAGGAAAATTACTTGAACTGCATCTTCCACATGATTTTCTGGTGATTCCGTTACATTATTTGATTGACTAACTGTATAATTTATAAACGAACGAATAAGAAAACCTATAAAAAGCTATCGACAGGTATAAGAATGCACTCATTGTCCAAGGATCTTGAAGTTCTTCAAGCTGTGTACAACTTGTGGGAATTGGTAGACTGAGTATATAACATGAGTACCGTTAAAGACATACAATGAAGAAGATGAAGGATGAAAAGTTTACCAAAAAGTCTTCAATTATAATGAATAATGTAATATAATAAACCCGGTGAATTAAATTTTAAAAAATTTTGATGGGTTATTATGGAAAAAAAAAGAATCAATAAGAAAAACCAGTTTCTCTAACACTATTAGCGTTGAAACCTGGAAGAAGAGTAGGGGGAATATAATTTGAATAAAAAATGAAGGGAATTTGATGGCAGCAGGCGAAGAAATACTGTGGATTGATGTAAAAATACCTTGAGTGATATCTCAAGCTCTTCCTCTCGCATCCTGATTGCACCTTGTTTTTCATATCCAATTTTAAATTTATGATTTTAGAAACACACATACACTTAAACTTAACTATTATTTGTTACATTGTTTTCAGCTTATCAATGTATCCTCTGTAAATTACGAGATTGTTCGCGTGCCATGGCCGTGACTGAAAGCCAAACGCCTTTAGGTCGATGCACTTTCCAATTCATTAAATATGTTTAAGAAAATCTTAAATTATTACATTCACTTTTGTATAAAAAAAAAAGAATTATCAATGAAAAAATAATCTTGGCACAATCAAATTTGAAAAAGTGGACACGTGCGATTAGGACGCGCGAATTCGACTGAATGTAAGAGCGGACTGTGTCTGCGTTGCCGGCCAATCCAAGGCTGAACTAGCACCTGTCGTCTTGTTATTTACCTGCTGGAATCGGCCACCTGGTAATCCGGTCTAGGGAATTCTGGGGATATTAACGATCCACGACACTAAAAAAAAAACGTACAGGACATGTTTAAAATGCTAGAAGATATATATAGTTAATCGATAAAAATATAAAAACATACCTAACAAGTTTTATTTTACAACGACAAGATGAATAAAATGCATCACATTATTATTTATATATTTAAGTATTATCATTATTTATTACTTGCTAGACGCTAGTTGAAAAGGGAGATTTTTAAATTTATAATTTGCCTTTAAATAAAATGGATGTATTATTAAATCAGTAGAATTTTTTTTACTCGATTTCAATCAATAAACTGAATTTATGTCTTTATAAGATTGTAATTTGAAGGATAAAAAAAGAAAAGATAATCAATATTCATATGTACAACTACTAAAATTGTAATTTAGAAACTTCCATCTGATAATTAAAAATTTGATGAGTAATTCTACTACCCTCGAAATTCCTAGAAATTAACGGAAACTCATCATAAATAATGGATTAACTTTCCTTTTTTTTTATATATTTATAAAAAACTATAAAATTAATTCGAACCCCCTGTAATCAGTAAAAAATCGCTTGGAAGTTCATTATAAGATTAGACAAACAAAATAATGATTATGACTAAGCATTAGAGAAATATAATCGATTGAAAATTCGAAGTAATTTTTTCAACTTTTATTACATATACAATATAACTAATGAAAATTAATAGTAATAATAATTGTAATGATTAATAATTAATAGTAAAAAAAGGAGGCCATCAAATACAAAAGACGATCTATCAGAAACGATTTCACTTATTTGATAATAAACTTTGTATAGTTGCTAATTTAAAAAAATATCGATGTTCGTTGGACGATATTTACGTCTTATCTGCACAGTACACATATTTTTATTTATTTATATATTGTGCTATCGAGAACGGATGAAAAAATATGACTATTGAAATATTTCGAATGTCTAAAAGCACTTATATAAACATAATCGACGAATATACATGTCAAGAAGTTGAAAAGATGATAGCGAAGTTGTAACAATAGAATATAACAATGCAGTCAAGTATTTGATTATTTTTTTTGGTAAAACTTGGTAAAAATCTAAAGCATTATTTAAGTAACGCAATATAAAAAATATTCATGTATATGAAAGTAATGTATAAATCACCTATAATTATTTATTATTTTATTTGGAAAATAATTGTGTGAACTGGTCAAAGCTTAAATACTTGTTATTCCCGTTCTCGACTTGTTATTCGTTTCTTGACTTTAAAATTCTTTACTTGGCAACATATATATGAGAGGTGAGTAAAGAAAACCTCTCAAGTATTATTAAAAAGTTTACGAGAAAAATGACTACATTTCGTTGAAAAACGGTTAAACTATATTTATGTTGCAATAGTAATTCCTGTTTCCTTAATTACAACTTTCAATAGGAATTTGGTTAAAATATAATCATTTTTCAATAAACTTATTAATTTTGAATCCAAATTATTATCCTTACAAATTATTACATTTCTTCATGATTTAAATACACATTGGCGTTGTCTGTTTAGATAATATTTCCTTATATCTAATATAAAACATTATAATTTCTAATTTTTTTTTCAATCTACATTAATACTATTAAATATATTTATCTGCTATGCGCCTACACGCATACATACAATTGTCATTATGTATACAATATTTATAATTGTCATTGTTTTCGCTTTTATGAAATTCTATCAATGATTCGTCGAGATGCAATTGGTCGTAAAAAGTGTTTTCATTAAACTAAAAAATTCAAATGCTGTTCGTCTACTTTATACAGATAATGTAAAAAATGACAAATAAACTATTGATCACATTCTAACAATTTTTGACTTACTCTCATTTATAAGAATATTTAACAGTGCATTCTTGGAAAGTTATATAAGCTGTTTTATGACATTTCTCATGAAATAATTTTTCAACAGCGTTAATTTAATTAATGAGCAGCTTCATCTCATGAAGTCAATGTTTTGTGTTAATACACTGACCGGAGTGTTAACATAAAACTTAATAAAAACTTAAAATATATTTACCAAAGTAAAGTTTATAAATTATTTATATTTATATAATCGTCGTCGTTTTTTCACTTGGACGGACCGATTTAAAATCATTTTGTAAAATTGCAACAGTAATTAAAGAGTTAAATTGCTTTGATTAGGATATACATTTAGAATAGTAATATATACAATTTCTATTTAGAAAATGTTAATAACACAAAATTTCATGAAATGTTACTATCATTTATATAAAATCCATTAAAAGGAATGATTGCATTGAAAAAACTCCAGTGATTGATTTCCGGTCAGTCTGATGGACTTTATCGTAAATTAAGAAGACTGAATGATATTGTTTTCAATATAATTGTTATTTCATGATTCTCAAATTCAATTGCATATTTTTTACATCACTCTTTTAAAATTATCCGTTAATAATAGTGTAAATTATTTGAAATATATTTTTAATTGTGTATTAAAATTCTTTCCCTCAGTCTCTCTATATCACGCATTCATTCATTCAGCTTTTTCGCTCATTATATGGCAGCCAGAATATCATTTAAACAAATACAAGATAATAACTGCGACGTTAGAAAAATAAAGATTACCATATCGATCCATGATTTTGGTAGTCACCAGTAATCTGGACAAATATTGTATTTATGTTGTATCTTTTGACAAGTTTAAACAAGTTTTTATATAATTCATGACATGGTGAAGATTAAATATTTTATAAAAGTGAACCTCAATATGCAGATGCTTCTTTATATTCAGAACCCTCCATAGTAAAGAAATCTTCAAGTTTCCACTGCAGAGTTTCAAAAGTCGGCCTCTTCATTGGATCTTTATTCCAACATTCTAACATGATATCATAAAGTGCTGGAGGACATCCAGGTGGACAGGGCATTCGATAACCATGTTCTACTTGATGTAATACTTCAGCGTTTGTCATACCTGCATAATAACAATCATGGAAATTATTATCAAATAAATGAATTATGTATTAAGTCATAACAATTTAGCAATACATTCCATTTGTCTTTTTATCTTATAGATTGAGTTTTTTGTCTAATGTATTCAATAATCAACCTAAATTACAAATTAATTTAGTTTCTTTAATAAATATCTCAATTGTATTTGTCTAATCATGTGTAAATTACTAAGAAAATTAAGCTGTTAGTTAAATATAAATGTATAATAATTATATTAATAGGTATAAATATAATACTTTCATTTAACCACAACTTTCCTGTATAATTATAACACTTAACCAGTAATTGATTTTCTTTTTTCATTCAATAATGAAAAAAAGAGAAAAATCATTAAATGGAATGATGGTAATTCAAAAAAACAAATGAAATGAAAAGAGTAAATATCTAAAACACTTACCGGGGTATGGGATACGTCCATAAGTAACAAGTTCAGTCAAGAGTATACCAAACGACCATACGTCTGATTTAATACTGAATTTACTGTAATTAGCAGCTTCAGGAGCTGTCCATTTAATTGGGAATCTTGCACCAACTCGTGCTTCATACTCATCTTCTTTAATTAACCTCGCTAAGCCGAAATCAGCAATCTTGACAACGTTTCCATCCGCTACCAAAACATTTCTTGCAGCCAAATCCCGATGAATATAATTCTGCGACTCTAAATATGCCATACCAGCAGCTATTTGTGCAGACATATCAATCAATTGCTGGAGCTTCAATCCTCGACCCTTTCCTAAATGTTCATTTCACATTATTACTTTATATTACATCTATATTAAGCCTTATCAACTAATCTGGCTGTGCTAAGTTCATTTTAACTGTTCATTTATCATTCATTCATTCACATATTAAATTTTTTATCAAGATAATTTTTTTGTAATACGTTAGCTAAATAGTGATAAAATATTGATTAAACTAAGTTGCACATACTAAAAAAATTAAACTTTGAAAGTATTTTTCCTATACTTATACGGTCATTAACATTTAAATTTGAGAGCAAATGACAAATTTAAATTATTTAAATAAAAATGGGACAATTTATCAAATAAAACGATAAATATTAATGGTTTTTATGTTCCAATGCTCCAAAACTAGATTTTATGAGAAAATAAATTTTCTAAATTACCATAATGGATACCTGATTATTAACTAATTAGTTTAAAACATGATCAATAATTAAATTATGATTAAAGCAACCTCAATCTAGAGATTCATGTGCTTCAGATTTTACGTTTTGTGTTGCAGATAATACAACTAACTAACTAGAAAAACGATAGGGAAACCTGCATGAGCTACTTTTATGCTTAACCAGTTTCTAATCTGCTTCAAAGTAACAAACTCTTCACGTACAGACTACTTTCATACTCAATTATCTATTCATAAAATAAAATTCAAAAAATCACAGTCACCAGCATAACTCTTAGATCGTATATTAGGACCTCAACACTATCTTTATATGACAAGAATTGAATTATAACGTACTGCTATTACCTTGCAGAAACTCAAGAAGACTTCCATTTCTCATGAGTTCTGTGATGATATAAATGGGTTCTTCCATAGTACAAACAGCATACAATTGGATAAGTTTATCATGACGAAGTTTCTTCATGATCTGAGCTTCTGCCAAGAAGTCCTTTGGATCCATAGTGCCTGGTTTGAGAGTCTTAATAGCCACGGGGGTAGTATTGTTCCATAGGCCCTCCCACACTTCGCCAAATTGTCCCTGGCCAAGTTTCCTCACGAATTTCAATGAAGAACGATCGATCTCCCATTGATCGCGTGTTCGATGACTTAAGCCCTCGGTTACGGGTTTCTCCACCTGTTAACAAAAATAAGTACGGCCAGTCAATCGCTGATAAACTTGAACAATTATTAGTTGTGTGCTTCAATTAATTAACATTGTATGAATGAGTTGGTAATGTGTAAAGCATATGAATTGTCTGACGTTTCTCACCTTAGATATATATACAATGCACTACAAACGTATTTTCGAAAGCTAGTTAAATAATGCGAATATAAGCATTGAAAAAAAAATATTTAAACATTTGATATATTTTTAACTTTTACACGGATTTTTTTTTTTTTATTCATTACATGTACACGTAATAGGAACTGGAAGTTGATTGAGACGTATAAAATAGCACCATTCGTATAATACAAAACATAAGTATGTTAACATCACAATTAACTGTTAATAATATACTCAGTATAAGATTAAAATTTAATCAGTCGTCGTAGTCTTAATGTTATTTTTTGAATAAAAAATCTAAATCTCCAAGCACAAGCAGGACTACATGCCATTAGTAATCAACTTGAAAATGTATCAGAAAATATATAAATATTTGTATTGATACACGCTATTAAAGCAGTTTAATGAATATTGTGAAAAACAATTTTTGGTCTTTTGAATCTTGAGAAAAATATTTTGGCACGAATAATGCTTGTATCAGCAGCTTTTTCAACACAAAAAAAGATTCAAAAGACTTAGAATTATGAAAAAGTCATAAAGAAGTCTTATGTTAAAGAAAATTAGATATTTGTCAAGACTGCTCTACGATTTTAACACAATAGTGTAATACTGCGGTTTACTGCTTCAATAACTGCATCTAAGAAAAACTCTTATAGTATAAAGTGGATGGAAACTGGACATTTTTCACGAATTCACCAAGAGCATTGAAAAATGTTACTTTCTAGATACAGAGAGCATATTTGAAGATGAATTTTGATTGAAAGATAGAATGACTACATCTAATATTAGTGTCCATAGATTGTAAGCACCCATTGCATTAGATGAATATAATACAATATGATGAAATACGAGATGGGTAATTTTTATGTTTTCAATTTGTCTCCTAGCGAAATCATTATCCCTAATTTCTTTGGAACATGATGCCATATAATACGGGCTTGTGCTTTATTGTACATATATATAGCAGAGTGGACGGATGTACAAATGGATAAATGAAATAGAATGATTATTTTTACAAAATTAAAAAAAAGATAATTTTACAGAAGAAAAAGAGACAAAAAAGGTAGAATGTGAAACATAAAACAAATGCCAGTAATTATTTCAATAATTCGGACATTCAATTTACCAAGAAATTCCAGCGGGAAGTAGGGCAAGCCATAACAGAGAAAAAAAATATTGTCTAAATCAGAGATCCAACTTCACAAATCCACTTTTTTTTTTAAAAAATTATCAAATTAGATAAAAGCTTTCTAAGTTCCCTTGTTCTTATTTATTTGTCTTTATAAAATTTCACAGTGTTAAACTGTTTTTTACTTACTGATCTTGAGAATGATGAGAGTAAAACTTTCGAGTATAAAATCGCGCTCGAGCGTTACTCACGAAGTTTTCAAGTAAAATTTCACAAAGATTTTCATTTATAATAGGGACAAGTTCATCTTTTTCTTTTAAACTGGTTTTAAAAAAATAATCAAGATATTTTATATTACCTGCACGCATGGTTTGCAGAGATTAACACAAAGACCATCAGCTTCTTTACTATAATGCTCCACTAGGTCCTGAAGGTTTCTAAATGTAGTTCGTCGAGCGATGAAAAATCCTCCTTCATCCAATTGACGAATTCGATAATGTTTAACTGTGTCGCCATCACGAACTGAAATTTATACGATGCGTTAATAAGTGTATATAATTATTATTGAGCAAGAAAAAATTAAAATAAACTATGGAATAATACATGAGTATTATATTATTGAGTTATTACCAGAAAGTGAATAATCATTATGTCTGCTCTCAGAGTCACGAATCAAAAAAGCTCCATGATCATTTTCTGGCAGTAATAGCTTCTTCTCGGCCTCAATACGTTTGATCTTTCTGAAGTACCACCTATAAATACACACGAACATTAATATTAAATGTACTTGGAGAAAGTTTGTTGATAGCATCAACCGAGCATTGCAAGCGAAAAAGAAAAACTGATTTAATAAAAAAATATGACCCTGAAAAAAAGCCTATTGTCTACTTAAGTATTATAGTATTATAAAAAAAAGAATGCATCTAATCTCTCTATAGAAATCTCTTGATTTTTATTATTTAATAATTTCACTTGCTCAGCGTAAGTTTTTTTAGAGGATTATAATAAGATATGATATCAACTTACGGTTCAGCCTCAATAGACTTGAGTTTAGCAACATAATTGCTAGGTATATAACCCTCTTGTCTTGTTCTCTTACTTCTGGCCAACCACCAATCACCCTGAGTATCATTGAGAATTTCCAGATGCTCTCCTTTACGGAAACTAAGATCCTCATCAGTCCTGGCATCATAATCATACAAGGCTACGAATATTTTAGCTGAAGGAACATCAGTATCCGGAATTTGTGGTACAGGCCTGATAGGATCAGGTGGAAGCGTTGGTACTGGACTGGCTTGAGAAGCTACTGCCTCAATACTAGGATTTCCTATCCTATCGGATTTTTCCGTTTCAGCATCAGTAGGACTGCTAAAACAATTTCCCATTTTGTGTTGGTTTTTAAAACAATTAGTTTCACAAACCAAAAAGTCTCTTGACTTATTTTTTACAGCTGAATTAAATACTTTTCTAAAATCAGCTGATTTTAACTTTTAAATCACTCAAATTTTCCACATGTTATTTACATGCTAAAATTGATTATGACGTAATGTAAAGGCTATAGCAAATTGTTAGTGGCGTAAATGCCTAAAAAATGAGTTTTTTTATTTTTTACAATCGGTTTAAAAATCAATTGATGACGAGTTCTCGCAATGTATATTCACGACAGGGCGTTACTCTCACAAATGTACGTGGGTGATCCTCTAATATTTTTTTCTTCACGCATCCGACGCGCCTCAGGTATTGCCATGAATCCCTCGTCCATGGATAGTCGTCTTGATCGACAGATGTATGTAAAATAATGACGGATGAACATCAGGAGTATATGAATGAATCACAATAGTGATTGGACACCAATTTGTTATTGAAAACAGCCATTGTGAGCACTAATAGTATTGACAATTATAAAAAATCGTTCATAAGTCCTTGGAACCAAGTAAAATCCATTCGAACGTTTTCACATGCGCCGTAAGAACAAAAAAATCCTGGAATCAATGGATATGAGAGAGCGTAACGAAGGGATCGACACACGCCCAACTGGGGCACACAGAAACTGTACAAACCTAAACCGTCAACTAGGGGGAAAAGATGATGTATCCAAGTCCACGCTTTGTTGCAACGATTTAGGCACAGGAAAAGTCTAAACACCAAACTATACTGTACTTAGATTACCGTACAGTATTCCATCATAAATCACAAACAATTGTTAATAAACTTTTAGTTCATTTTGCGATGAGCTACTAGTTAATACTAGACTTAACACTGCCTTGATCCCCACTTATTCGTAAGGATCCACCTTCCTTTTTCTTATCGTCGGTATTTCACTTTACTCAAACGATGTAGGAAAAAGTGCGAGGTGAAAACACCCATGGTGAATGTGGCCAACTGCTGCCTGAACGTTGACTCGAGACATACAGGAAAGAAGGGGAAGAGATGGCGACTTATGAGGGGAGGGGAAAGGAAAAGCTATAACATAGCAGCTCGACTGCTGGGATTGTGAACAGAATTCACGCTCGCACTTGTTCGGGATTGCCACCGAACTTGGCCGATCTCATTCCGACTTCGGTCTATGCTTTTCTATCCTCATCTTACTTACGTTACTTTCAACTATATGCTCCCTTTCCAATGGTCGTTGCTGACAACCATTATATTAACTTCGTCTCCTTTCTGCTCTCATCCTGATCGTTTTCTCATTTTAAAATTTATTACCGCCGTCATTCATCCACACCATACAAATCCTCGAGCATTCTCCAATTTATCACTTATCCAACATACATACGTAATTGATAATCCTCGAAATTCTTTCATCGAAAGTAAAAATTCTACAGAAAGTAAAATTTTATCAAAAAATATTTCAAGAAAAATGTTGCTCAATATTTTTTTTTTTTTAACTTTATTTTTCTTTTTGTTAATTTCGCTCATAATTCTTTCAAGATTTTTCTAGAATAATAATTCCACGAACGACCTTGAAAGCACGCCTCTACTTTCGTTAACATTCTCTATCTTTGACGTATCCGCATGCTTTTATCACTCTATTCTGACTATAACCAGAAAAACCTCATCATTGGTAAGAAAATGCACAAATAAAATTGTTTTTTATGATTCCGAATAGTGATAAGAAATACGAAAGAATTTATAACAATTTGCGGTTTTACCAAGACATGGTTTAGTTATTAGGTAGACCGTCATTAATGTGCTATTATTGTCGATGTTATCAATCACTGTAGAGCGATCCTACTAAATATTGGTTAACTAAATAACAATACCAACGAATTATTATTAAAAATATTAATTTTTTTTACCTGCGAAATAAACGATTAAAGAAATTCCTTATTGCTTTTGTATGAATAAATTTAGCGTTCATAATTTAATGATATTTAAAAATTAGCACAATTATTTCATTATGAATTAACGACGTCGTTAGATCACATGTGTCGTCAACGACGTCTATCAAATAACTGATTACGTTTCGGATTACAAGAAAGATCGTCATATATTAAGTGGGTAGATATAAATGGTCTCTAGAAAAAAATTATTGCAATTCTTATTGATGCTAAAGAGACTATAAATAGAAGGAGTTGATGATTACAGTATTTTATGCAGTGTTTATCATTTGATCATCTAATAAAAATATTTTTTCAGATTTTTCGTTTGATATTTTTTAATGTTACAAAAAAACACATTGATATTAACAATCACGCACATAACAGAAATTTTATCGCTAAATTTATAAGAAATCATTGTTGTTACTTCATCACTGTTATTATTATTATTATCAGTATCATATTTTTTCCCTTACTTAAAAGCATTACTTGTTGAATACAATCCAGATTGAATATTTTATTTTATAGGCATGAAAGAGCATCGGTATGCAGAAGTATTATGTGTGTGGCTACGTCCACACAATTTGCGGAGTAGCCACCTGCTGAATTTCAATAGCCAAACGGTATAACCAGCCGTTTGTTAAGTTAATCGCTGTCTGTAATAGGTACCTCAAGAATTCTTGGTCCGTAAAGAAGAACGTAGGCACAATGCCAGTCGCCACCGCCGCTCAGCTTGAGAATTTCTTCACTCGTTACGATACTCACAGTGTCATCATCACATTTAAGCCATGTGTCTCCTTTTTGATGAACCCAAGCAACATAGTGACCACTACTACTTGAACGTCCTCGATGAGTAAGTACTGCTTGGAGAACGTAATAACCGCTATTGTTCGATCCTAAATCTATTTTAATGAATGATCATGTAAGTAAGTTATTTTGAATATTTAAATTATATACAATTAAATTTTTTTTCAATATACCATCTTCAAACCAGAAGGGCTCACGCTTTACGGCTTTTTCAAGAGCATCACTTGTAGCTTTTTTGTCAGCTAAATTTTGAGCTTCAGCAACTTTCTTATCTTCCATTTCCTTGAATTTTTCTCGCATTGGCATGAGTTTCTTTTGAAGCTCTGGGCTACACAGATCAAAGGCATCAAACTCCATCGGAAATTTCACGTCTTTTAAAATTTTTGCATTAATTGCTTCTTTTTCTTTGTAGAAAAATCGTACAAATTGTATGGTAAGATACGCTGGCAATCTGCTAATTTTCGACTGTAAAATAAAATTCCATGTCAGTAATCTTAACACAAATATTTATCTAACGTTTAGAAAAAATGTTGCTCGATAGTAAACAACGAGATCGATACGAGAATGTTGTTTGTTCATTTTCTTATCAGGAAAATCTATGTCATATTGATTTCAATTAATTATATGAATCATGATGATATACTTTGAGAAATAATTTAAATATAAAAAAAAGAACAAATTAAAGATATTTTTAAGGAACAAATTTTGGAACATTCTGGTATCAATTAAATAATTTACAATGTTAATAAATAAATTTACTGTTTTAGTATAAACTGCATCGCGGCCCAATGTAGGGGATTGTTTAGTCAATTGTTCCTGCATCTTATTTTTTAATCCTAAATGCATATATTTGACGTCCGTTGAAATAAAACAACTAAGCTGTAAAAATTCTTCTTTTCCCTCGGTAGGAGGTTCATCTTCTGATTCCACACATTTTAGTTCTGTATCGAATATACCACCGAAATATTGTTCTATTAACGAACGAGGTTTATAAGAATTTTCAGTAGCTTTGGGATTCTCATCAGGAGGCAATTTTTGTTGAAGCATTCTGATTAATTCAGTCCAACATTCACTAGCATCTTGTTGCTGAAATCCACCATGTTCAGACTTTTCAGCAAATCGTGGAAATGCTAAATGCATCATTTGAACAAGTATAACTGGCCGCAATGACGTTCCTTTATCCATGCCGTCATAGAGATCCCTCAGAGCTGCTGTGATGCTTTGTGCTGGCACAAAAGATGGCACTCTACCGCTTGCAACATTTGTACCTGCAAGGCCACCAGGGAAATTTTTCAATGCATCTCTCAATTCTGGGACCGTTTTCAAACATTGCACAGTTGCATTCAGATAACAAGTATTTCCTAGATTTGTTAATCCTGCTGGAAGATCAAGTGCTGATGCGATTTCTGCTTCATTCATATCTTCTACAAATAGAGGCTTTACGGCTGGCTCTACAGGTACGTCTTCTTTTGAGCCCATCATTAAAACCGTTACTCCCTAAAAGAGAAAATTGGATTAACGTTTGCAAAATATATTTACACAGTAGGTTTAAGGGAAAAACTTACATCTTTAAGCTTGATATTTCCCCAGTCATCATCTTTTAGAGTCATTCCTTTCAACATGACTTTCTGTCTTTCTGGTTGTACTCCAGTTAAAGCAAAAAGCTGGGCTTTAAATAGCATTGGCTCTTCGTCTGTATTTACTTCCACATTAGGGAATAATTCCTTTCCCCATTTTACTTTTACTGTTTACATGAAAAAAAGCAACAAATTTTATGAGGTTATGATTTTTATTTGTTTGAATTAATCTTTATTTACCTTTATATTGCGGCATTTTTCACTATTTATATTTCTACTTTAACTTTGAATCTATTCTCAAAAATTTAGATTATAAATAAAATGAATTCACTGAAATGTTTTCTGATTTATCCATAAAATGCAGAGTCAGACTTGGTCAAACTGATGACCATGTTATTTATCCACTGAATCTGTCCGGTATTTTGTAGCCTCTGTTACTCCATATTTGAACTTGAAAATATTTTTAGAGCCATCTAGTGGTAGATCTGGAGATTAACTTATTCAAAAAAGTGTTTATGCTCATTTTTATTTTAGTACGTTTATTTAATTTATTTCTTTTTATCATTTATTATTATTTTCTTACAATATCAGTTGATGTAGTATGATTTTCGAACACAGATTGTTTCCTAATTTTTCAAATTCAATTTTTTTACAAATATTTTCACTCAATATTTCATCTTTAATTTAGGTCCAGCCTAACAATACAATTCTGATATTTCTTTTTTATGCTATACACTCTTTACATTTTTGTTGAATATCAACTAAAATTCACATATTTTTAATTCGAAGGTATATTTTACTATTGTCTATACTGTTGTCTATCTATTATTTGATAATTGATACAATGATTTACATTTTTTTAAGTGACTTTATCACTTATATTTTAGATATTACAGACGAAGAAAAATTTTCAATAATTTTTAAAGAATTTCACATTAAAATTGTTGCATTGATCTCAATACGAATAAATCTCTTCATACATTTATTTCATTATCAACTGATGCCAAAATATTTTTTATTGTGATATTTATATAACTTATTAGATCTTCTTAACTTTGGTGTATATTAATAGGTTAAATTGTATTATTAATCACACACTCTTAAAATAATTCATCAAAAGACAAAATCTAATGCAAATAAAACCATATGAATTCTTTCAAAACGAGCTCAAACATATTTTCAATTCAATATATTTTAAAATCAATAACTGCTTGACGAAGATTTTAAAAAATTTTCTTCGTACATAAATCATCATTTCATATTTATATATATATATATATTTTGTAAATTCATACAACAATTATGCATTCAGCTGTTCATGTACCCATTTCATTTATCCATAAATACTTTGGTTTTGTTTTTTTTTTTGTTTTGATTTAACATACATGATATTTATATATGTATATCCTACATCTTTATCCTACACTTGTGGCATGTATAATATCTAGAACTGGTTTAAATGCACATTGGTACTTTTTTTTTATCACACACGATTATTGATAACCAGTGAGATGAAAGTGAAACTAAATACAACTTTAAATGGAAACGATTCTAAGCCCAAACACGAAGTGTTGCATCCCAACTACCAGTAGAAAGAGCAGTTCCATCAGGTGAAACTTGAAGACAAGAAACACGATTTTCATGTCCATAGAGTGAAACTATTCGTTGACATTTTAAAGTATCCCAGATATTAACAGTATAGTCGTTATAACCAGCGAAAAGTAAGCGACCACTCACACTTAAGTCAACAGCATTAGCTCCAAAAATGATACTCTCTTTCGCATAAACAGCTACTTCTTTGTCTGCACGTAAATCAAAGAGACGACAAGTAGCATCATCTGATCCAGTAGCAACAGCATCTCCACCAGGATGAAATCGTACAGAATTTACATCTGATTCATGGCCTTCAAAACTTTGAACACATTGGCCACTTCTCATGTCCCAGATAAGTACCATTTTATCGCAGCTACCAGAGACAAAAGTATTACCGGTTTCACTTGGTGCTAAATCAATAGCCATAACATCACCAGAATGTCCGTGGAAATTTTGGAGCAGCTGGCCACTTTCTACATCCCAAAGAGCACAGGTACTATCTCCGCTGCCAGTTAAAATTTGCTGATCGCTGTTGGGAAATGCACAACAAGACATATAAGATGTATGAGTACCAACTGTCTTCTTTCTAGTGCTAACATCGTCTTCTAAGCTTAAAGGATATACTGTTACTTTATTATCCAAGCCTCCACAAGCAACTAGAGCACCACTGGGGGCATAAGCACAAGCCATTACCCAAGTGGTGGGCATAGTAACTGCATGTTCTTTATTAGTAGTGAAAGCATCCCAAATTATCATCTTTCCATCTTGAGAAGAGGATACTATATGTCTCTTATCCGGAGACCAGTCTGAACATAGTACTTTAGCTTGATGACCCTTCAAAATTCTTCGCTGTTTAAGATTGATACAAGAAATGGATTCTAATCGGTCAGCAACTTCAGCCACTATAAATGATTAAATATAAAGTGAATATTTATTCGAAAAAGGATAAGATATTCAAGAATAACATTATGCTTACATTTGACATCATTCAATTTTTTTCTTTCATCTTCCAGTCGAACCTTTAGTCCTTCAACTTCCCTCTCCAAGTTTTCAATCAGCTCTGCTTCATGAGGATCCATTTTTTGATATAATAAAAATATTCAAACATTCAGGATTGTTTTCTCACGTTTAGAATGATTCCTCTAATCTTTTAAAGTACACTTGTCCACTATCTCCATTCATCCTTCAATGAGATTCATTTGACACGCGCTAAAAAATATCATATATGTAGTAATAGTAATACCTGTGTATAAATTGATATAGATATAGAATGCGTATAAATGCCTTCAATCAATAAACATAGATGTGTACAACAAAATTGCTTTGAATCTTTTTTATTCATTGTTCATTCAGAAATGAATTAATACATTATTTTAAATTATTACCTGGTGTCGATCTTATCCTAGTATTACTTTTATTGTAATCACAACATGTTATATTTCAAAAATTAATTGAAAACACAATTGGAACAAGGACCATCACATAAAATCACTCTGACTCCACGCGCAACGCCTTGGCGTCGATCCTCAGTTACAGAGTATTATGTTGACCTCCTGCCCTCTAGGGACCTTACAATAAATGCATTATATGCATGTAATTTCCTTAATTACATGAAGATTTTGATTTTTTATACAGATACTGCAAAAGAAATGAATGTAAATAATAAATTCACTTAAAATACTCTGTAATTTTTTTGCTCCAAATTTCAGTAAGATAACTTTACTTACAAAATGTCTAGTTAAAATTATTTATTACAATAAATTATAACCATAAATAATTACAAAAAAATTCATTTATATATGAGTTAAAAAAAAGATTCCTGTAAATCAATATTCATTTCTCACAATCATAACAATATTTTAATTTATAAACAGATTTGTAATAATCAGAAATAAACTTTGATCAGTAAAAACAATCAATGAATTTTCAATTTTTTTATTTATATTCTTTTATGTTGCCAAAAGAATTAGGTTAATCTATTTTCGCATAAAATGTAAAAGAAAAATTATTTGAATTACTATTATTGTTATATTTTTGTGGTCAATAAGCACCATCTACTTCCTGCGCATACGATAAAACTACATTGCGCACGACGTCAATGACGGAGAAATAAAAAGTGGGATCAGAGAGGGTCGTTCTTCCGCTGCTGTTTTACTTAGGACGTTTATCACATTAAAAATCGGCTGTCCGTTTGACGGGCAATTAACATACAACTATGGCTCTATTGTCTCTACGATTAGCTACATCGGTGGCAAAACATTTTCCCAATGCCACTGTCCAGGTAATTCATTTATTTCATAATTTCTTTGCTAGAAGTTCATGAGAGGTTGCTAAAGTGCTGCTTCAAGTTCTCATGGATGCCGACATTTTTCTCTTTAATCAATGAATACCGGTTACATGACTTAATGGCACTTATTATTTTCGCGATCTAATTCTTATCACTCATCTTTTTTCTTTTATTGTATTGAAAAATATTAGAATCTATGTCTTTTATGAATAATGTTCTAATTCGTATATTACATAAACACAAGAGACAAAAGTTATGTAATAGACAATATAGATGTACCAACGTCTTAATCAAACATTACCTTTTTTCAGATTCATTGGCCAGCAAGCACCCTCGCTACTCGCAAGTACCATGTCTCATGCAGCCGAAGATCGGCCGAAATTTCTTCCATCTTGGAAGAACGTATCATGGGATCAGCTCCAAAGGTTTGTTCACTATTTGCATCTCATATGTATGTCAATAAATTCCACATTTTACTGATGATGAGTTTATTCATTTTTGATTTAGGCTAATCTAGAAGAAACTGGCCGTGTATTGAGTATTGGAGACGGTATTGCCCGTGTGTATGGTTTGAAAAATATTCAAGCCGATGAGATGGTGGAATTCAGCTCAGGATTAAAGGGTATGGCTTTGAACTTAGAGCCTGACAATGTTGGTGTTGTCGTATTCGGTAATGATAGACACATTATGGAGGGTGACATTGTCAAACGTACGGGAGCTATCGTAGACGTTCCAGTTGGTGATCAACTTTTGGGACGTGTTGTTGATGCTTTGGGTAACCCCATTGATGGTAAAGGTCCATTAAACAGCAAGTTGAGGTTCCGTATTGGTACCAAAGCTCCTGGCATTATTCCTCGGTAAATACTCCCTAAAAAATTACCTAAAACTTTACTTGTATGTGTATTTTGGAATTAAATTTGTACACTTTTTAATTATTTGAATTATTAAACAATATTCAATATTAATTCTTCTTTCAGGGAGTCAGTAAGAGAACCTATGCAAACTGGTATCAAAGCTGTAGATTCATTGGTACCAATTGGTCGTGGTCAACGAGAGTTGATCATTGGTGATAGGCAAACTGGAAAAACTGCCTTAGCTATTGATACTATTATCAATCAGAAACGTTTCAACGACGCTGGTGAAGAGAAGAAAAAGTTGTACTGTATTTATGTTGCTATTGGTCAAAAGAGATCTACTGTTGCCCAAATCGTGAAACGATTAACAGACAGTGGAGCCATTAACTACACCATTATTGTATCAGCTACAGCTTCTGATGCTGCTCCTCTACAGTACCTTGCTCCTTACTCTGGCTGTGCCATGGGTGAATTTTTCCGAGATAACGGAAAGCATGCTCTTATCATCTATGACGATTTGTCAAAACAAGCTGTAGCCTACCGTCAAATGTCTCTATTGCTGAGACGACCTCCCGGTCGTGAAGCTTACCCTGGTGATGTTTTTTACCTTCACTCGCGTTTACTAGAGAGAGCAGCTAAGATGAACGAATCTCTTGGTGGTGGTTCTCTTACTGCCTTACCTATCATTGAGACTCAAGCCGGAGATGTGTCTGCTTACATTCCCACCAATGTCATTTCAATTACTGATGGTCAAATCTTCTTGGAAACTGAATTGTTCTACAAAGGTATAAGACCTGCCATCAATGTCGGTCTTTCCGTATCTCGTGTAGGATCAGCTGCTCAAACTAAAGCTATGAAGCAAGTCGCTGGTTCCATGAAGCTTGAATTGGCTCAGTACCGTGAAGTAGCTGCTTTCGCCCAATTCGGTTCAGATTTGGATGCTGCCACACAGCAACTTCTTAATCGAGGTGTTCGACTTACTGAGCTTCTTAAACAAGGACAGTATGGTAAGTTGAAACTACAGTAATTATTTTTAATCAAATTATTGATTTTGGATTATAATCTTAAATTTCTTTAGTCCCAATGGCTATTGAGGAGCAAGTAGCCGTTATCTACTGTGGTGTCCGTGGATACCTCGACAAAATGGACCCAAACAAAATCACAGCTTTTGAAAAAGAATTCCTTGCTCACATCAGGTAGTAAAAGTTATCTATTTAATTTTAACAATTTAAATTTTATTTTTCTAATAATGAATATGCTTTCTTCAGAGCGTCTCACAAGGACCTTACCGCTACCATTGCCAAGGAAAATGTCATCAGTGAAGCTTCTGATGCCAAACTTAAGAAAATTGTCACCGATTTCCTTGCTTCCTTCAATGCGTAAACAAATCATGTAATGGTCAACATCAATCAGATTGTTAATAGCTAGTTTCCGACCATAGTGTCGTCAAGCTGTGCAAACGTTAACGTGCAAATCAAATGGCTCAAGTATTTACTTACTAAAAGTAACAAAAATGCACAGCTATTGACATCAATGCACGTTCACGTTTTCTATAAATGTTATTAAAAAATGATTCATACATCCTACGTACGCGTCTTTATAAAATAATAAAAAATGATAGTCGATAAAATACAATTAAGTGGAAGTTACGCGTTCGGTCTTAATAAAGTATATTATCTAAAAACAGTTAGTGTAATTTATATGAAAAAAAAACAAAGATGTTTATATTTAATTATTTATTTATTTCGATTCTTTGCTTGATTTTTCACACCAGGCACTATTGTTTCATTTATTTTCTTCTTATTTACAACCAAGGGTTTTAATATTTTGGTTATTTTACCAGTAGCTATAGTACTTCTTCCCTCTCTAACTGTAAATGTTTGTCCTATAATCATTGGCATTTTTCTGACTAATGTTAGTTTAGTAGTACATTGCTCTCCAGGCATCAACATATTACTTTCATCTTCCAGCATCAAATCAAAACGACATGATACAGACCATGTGATACTAAAAATTGGAGAGCAATAACCATATACCTGAAAATTAATATTCTATTATCATTTTTTTCATGATAAATAAATGTTATCAATTAATTAGAAACTGAAAAATACCGGTAAAGGTTTACGTCTGCCTCCTTCTGCTGTTTCAACCAAATAAAGTTGCGCTTCAAAATGATTACTTGAGACAACACTATTCCTTTCAACAAGCATCATACCTTTGGAAACAGACGCTGATTTAATATTCTTAATTAAAACACCAACATTTTCTCCAGCTACAGCCTCAGGAACACTTTTTTGAAAGATCTAGAAGAAATTTTTTATAAAATTACCCTTAAATCATATATATTTTTATTTAATAATATTCTAATTACCTGAATATCTGATATCATTGTTTTACTTTCAACATCAAAACCTAACAAATCAGCAGGTTTATTCTTCTTCATAACTCCTCGCTGAAGAGTACCAATTACTACTGATCCTCGACCTGGTACATTGAGAACATTGTCAATTGGTAAAATAAATGGTGATTCATAATCTCGTTTTGGAGTAGGTATATATGCATCCACAGCATCCATTAATTTAAGAATAGATGGAACTCCATATTTTGATTTGTCACCTTTTAGAGCTAAGAGGGCAGAACCTCGTATAACAGGACTTTCATATCCATCAAATCCAAAATGACACAATAGTTCTCTTACTTCAATTTCCACAAGATCCAACAGTTCATCATCCACTAAGTCAGCCTAATAACTATAGCAGTAGTGATTATTGTTCAGATTTATGATAAAAATAAGTTTATTCAACAATAAAGTTTAAAATTGATACAAACTTTGTTTAGAAAGACAACGATGTGGTTAATACCAAGTTGTTTAGCCAAGAAAAGATGTTCTCTAGTTTGTGGCATGGTTCCGTCATCAGCAGCTACCAAAAGAATAGCTCCATCCATTTGTGATGCTCCACTAATCATATTCTTAATGAAATCAGCGTGTCCAGGGCAGTCGGTGTGAGCGTATCGTCGTAATTTTGTAGCGTATCCTACATGAGCAATATTAATAGTAATTCCTCTTGATTTTTCTTGTGGTGCTTTATCAATTTCATCAAAGGAAACATATTGACAGCTTTTCATTTCTTCTGAAAGAACTTTAGTGATAGCTGATGTAAGTGTTGTTTTCCCATGATCTACATGGCCGATAGTGCCTATGTTACACATCAGGTCTTCTGCTTTCCTTTCACTTGAGAAATTTTTTTTTACAGCTACACCTAATTGTATAAAAACATTCTGACGCTTTGATTGAATTGTTAAGCATGTCAGCACTGAATATCCTCGATGAATTAGTGAATTAGAGTAATTAATAACCATTGAAGTCTTGTTGATGGTGGAGATTGTTCGGAAAACGTTTCGTAAAATACTCATTTTGTTGGCTATGTTTTTAAAAAAGTAATACCTTGATTTAATCCTAAAGTATTACAGGAGTCACGATTGAAGTGCCATTAATTTTCAAGTTTAAATTTACTTAAAATAAATTAAATATATATTCGTCAAAACGTTGAAAGTTTTTGGATACTTGCTTTAATTCTCATTACTTAATCATCTGACCTCTAGGTGGCTCAGTGTATTTTCCAGCTGACGATGAAAATAATAACAGAATTAAAGTCATGTCAAAAATAATTTATTTTTCAAAAGTGTATTTATATTTGTTCAAGCTATTAAGTTGATATAATTAATAATTTTATGTTATAACTATATATTATATATATTTAAATAAATATAAATGTATAAATTCAAATTTTGGTTAAAATATCTAACCTAAAAGTAAAAATACAATATTGTCATTTAAATAACCAGTAACAATTATTGTTTAATAAATAATATCTAGTGTAAAATCATTGTTATCAGTTCATAGAATTATTTTTACAGATTATAAATTATACGTATAATAGAAGTAGAAATATGGTGGACAAATAAATAAGTATTTTGATTTATAACGGTAAAAATGATATATTCAACGGTTAATTTTTTAATTTAATAACATTAATTTTTGGTAAGTATTGTTATTACTTTAACATTCCTGCATAACTGCATAATTCGATAATTTAAATATTTTCTAGGTACCTGTTAAAATATTATGAATAGATGGACAAAAATTTATTAGCTATGTCTTATTTGAGAGGATCTGCTAATTATGTTTGGTGTACCACAAGTGTTCTCGGTAAAGGAGCTACAGGTTCTGTTTATCAAGGAGTTGATAAAAATAATGGTGAACCTGTGGCTGTAAAGACATTCAATCCAGTAAGTCATATGAGACCAATGGATGTGCAAATGCGTGAATTTCAGGTGCTTAAAAAAGTTAAACATGAGAACATTGTAAAATTATTAGCTATCGAAGAAGAACAAGATGGTAAAGGAAAGGTCATTGTCATGGAACTTTGTACAGGTGGTAGCCTTTTTAATATACTTGATGATCCAGAAAATACATATGGTCTGGCTGAAAGCGAATTTTTGCTAGTATTAGAACACCTTTCAGCTGGTATGAAGCATTTACGTGATAATAATCTTGTGCATCGTGATCTCAAGCCTGGTAATATAATGAAATACATTGCTGATGATGGTAGTACAATATATAAACTAACAGATTTTGGAGCCGCTAGAGAGTTGGACGAGAATCAACAATTTGTTTCATTGTATGGTACTGAAGAATATCTTCATCCAGATATGTATGAGAGAGCCGTGCTTCGTAAACCAGTTGGCAAAACATTTGGTGCTACAGTAGATTTGTGGTCAATCGGAGTAACTCTTTACCATATTGCCACGGGAAATTTACCCTTTCGACCATTTGGTGGACGAAGAAACAAAGAAACAATGTATTATATTACTACGAAAAAAGCTTCTGGTGTAATATCCGGAACTCAAACAACTGAAAATGGTCCAATTGAATGGAGTTCTGATCTTCCCCGCAATTGTAGACTGAGTTATGGTCTTAAAAAAATTGTCACACCTCTTTTAGCAGGTCTCTTGGAGGTTGACCGACAAAGAATATGGAGTTTTGATCGATTTTTTAATCAAGTTAGAGACATATTATGTAGACGTGCAATTCACATTTTTAATTTCCATACCATGCAGTCTTTAAATATTTATCTTCATCCTGATGAAAAACTTCTTTCGCTTAGAGCTCATATTCAAGAGCAAACTGATGTTCCAACTCACGCACAAATCATTTTATTTGGAGACGTTTTATTAACAAATCTTATCGAAGAAAATACTCCTGCCAAAGGATATCCTGTAAGTAATACAGAAAATCCTTTTATGCTGTTTTCTCGAGAGAATAATAATGTCATTGCAACAGTTATCAATAGTTGTATCAATGTATCACCATCGTCATCGACTGTTTCTTCACCAGCGACTGTTTCATCAGTAACAGCTGACACTGTATCATCTACTATTACATCAGCTTTAGAGAAAAATAAATCAGTAGATTCAACCATTATTTTTCCAACATTTGCTCATCTAGTATCTGTAGAGAATGACGCAAGTCAAGCTAAATTAGCTTGCTCGGTTGGACATTCTTGTAAACGATTAATTGATCAGTTAGCTTTATCAAGTAAATTATCTCAAGATGCAGTAAATACTTTTATTGCATTATTATCATCAGAACTTACCAGATTAACAGCTAAAACTGAACGACTGAGAGAATTAACCAAAGCAATTGAAAAAAATTGTATATCTACAGAACGGTATGAATCTATTGGTCTACAAGTTATCAAAAAAATGTCTAGCATTTCTTCAACTCCTAGAATTCTTAAAGAATTCGAAAATAGTCAATGGTGTAGTGAACTACAGCTAACGAGTAAACAATTATTTAATGAACTTGCTCCAGCTATTGCTCAATTATATCAAAGGTAACATTAAATTAATGAACATAAACATTTCTTGAACTTTTGTTTGTTTTTTAATTATTGTATGATTTTTTCCTAATTATATAGATACGTTAAGGATGAAATTCTACGTGCTGAATGGGAATCTACAACACGATTATTAACATGTCCATGGAAAACAAAGGCAAGTCATAGAGCTGCAACCTTAGTTGATCGACTTCGTGATGGTTGGCAACATCTCTTACGAGATCGAGCTACACGTACCTTAACATATAATGATGAACAGTTTCATGTATTAGAAAGAATCAAGGTGAAAAAAAATATAAATATGAGTTATTTTAGTGTTAACATAGCATTTAACGGTATTCAATGGTAATTAAATCCGTAGGTAACAGAAACTGGACGTAGATTGAAGATGCTTTTAGAAGTGGAATGTATACCTGCAATAATACAGCGGTCTGAATCTCTTGCAGATTGGTATAAAATGGTTCAGACAATTTATCTTCAAAGTCAAATCTTGGATAAAGATTTAGATATTTATGAACGTTCAATAGATACTTTTTCATATCGAATATATCAGAAAAGCACAGAACGGTATGAAGCACTTTTGAGTTTTTTGGATAGATTATCAACTAATCAAACAACCAATCATACTTCAAGTTTATCTGGACCCGTTTGTGAAGAAGCTACGAAAGTGTGGCGAAATATTTGTGGTTCTCAACAACAAATAACATTAATAGTTTATGAAAATAATCAATTAATTGATGAAATTAATCGTTTATCAATCTGTAACGATATCAGTGACAATAATTATAATCCCCTTCAGGATTCAGAACACAAGTTGAGTGAAGAAGATGTTAGTGAAAAAAAAATTGGTGATATTAATCAACAAAATATTTTATCTTGAATATTAAACAAGTTGTCTCATGTTGCATCAAATCCTTGATTCATTATTGAATCACGATTAACCAGCATATTCAATCGTTGACGATTTTTTTGTTCCTTATGTTTCTCTTGAACTTTCTCAAAGTGTCTTAGAAGCCGTGAAAAATCGATTTCTTCTTCGTTTGTAGTAGTCTTATTGGTTTTTTCTAAAGAACTATGACTTTTATTTGAAAAAATACTAGAATTAACTGGAGGAATTGCTGCTAATCGACGATGTAATGTAGTAAAGGCGTCACTTTGTGGTAAAATCATCAAAAGTCCATATAATGTTCGAACTAAAGCTTCATTTCTCTCTCGTTCAAGTAATTCCAGTCTGAGATCTGTAAGAACAAGATGATTGTTAATTAGTACTGATAAAGAAGTCTTCAGAAGGTATTAACTGTATGTTAACTCACAAGTAAATATTGGTGATTCAATAAGTTGTATTAATTTATCAACTTCTGTCAGAAATTCAACTGTTACCTCAATGTTAGCACTAAATTTAAACAAAAAAAAATATAATTCTGTCAAGGATATTTATAGTAAAATTTAAATAATTATTTTTAGACAAAAACATTTTGTAAAATTAGTTTTTTAAGATAGTTTTTAATCATTGATTATTTCTTTAAGTATTATGATTGAGATATTTTTTTTAATTGTTTCAAAAAAATCAAAAGTCAGGGTATTATTAAATTAAAATTATTAGTGGGAATAAATATATAAAGGATACAACGATTTAACCAGATCACAAGCATGAGAGTAATTTTGTCCAAGCAGACACAGTGCCACAGTCGCAACAGGATTATGACACCAAGATTCGTAAAGACAGACAAATAATTTACGACTTTCCTGCAATTATTATATGTAAAAATTATGTATCAAATATCATATTATAATAAATATTTGATATTCTTCTAAATACCTCATTTTTTAAATCCTTTAATTTATTTCTTAATTCGAAGAGTTCTGAACTTGTGAGCAATATAACATTTAATGTTTGGATCATGATACCAGCAAACCGTAAATTTTGCTCCTCCAATAATATTTCAGCTAATATTTTATAAATATCTTCAGCGCTTAAAAGTACACATAACTCACGAATAATAAATGCCCCTCTGTCCTCTAACAAGTGTCTATCTGTAGAAAATAATCTCAATAAATTAACAATAAAATTAGTAAAATATTTATTTCCAACTGAACGAGATGAAGTGATAAGTTGATTTTTTGCCTCTTTATCTAGGCTTTGAGCAGATTTTGGGTTTATTATTTCAGCAAGCACAACTAGATTCTGCTGGACAACTTCATCTGAATTATCTTCAAGAGTTCGCATCAGTACAGGAAACAAGTCATCCATATGGTTGTACATTTTACTTGGAATATTAATAAATAAATGACGAATCCACTTGAGAACAGCCACTTTAGTTGGTACAGAAGTTTGTTTCAAGTGTTTTGTTAATACTTGAACAATTTTTGATAAATCAAGGCATTCAGATACTTTTTTGTCTTCAACTGCTTTATCGCCATCTGGAATTTTTTCGTTATTTTTATTCTCACTCACTTCAACTTCAGCATTTTTTTTTATTCTTTCTTCATTTTTGCCTGCTGTTGTTTCATTGGAATCCAACATATTATTAGCAATTAATGAATCCTTTGTAATGAGATTTATTAAACACTGATTAACATTTGCAGCAGTCTCTTTAATATTTCTTCGATTGTCTCCATCATAAGCTAGACAAGGCAGGATCGCAGATAATATCCCTGATGCATAAGGAAGCATAGATGTTCCAGATAATTGAACGAATTCCCGGATCCAAGTTATTGCCGTTAATTGAAGTAATTCATCAGAACTTTGAGCATGATTTATGAGAATATTAATCATTCCTGGAAAATCAACTTTACTTGGGTTTGCTTTAATACTTCGTAAAAATTCTCCAAGAACTGTATCAGTAGATTTTTTAATTTCCGGAGTGGGATCTTCGAGGATAATAAATAGACCATCTAATATTTCAGACAACACTATAACAAAGTCCATATCAGGTACGGCATCCAAAACAGATACCCACGATATCATAAATTGCCTTCCAAAAGGATTTTTTGTATAAATCCTTTCTCTTAAAATAGGCATAAATCCTACCAAGTCAAACATTCCACTTTCTGTAACAATATCCTTCATCAATCTATCAAGTAACTCAGTAGCATTCTTTACATTCTGCTCAGGATCACAGGCCAATTTACTTAAAGCTCCAAAAATATCGGTAAATAATGGTAAAGCTGCACTTCTGGCTATCTTTACAACATTGTACAAGCTCTCACAGGCATTGTAGCGTACGTGTAAATCTGGATCACAGAAACAAGCTAAAATTGGGCGAATCAGTTCTTCAGTATATTGGCCAGTATCTTTTCCAAGACCTACTGCTATTGCAGCCAAACCTATAAGACCACCTTTCCTCAGATGAGAATTTTGGGATGTAGCAAATTCTTGTCCTAATACTCTCAATAGTTTTTTAATCTGGACCGTATTATTACGACTTGCAAATTCTTTTACCATTCTGTAATGCAGTAAAAAATAGAATTAATTTATTGATTAAAAATTATTTTTCTAACAGATAAAAACTAAAAAATTACTTCTCTATTTCCACAGCTGCTAATTTTCTTTTTTCATAAACTTTATCACTCAAAGAACGAACACATGCTGCACTTAGTGGTGCATAATCTCTTTCAGACATCATCTTGATTGCTAATTTTTGTTTATTATACAATCAATAAACAACAATAATTTAAAATGTAAATACTGTATATGTTATATATTTGAGTATTTACATGACAGGAGTTTAAGCCACAGTGACAAAACTAACCTCCAAGTCAATTAAAAGTTAGTATAGTAACAGTCATTTTTTGAAAAAATTAAGCTATTTTTTTCTTGAGTATTGAAAAAAAACTTTTTAAAGGTTATATTGTATATAAAATCACTTTAATATATTGTTTTAAAAATGGATTATTTACAAGATTATTAGACACGAAGATTTGTATCAAGGTATGACTCATTTATCTGTCAAGATAAATATATAAAATTTGTAAACAACAATATTAACAATTTATTATAGATTTTTTTAAATTTAATAGTAATAAATTTATCACAAAAAATATTCTTGATGAGGCAATTGAATATAATGGTGCAAATTTTTTAACAGCTGATTGATAATGTAGGTTGTAATAACTTCAGCAAGATAATAGTACATTCCATAATAATGGTTGGGTGATTAAATGATAAGTCAACAATAATGACAGTCAATGATACTGCATGAACAGGCATAAAACATATTGCAGAATAATTGTAAGAAAATATATTTTTTTATTTATCATGTAGGAACAGGAGTAACAAATTTTAGAAATAAGTCACAATTTTCATGATTCCACATATTTAAATAAGAAAAAAATAACAAAATAACGCAAGTATGTATAAAAATGTATTATCAACAAATCTATATTGTTTTTATTCAATTATTAAATATTTTATTTTTATTCAAATGAGCAAATGTTGCACTGAAATTAATCAAATTAAACATCAGATATAAATTTACCAACACCGTGCAAATCATACAACTTTAAATTGGAATCGTGAAAAAATTGAATAATCTAGTCAATTTGATAGGCATATTAATTATTATGCGCTACATTTTTTTATTGCCACTATAGACAATTTTATGTTTTTATTAACTATGCAAGGACGGATTCTTCAGCGTTGTTCTTTTTCTTAAAAATCTATCATTTTACTTTTATGTCTAAATGACGATAGAAGTGAAGTTAATTATAAATAATATGAAAAATCAAGACGTCAATGGGGTTGTTTCACCTCCAATAATTGTGGATAATTTTCAACAATATTAAGAAGTATACCATCAATGTATGATCGAAGTTGTGCATTAACTTCTTGCTGTTCTTTAAGTGCTTGAGACATCTAAAATTGAAAATTATATTTTATTATTGTATTCAATATATTGTTATAAAAACATTACACTAGTTCTAAGTGATATTGTTAATCATGCAACCTTGTAACGTATCAGTGATTATTTTTTATCGAGATAAGAATAATGCAAATTTTAAATCGTAAACAATTGATTGACCAACACGCTAGAGGTTTTTTTTTTAATTACCTCAGCCATTGTGCGTGGTTTTTGGTTGACTGAGTCAGCCTTCCCTCTACCATCTAGTTGATCAGAGTTTCCATCAGCAGACAATTCAGCAGCAAGGCTACGAGGATTCTTTTCATATTCATTATTAGAATTCAAGAAAAGTAGTTCGCGACCAGCGTGGACTGCAATTGCTGCTTGTAATTCATCTTGTGATTCTTGTAAACTTTTATTTTTTGCACCAAGCCGTGCAACTTCAAGTAAAAGGTCTTCAATTCTCTGACGGTCTCGCGTCCGAGCTGTTAATTCTTCTTTAGCAGCTTCAAAAAGAACACGTGTTTCATTAGCACGTAACATGGCTTGTCGTTCTGCTTCACGTGCTTTAGATGTTTCACAATGAGCTTCTTCTAACGCGTTTTCTAAACGTGTTCGCTCCTCTTTCACCGTGTCCAGCTGTTCCTTTATTCGGGCTATTTGTTCTCTTAAACTTGAACACTCAATTTCAATGGTTTGCATTTTAATAGCAGAATTCTCTAATTGTAATTGTTTTTCTCTTTCCATACGACTTATTAATTCTCTATGCCTTCGTTGTTCAGCCTGTAGTTTTTCTTCAGCTCTTGCTTCCGCATCTTTTACTGCTTCTTCAAGCATAAGTATCCTAGCTTGAAGTGTTGCATTTTCTTGTTTTACTCGAGCGTAACGTTCACCACTAACTGATTGAGTGTCCACGAGTGCGTCCATTCGTTCTTGAATTAGTCTTACCTAGAATGAAAAAAAAAAAACATGACAATCACTGAAATTATCAAAATTATTCATATTTAATTTTTATCAACTCACTCTGTTATTCAAATCTATGACATCATCCTCCAGGGAGATGTCACTGTACATATCGTCAGTAGCGTCACAAGTGGAACCTCTTCCAGAGCTATTAAAACTCCCACTTCGATACAATTGACTAAATTGGAAAGATACATTTTTATTAAGAAAGTTAAAGATTGTATTTAATTATTCCAAAGCACGACTATACACAAATAATGAAACATTTTTATGTAAATTAGTCATTCAACCATTACACATTTTATCACAAAGGAATAATTTCTTTATTGCTCATAGATATCTCATTAATGATTGAGCGTCTTTTGAATAAAAAATGCATTCAAAGCTCAAATATTTTTAAAGCTGAATTTTTTATAATATAAAAATCGAATATATTTCATTTATTGTTATTATATTACTTTATGATAAGAAACATATTTTTATTTGTTTAGTGTAAACTAAATAAGCAAACGGAGAGCTACTAATTTGATAAAAAAATATGTTTCGAGCGTATACGAGTGTTAAATTATTTATTACAGTGATTCTGTTTACTTTAATGATATGAATAAATTATTGGGAAGTCCATAATCAGCACCATTCAAGAAAACATATGATAATAAATCAAACTAGCTATGATTTATGAATGAACTATATCTAATAGAACGATTATTATTTTAAAAGCGAGTAACTAATCTGTTTTTGACAATAAAGATATGATTATTTTTATATTACCTCGCTAGAGCATTGGATCCAAGCTGTCTAGTTGGTCTTGTACTGCTGAAACCCAATAAAATTTTTAGTCAATTAGCAGGAAGTAATTTTCATCATATGATAACTCTATTAAAACATAAACTTACCCCGGTGGAGTTCGTCTCAAGGACGTTCGTAACCACGTGTGTCTACCAAGTGTAGAACAAGGACTGGCTGTATTAGTTTTTCTGTATATGAAAAAATATATATCATAGAAATTGTATTGAGGGCGGTAATGATAAATTCTAATCATCACGAGCAATTATCTATACCCAAGAGAGTTTAATCCAGTTGTTGGCGATGGTGCCGAACTGCTGCCGTCTCTCGGTGACTCTACTTCACCATCACCGAGATCGGTATCCACTCTTCCGTATCCAAATCCTTCGTAACTTTCTTCTTCGTATTCTGTAGCTAAGTGCAAATTATTGGAATTTTCGGGGGCCAAATTGGCAGGTCGAATTTTCGATGAATTCCTCAATTCTGAATCATCGAAGGATATTGAAAATGATGGAGGACCACTTTGGCTTCTACATTCTAGGGGTGTATTATTATTTGAAACCACTGGAGTTGGTTGATGAATTGCAGAAGTTGACTCAACTTCTGCATTATCTTTAGCGTCTCCAGAAGAGGAGACCACACTATTCGAAGCTATTGCTGTCGTAGATTGTGTCTCAGTGCCACTGCTAACGTTTTCTTCACTCCTCTCGTAAGCACTGACTGAATACGGTTCCGTAGAAAAATGAGAGCTTACCATTCTATAGCTATCATCAACGTAATGTACGTTTTTAAAAGCTTAGTTTTATGACTTCAAATCTTCTTTACAAAGTTTAGTCTCAGGTCAAACTCGTCGTCTAGAATTACAAATGATATTTGGATATTAGACATTGAGTATAAAAATAACATTTTAAATTTAAAATTATTGCACTTGTCAAATTGAATTATTGGACAAGTTACAAACAAAACTATTTTTAGGATTGATCATGAATACTTGATAACTATACATTCAAAATAGGTGAATCGATACATAATGTAAAGACCATATGTATAGCAAACCATATTCTATGTACTCATTGGTGGTATCATCCTCACCTGCCATTCATCACAGTAAATACACGTCGCCATACTGTTCCCTCTTTGACATATTTCTATTTGTTGTTTATGTTTTTAATATCACAATATCCTTTCTACCTTATATTTTCAAGGTAAATATACTTATAATACTTCTGAAATTTTAATTCACTCGACTTAAAAATTCAATACTTTGCATTGAAATATTTAATACAATTATCAACTGAAATTAATACTCATCAGTTAGCAAATATTTATGAAACGTTTTTAACTAAGCACAACAATAAAAAAAAAATCACAGACGTGGTTCGTGGGAACGAGTTGAGATGAATCACACGTTGCTTATTTCTTCATGTACAAGTGTACACCTTGGCTCGGCTCCACTTGGCTCTGCTTGGCTCCAACTTGATGACGATCTTCGACCGAGCCAGCCTAGCGCAAAGACAAATTCCGAAACCAACAATAGACGTGGGAAAGAGACAAACCTACAAGAGTAGTAGGAGGTGAAACGAACGGGCGAAAGCAAGTCAGCGAAACGGTATGTTGCGCATGCGTGAGTAACAGGACTGACATATACCTGAGTGCTCAGCCTACCTACTTTGTACGTTTTACAGATACCTGAGATCATTTGAGATAATAAATAATACATGGCGAAAGCCAGAATCGTTATATTACAATTACTTGATCATTTAGTAATTCATCATCATTTCGACCTTACAATAGATAATACATTTAGGTAAACCCTCAAACATCATCTTCAAATTATTTTCTTTTATTATAAATTTTTCAATTATTACATTGAAATACAAGTTAAGAATCATTTGTATTCTTCTATGGTGTTTAACGTAATAATTTAATTATTTAATTATGATAATCGGTCAGGTACTGTGCATAGCATATGATCTATATCGTTTTATATTTATACATTATTATTAATAGAAATTCTAACATAAACAAAGGAAATGCAATTTAATATGAGAAAAAATTATTTTATTCAGTTGAGAATAAAAATGACTGTATGCAGTATTTTTTCAATGAATAATTTCAATGAAAGTTAATGAAAGTTTGTTTATTTTATGAAATATTAAATTTCTCAATCATGATTCATTGAAAAAATGTTTACTGAATATAATATGCAAATTGATATTCTCGATTGAAAATGTCATCAGTGAACAATTTCAATTTGATAAAAATATGAATAATAGTTTTAAGGACAATTAGATTTGAATAATAACAGTTTAATTCAAAATTATTCATAAGAAAAACAATTTATATATTTTTATAATTTTTTAGAAAATAAATAACTGGTTTCAGAATAGTCTATTATTACCACTTTTACTTTGAAATACTTAGCAAAATATATTTAATTTTTTTGACACATTTTTATCGGTTCTACAGTAAAAAAAAAGAGAAAATCAGTTGTTATTTGAAGTCATCCGATGTTTTATGACAAAAGTTAATCATTTTAATCAGTGTTTTTCTTATAAACTTTTTTGTATACCAACTCTTGCATCTGTATTCTCAATAACATTTGTTGCTCAGCTGGCAATTTTTTTATATGAGGAAGAAGACTGATTAAAAAATGGTAATTATCATCCAGATGATGAGCTTCAAGTTGATCTATTGAAAGTTCAACGCTCGTATCATTGGTACGAGTAATACGTAGTGGGTCTGGTGGCATTGTCTGAAGCGTTTCATTTTCTTTGAATGGTTGAGGGAAACTAGCTTGACATTCATCACTTTGCAAAATAGTATTATCAAAGGGCTCTTGTTTCACTTCAATATTATCTTCAATTAAGTTATTCTCATTAGCATTCTCTATTTGTAAAGATTTTACATCTTGAACCCTAGAACAATCACACTTTTGATACATAGAAGTTCTTGAAGAGGCTATTTTTAGCCTGATAGGTCTTTTTAATTCTTCTTTAGAGCTTATAGTACTGTCTAAATTAGTCTCATGTTGACTGATTGCCTTTTTGGAGCTTATCTTGATTTCTTTATTACCAGAGTGAACAATGTTTCTACTAATCATAACCTTAACGTCTGAAAGATTTAGTATTCGTTTAGATGACTCTTTAGCCGCGCGATCATTTATGTCATCTGCACTATGAATATCGAATTTTTCGGGACAAGAATTTCCATTGCTTTCCCAAACTGGTGGTTTTGATATAATTTGCTCCTTTAAAAATAGCAAATGTTTGTAGTGAACCCATGTTGGCTTATATTTTAAATTTTTACTTTTGCGATAAATTATTCCTTTTTTCAGTTCGGCTCGAAAAGTATCTCTAAGTCCTTTCCATTTAGTTTTCAAAATTGATTCTGCAAATTTGAGAGAAAAAAACCGTTGAATGAAACGTTAAATTCGATATTTATGTTGATTATTTTGGTATGTTCATGCGTGCGCGCGAATGATAGCTTTGAGAAAGCAAGTCAAGGTGTTTTTGTCGGAAGTGAGCTGGTATAACTAATTTTTTATAACTGCCTTTTAATCTTGTAATAGATCAATGTCATTTCTTCAATGAAGATATATTTATAAATTAATTTTTTATATTTTAAAAGTGGAGAGAGAATACTTGCTGAGTTAATAAGTGTATTAAACCATACATGTAAAATATATTCAACAGTAAAACGCAGCGTGAAGATACTTTAACATTAAAATGAATGCAAAGTTTAACAATTTCTTATCTCTAGCCAAAACTTATTAATAACCAAAGTACATATAGAATATGCAACAGCATCACTAACTTACAAGAGACTGAGCCTTGGTCCCATTTTTTATACTTCTCTGGCCCTGTTAGCCGTCATGGGAAAATACCATTAATATAAACAAATACAGATTATTGGTATACGTGTTTAAAAATGAAATTAAAGACTCAATCTCCTATCTAGATCTCTCTTAGGTTCATTATCCGGTGTAAGATGATGGATCTGTGTGTAGAAAATATACTCCTACAATAGTTATATAATAAATATGTTATTTTCATAAATAATTAATAGAAAAACATACTTGGAATATTTAAATTAGTTGACAACTCCAGCCAAATGCGATTTTTAGTTTCTCTATAATGATACAATACATGTTTTTGATCCCACAATGCAGGTTGTTTATAAACTTCCATTATCAAACGTTTTACGTCTATTTTGCCGTCTTGTCGCATGATAATATGATCACTTGATTATTATTCTGATAAAGTGATTAATTGTTAAGATAATAAGTATAATATTTGCTAAAGAAAACAATGTATGTATAATTGTGTTCACTCCATTGAAACAGTCGATAATACATACAGCAAGTCGGGTTATGATTTTAACAATTAGCTTCAAGAGCAATAGTAAAATGTTGTTAATAACTCATAATAATGGCGATAATTTTAGCACGCGAGATGCTTTTTCTCTTTCTTTCACATTCAAACAATCGATTTAGTTTCAACATCATTTTGTTTTTTTGTGATGTTTATTATTTACGCGGATCATGCGCCAGCCACTGTTGTGGAGAGCAGTAGAATTACACGCAATAAATTCACCTGATCCACCTCCATTACATGCTGTATGTAAACATAACCTACTTTTTTTGAAAAATATTTTTTTTCTCCAGTATTTGGAGTACAAGTACGTTCATTTGTTACAAATTGGAGCACAAATCTTTATGATTCATCGTATTAATCGTATAATTAAATTCATTAAGTTTAAATGTATTTTTCAATTAATTTAATGTTAGATTTAATTATATTTCTGCTTCTTAATTGTATTGAAATTAATTTTTTTATGTCTATTATTTATAAAGAAAAAAATTTTTTATAAACGATGAAATATTTTTATACTTTAAATAAGAGGAAAAGTCTAATTAAATTTCTATGTAATTAAATGTATATTATTTTCTAAAATATTACTTCACATTGTAGAATAATGTGTGAAGCAGATTTCGAATTGATGTGTCAAGGAGCTGAAGCTAGATTATATAAAGGACAATATTTAGGACGTATGGCAATAAAAAAAGAACGTTTTAAAAAAACTTATCGACATCCAGATCTAGACGAAAGATTAACAAAAGACAGAATCAAAAGTGAATATCGTGCTATTGTTCGTGCGAAAATAGCAGGTAATTAATCTTCTAGCTTTCAAAAAAATCAGTAACAGTCATGAGAACTTCATTTGTAGGTGTCCGTACTCCAGCAGTTTTTTTAGTTGATCCATATGAACGGAGCATTTATATGGAATATATAGATGATGCGATAGTATTGAAAAACCTGATAGAAAAGCTTATTGTTCTCAATAGTAATAATGAACAAGTGTGGGTGCATAATTTAGGTAAAATTTTAGGCTTAATTATAGCTAGGCTACATACAAATAATATTATTCATGGTGATTTGACAACATCGAATATACTTGTAAAAAGTTGTATTCTTGATCAGTTGAAAGATATAAAAGAAGGAGGCAATCTTGATGAAAATAAACTGATGATACATTTCATCGTCATTGATTTTGGTTTAGCACATGTTGATTCAACAGCTGAAGATAAAGCTGTAGATCTTTATGTTTTGGAACGATCCTTGTTGAGCTCGCACTCTCAAGTACAAAATTTATTTTCAGAAATAATGAAAAGCTATCAGAAAAATATAAAAGATAAAAAACAACAACGAGAAATTATTTCTAAATATGAAGAAGTGAAAGCTCGTGGTAGAAAACGTCTGATGATTGGATAATTAATATCTATCGAAATAAAAATTTTTTGTACTTCTGTAAGGCGGATATTATTAGTAAAATAATTGTAATAAAAAAGAATAATTGTATTCAAGTAATTTTTTTATGAATAAAAATTTGATCAATATTAAAAAGTAACAATTATTAATAATAGGCACGCTTAATGTATTTCAATGATCATTTGTAATGTAGAATGTGGCCAGAAGAAATGTGAAATGCTTAATCCCTTAATCAGTATTGCCAATTGTTCATTGAATTTTCAGTATGTACGAACTGTTCTTTTCAATCGAAGTGTAAACCGGAGTAAATAATTATCCAAGTGACCTAAAAAGATAAATAATGTCTTTACATCATTTAACTCTTTACACTTATAGTGTAATACTTATAGTCATAAAATAGATTTTCATGCATATAATACCTGTCTTTATTAGAACATAAAATAATTATAAACTCAATAAGAAACTTACTAAAAAGCCAGCAAATGATGTCATAAAACCTTCTTTCGTTAATTCCCAAACACCTCCAAATTCATCTTCGTCAATTTGCTGGAAGCTACTCATATACAAATACGTTGAACCCGCATTTACAAGGGCAAATCTTAAAGAATAGATAATATAAAATGATTGATTATCTACTATGCAAGTAGATAGTGTTAGTCAAGAAGTTTAGCTCTATTTGGTTCGAATACTTACAATACTAACGCTACAAAACCTTTAAGAGGTATTATTCCCCAAATAATACCAAGAATAATTCCAATAACTTGTCGACTCCAGTAAATGACATCAAGAAATTCATCCTGAAATTTAACATTTAATTTATTTGAGTTTTTTTCTTCAAATAGTGCTTAATTATTCAGAAAATAACACATTATTATTGAAAATAATGTTGGATCTGTTTACCTTATCAGGCCACTCCGAATTAGCAGTTATTGCACGAGTCCATATACTTTGTATACATTTACTACCATTAGCTACTTTTTCTGATTTTGTAGGTGACATTTTTATTGATAAATAATTAAATTATCTACTAATTTTAACCTATATGCACGAACACATGTGACCATTTGCATGGAATCACAGTAAGTATACAGACAGTGTTATGTAGTGCCACTACCAGTTGTGTATACGCAATCGAATTCGGTTAAAATCTTGTCAGAATGCCGATAAATAACCAGACACATAAAACAGCTGATGGATCGTTAATTAACACTCGAATGAACAGATGCTACAATGTAATATTATTATCAAAAAAATAAAGAATCACTGCGACTCTGTACGTAACAAAACTGAACTTGATTCCTGCTTGTTTTGTGTTAAGAGGAAAGGGAAGTGATTGTTGAGTTTTTTTTACAAGTCACTTTATTTTTCGAAAATCCCGTTGATTTCTTATTTATTTATCAACTTATAAATTAAGTTCATTAAAAGAAATATACAAAATGAAAATACGAAAAAATTATTTATAAATTTTTTAATCAAGTTTTCGTGTTTACAATTGTTAATTGATATTAATTTGATTTAATGAGGTAAATAATTTGTGATACAACTTATAATTAAAATATCTTTTTTATCAATTGTTTTGTTCAACTAGCGCAATTCAAATCACCGTGTTATGAGACTAATCGGTTATTAACCTTATTTATTATTAATATACTGGATCTAAAGCAACTAATAAATATAACTTATGAATAAATAATAAACTATTCTAACAATTCACACAACTGTCTCTTTTTCTAATAAATGATAATAAAAATAACCACATGAGTAATATATTGTATAATATTTATTGGTTATAGAATTTTTTGTATATTAATATTATTGTGTAATAATTGCCATTAAACAATGATTAGCAATAAACGTTATTACAAAATGTAAGTGCTTATCAATAAAATTTAATACAAAAAATCTCAGTAAAATTGCATTAAATAATATTATTTACAAGAAAATGATTTTCTCTAAAAAAAAATTGTTTCAGTTGCGAGAAAAATATTAAATATCTTCAACACAATAAATTCAGGAAGCCTGCAAGAGTTTATAAGTTTATGTATTTATGAGCAATAATATTAACATTTGGTTGGACTTATCTATAATATAATGTCCTTAAGTCTTTCGGAGTAATGATTTTGGTATGTAGAATTGGGGTTGTACGACAACTTTTGGCACAACAATGATCCCATTTTAACTTTGCTCATGTTTGATACATAAAAATGTAAGTCTCATTATAATAAAAATTTGAACGAAATTCATATATTTATGATTTATGCAGAGTCATTTATTAGACAATTGACTCAATCGTACAATAAGTGTACGGGTATATAATTTAATTACAGATATTTAAAATTTTTTAATATGTACATATAATAAATACTAGTAACGAAAGTGTGATTAGCAATACTTCAAGTATCTATTTTACATATCAGTAAAATTGTTTTATTGTACGCAAACGATTTTTATACTATTTTTTGTAATAATGTTTAGAGATTCTTGTATCAATATGAATCCACATGATCTATGACAATATTAAATATTTCATGACATTATTCATCAATTAATACCATTTCGATAATGAGCAAAAAATTATCAATAATTTTTTTGTATATAATATTATTCAATTTTATAAATAGATCTCAAAAAGAGTGGCATGATTGACTAGGCTTTTGATAAAAATAAGCCTTGATAATACGTTGATTAATAAATTAAGATGAATTTAAAATAATTTCTAGGCCCTAAATGATTTCTTAGTCGTTCTTTTTGTTTTTTTAAAACGCGCATGGCACAAATACAAAATGGAATGTAAGTTATACTATCATTAAATATTAATTTAATAATTGTATCAAACATCAACAACATCGTTATCGTAATTGAAATTCGAATCTCGCAAAAATGATGTCCTTCGTAGTTTAAAATTTATACGGCCATCCTCATCCTTTATCGGTGCTGGCAGCCCCTATAACAAATTCACAATCTTACTCTTTATGTTGCATTATAAATATTTTGCAACATTCAATCAATTAAAACCTTTCGTGTTTGAATATTACGAATGTGTGTGATCAATAAAATAAAACACAAATATTAAAAAAAAATATATATGAATACCTTAGTCTTAGTACGATCTACAGAACGATGAAGTACTGATCTCCATGCAGGTATGATTTCTTCTAAAAATAACGCAATAACAAAAAATATAAAAGGAAAAAAATAAGGAAACGTTTAAATATAAAGATGGATTGAATGTATGATTTTTTAATTGCAAATGAATGGATAAAAATAATAAATATAATATATAACAGGCAATATTTAATAATAACCGAATAATTTGTACCATTTTCTTTGCGGTCTGTTTTCCCTTTGTTCAAACTAGCTGCGAGTTCTTTGACTGATCGTTTTTCTACCGTACTGTTGCTAAGTGAACTTGCTGTACTACTCGCTGAAAGAGTTGGAGGTAAAGAGGCTGGTCCACTGACTCCACTATCAGTTGATTCATCTAATGCATCCCCTGAATCTGGAGTATTTCCGGCTGAGGTGTTAGGACTTGATCCATCACTCAATAAATTATTAAATTCACCTGAATAAATGATTCGTAAGTTATTTATGACAGATTCACTTTGTGACGTATTATTCAATCTCAATTTACCTGATTTTCGATCAGCACTCATACTCCATGGCCTTGGTTTAGGAGCCGTTACAGGAGGTATAGGTTTAGTATTTCTACCGGCAGTAATACTTGAACTACTTCTAGGTTGATCACTACTAAGATTAAAATTCGCCTTATTACAAGATTTGAAGCAGGCAAGACTTGATGGCTGTTTATTAGCGTCATTGGACGGACAACTTTCTGATGGTGTTGCGATTAATGAACTCCTAGATTCATGACTGCATGAAATTGACCGGACTTTACTCGCTACTTGACCACCTGACGGTTTTTCGTTGTCTGCTGAATTGCTTAATGAACTATTTTGGCTTTTGGTTAATGACTTCTGATTTTCTCCACCTGTGATGAATATATTTTGTGATATTTCTGAAACTTCGCTACCCGATGAATCTCGTGATACACGATTCAATGGTGTAGACACAGGACTGCCCGAAGAGGAAATACCTCCTCGTTTTCGAACATCACTGTCTTGTTGTTGAGAACTATCCACGACACTTCGACGAGCAAGTGGTGATGCAGTTAATGGTGTATCTCCCTGTGATCTACGGCCGGCGAGTGGAGAAAATTTCTCGAAATTTTCACTAGATCTTGAACGAGGAGTTGGCTCGAGAAGATTTTTAAGAATTGGTGAATTACAGCCATGAGGTTTTTTGTCTGTATCTTGTGGAATGCTTCTCTGACTAGTCAAAGACAAATTTGGGCTGCCATTAGTAGAAAATGTATGTAAAGAACTGAAAAAATTAATTGTTTAAATTAATAAATTTATAATTTTAACAATTTCAAAATAAATTACCTATCGTCACTCGTCGGTGAAATGAGAGGTGTAGTAGGAGTGTTAGGTCTGAAAAATACATCAAGACCTTCCCCAAGAGTAAGAGATCCTCGTGGGATATCAGTACGAAGCATTGGTCTAGAAGGTGCTCGAGTTTTCGTTCTTCGGGGTCGAGATTTTACAAGATGTTGTAATTGTTGACCAGCATTATTAGGAAGTTCAGATATTGAATCTAAAGACTCAGTTAATGAATGTTCATTTTCAGAAATAGCTGAAATAAGTTAAAAATATAAATTGTGGATTAAATAATTTTTTTACTTTTTCAAGGAATAGAAAAGAATGAAACTATTTAATTACTTTCAGTATTGTCTTTTGGTAAACTGGGTAATAAATCAGGAATATCATCAGCTGATAGTCCTTCTACAGAGTCAACCACAGATTTAGGACGTAGTTTACGCCCATGTAAACTTTTTCGTTTGTTAGAAAGATGAGGGGTTGCCTGAAAGATTAACAATTCGATTATTTATTGAAGAAAAGTAAAATTTCATACTTATAATCAACACAATTATTAGTAATAATTAGTTCCTTTATTACTTACAAGATTCAAATAATCCAATTTCTGATAAGCAATGCACAGAATAAAATTAATTGATTTAAAGATATAAAATATATATGAATAAATGAATAGAATAAATACTATTTATTTACCACAGGATGGTCTGGAAGTCTCGGAGAATTAATTCCAATGAAAAGATTAGCTGGAGTTTCATATTCATGTACAACTGAACTTCTATGAGAGTCACTCATTTTATTGGTGTGATTTGATGCCGGGGAGATAGTAGAGACAGCGTTATATCCTCCACTATCAATACTCGGTCCAATTCCAACACCAATATTGATACTACCTCCAATACCAATTACACTGCCGCTACTCGTTGAACTAATACTTGGTCGTAATACATCAGGCGTACTGCTACGTGTTCTATCATGAGTATCACCAATCAAAGTCTTATAACTACGTGAAAGAGATTCAATGACTTCATCTGTAATTCTATCCGAAATATGAGCAGCAACAGCGAGGTTAAGCTCATTCACTCTGTTAACAATGTCAGTACCAGCTTGTTCAACAACTGCAGTGTTGATGAATTCACCACTGATTTGATTTTTGCCTTTACACACATTACGCAGATCATCTTCGACTGATACAGGTTCAGATTCGTCATTACGAATAACAGTTTGCGACATAACAGTGGGACAATGATCATTTGCACACTTCAAAATAGCTTCTAAGGAATCTTCTAAGTAATCCGTCACAACTTTGTGGATATCTTCAGCTATCTCTTTCAATCTAGCTTCAATTGGATTATTTTCATCTCGACGCTGCAATACTTCATGTAGTCTGGGCAATAACTGCTTCGAATTATCCGCGTCTTGGATTAAACCAGTTGCATAATTAATGTCATTATTTGCATCACAACTTTCAGCTGCTAATGTTTTAATAGTATCCTGAGTTTGTACGACTAATCTGTCGACTACTTGTTGAGTAGAACTAAGTAAAAAACCTTGTTGAAGTCTGAACGCTTGGCCTGGGCTATATTTACAAGGTGTAACATTTCTCTGAAGCATATCTTGAATTTTTTTCGCTAACTGTTCAGCCTTTTCAGCTGAAATTTTCATGCAAGGTTGAAGATCATAGATTGGAAATGGCATATGTCTTACACTATAATTTTTCTCTAAAGCATGAACAATATCTGAATATCCTTGAAGTGTAATATTATTTTTATCATAAATTATTGTTTTGAGATGATTATTTATTTGTAATGCTTTGGCTAAAAGTCGAGCGCCAGCATCTCCAATTTGATTGCCGCTTATATCAAGTGTATGAAGACAAGTATTACTACCAAGAGCGTTTATCAAGCTATAAAGATCACCTTTGAGTCTAGAGTCAGGTATGTATAATGATTGTAAAACACAGTCATCCTCTTGAATCATCTGTACAAGTGAATCCATTACAATAGCAATGTTTTTAGTTTTCATTCCAGCTGTGTTTCGTCCCATAAATAAATGCTTAATTGATTTGTTTTTGCCAATTGCTGTAATAACTTGTGCCAAATCAATATCCATATTACTGTCAGAGATGTCAAGTGAAGCAATACAACGTACACCATGAATACAAGATTCAAGAACGTGTGCTCCCATTGATCCAAGATTATTGCCACTCATATCCAATTCAAGGCCAACAGTACTTTCATTGCAAGCCAAACCTAATAATAGATGTTTCAGAGCTTCCAAAGGCAATTTACAATAAGAAATATTCAAGTATTTAAGTGAGAGTGTTGCCGTGAAAAATTGTTTAAAACTAGGAGGTATTTCTTTGGTCTTTTTACTGGTAAAAGAATTGCGTGCTACATTTAAGTGGACTAGATTAGTAGCACAGCCGCGGAGTAGAGCACCAAATAGACATTCCAGTGTTATGTCTGTTCCAGCAAGGTCTAAATGAGTTAAACTGTTTGGCTGAGCCAAAAAATTACAAAGGTTATTGATGTCATCTTTCAATGTGTTTTCGGAGAAATTGAGGTATCGTAAACTAGTTGTCATACTTCTATTTAAACTTAATGCATGAGCTAATTGTGCAATTCCTTTTCCAGTCAATCCACAGTGTGATAAATTCAATTTTTGCATACCTTTAGGTATTCCAATAGCACTACCTGCAAGGTGACTACTACCTTGTGTTAATTTAGCCACGATAGCACAGAGACTTGTTGCACCTTTATCTTCTATCATATTATTCGATAAATCAATAGTATGTAAAACTGTATTAGTGTTGGCTATCAATGCAAGTGATAACTTGTGTGCAAAGTCACATTTTAATCCGAGATTGTCCAAATAAATTTCCTGAAGTGAAAGAGATCGACGGACAACATGAAGCAATCGTTCGAGGCACTCATGGCTCAACTTCAAATGTGATGCACGTAATTTCGTAAACCATGTATTGTATTCCAAAGCAGATATAATAGGTACTAAATCCTTTTGGTCTAAATGATCAAAATCTCTTAAATTAAGTTCTCTTGTGTCGTGTGACAAATAAATAGTATCTACATCCCATGCAACTTCTTCCCGATATTGTACACAGTGTAAATCGCACATACAAGCATATTGTGTTGAAAAACCCCCGCAAGGTCCGGTTGTTCTTGTTGCTTCAGTGCTTCTTGCCAATTCACTGCCTCTAATACTTTGTAATCTACTAGCCGGTATCACATCGATTTTTCGAATTACGTAATTCAATGGTACTGTAGGAAAAATATTTCGAATTGCTGTATGTAATGCCTCTATCATTGCATCCACTTCTGTTGTGTCTGTACCGCCCAAACCAGTTGTTGTAAAATTGTACGTTCGTTCTCCTGCTGTTAGACATAATTGATTGGCTCGTCTTGATTCAATAGCTGTGATTTCTAAGTAATGAAAATGACAGTCAATCTGAAATTAGAGAAGAATTATTATTTAATTATTCAAAATCAACAACCATTCTTTTTCATCCAAATTCGAAACTCACCCTAGTTGGTACTTTGGCTGTCAATAAGAATAAACGACAAGGAGAGAAAACCTAAATGAAGAAATTTAATAATTAACAATTGTTCATCCAACTATGAATAATTTAACTGTCCAAGGGAAAACAATGAATAATTATGCAAAGCATAAATTTCAATATTAATTGTACTCTTAATGGTTTTTAATGGCATGAATTTTTAAATACGTGTATATATAAATAAACTGTGTGGAATAAACTACAGGAAAGTATTAGAAAAGGTGTGAAGTAACTCTAAAGAGTTAAAAAGAAAAAACAAAGAAGTCTGGACACGTCATCTCGATGACTTGTCTATAATTCATATGCTGCAACAAAACTGCTATATCCTTTTATAGTTACTATATGATGTGAACCTTGTGCAATTATATAAAATTTCTATGAAAAAAACTGCAAGATTTTAAAGAATGAAGACCTCAAATATTTCCTAAGGTATTCTAGTAATCCATTAACAACTTTTCTTTTCTGTGAATTAAAAACCTACACATTCCTTCCACCTAATTTCTTGAAAATACCACATGAGATCATCATTTATTATGGAACTTTCAATCATAAAGTAAACATAAATAAAGATAAATATTTTTTTATCGGTCAGGGTGAAAAAACTGCAAGTGAAATTGATGCTACGTTGATGAACTGATTTTAAACAGAGATAAAATATATAATTTAGTTACTTTCTATGAGGAAGTTATTTTAATATAATACTGTATACAGTATGTTTATTAAAAATTTATGTTATACTTAAAAATATTTATGTTATAAATTTTTTATTTCGTTTTATATGTTTATAATCAGTTTTTCAGTACATTAATTTGTTTTTCATACTTCAAGCAAGGAAAAAGATAATAATAATTACTGTCAATAAAAAATAGATAAAGATTAAGTTTTTATCTGTTTATATAAAAGACTAAAAATGAGTTTAAACTTCTTATAATCTTTTACAATCATAAGGGAAACGTTCCTATAAAAAATTTATCTATTATTCATCTATTGATGAAGTTCCGAGAAATTTAATTTGATGACATTGAAATAAATTATGAATTCTGTCCGAGTGAAGATTAGAATACACTTGAAATAATTATATGTAAATTACTGAATCAGAAGATGCATTATCCTTATTTTAGTCTAATTTAAATGTTATTTTGACCACCTTTGTATTAATACAAGTATGTGTAATAAAACATTTTAAAGGACAACAGTTTTCCCTTGGACCAATTGATTCATCTAAAAAAAAAAGAATTGACACTTACTAAAACACGATTTTCTTGTTTATCTGGTTTCGTCTCGAGTTTAACCACATTTTTCAGCAAAATTTTCACATGTTTCCCCAGTAATGCTTTGACTGATTCTGTTAGAATATAAAATTTGAATCTTATAATCGATTTTAAAGTTTTTAAAATATACAAAAAAAATATTTTTTACGAACCATTTAAATCCTTGGTAAGTTGCGATCGCGTTGACATGATGTCTGATACTTTTATTAACTGTTTTAATCGAAAAATTCTCAAGACATTATTTTTTAAATAAATAAAAACATTATTTTGTTTATCATTTCAATAACACAAAACTCCTATTGATTGTGATAACAACATTAAACACGCAAATGTCGAAATAAAATACTGATGCAGATGAGAATTTATCGGCCATGTTGTCATTCTTGATCGCGGCAAGTGCATTATTATCTTGTACGATTTATACTTTAGTTTTTTATTAAAATAATTGTATTACTATGTGAAGATTAGTATCCATGTTACACCATAATAAGCACTAAGATGAATTAAATTATTTAATAATAAATATGATATGAATTAAATAAAAAATGACCACTTGACAACGATCATCGCACGTTGCAAGATCTCGTGCGACTCATCGATGAAACACATATTATAATTCATCATTATTATTATGTTTCTCTGTAAATCCGATAGGTGGTTATCACGTCTAATCTGTTTACGCGGGAAATTTTAATTAAACAATTAACGTTAGTTGATATGTTTTTTTTTATCCACTGATTAATGTGATTTATTCGAATGATTTTTTATGATGATTGTGTAGTTGCACTCTATTTTTTATTATTATCAATGTAATTGCACAATATTACGTAATAAGATTGCATTTTTTATTAAATAATTAATGTAAACACTTCAACACTCAATGAAATAAATCATTTAGTGATTCATAGAGTAATTCAAGTAGCACTTGGGTCAATCATTGGATTCGTTGTAAATAATATTCATTTTGATACATATTTTCCATATTCATTAGACGATTTAATACCAAAGATAATTCTAGATACCACATTCAGATCAGAGGGAGTCTTTGTCAGTAAACAATATTTTCCAATATTTTCTCTTCAAATTTTTATCCACCAGAGCTCACAATAATCGTATATGTGTGTCTATGTGTATATAAACCATGTGCATGTCTGTTGGTTCAACATATTAGGAGAAAACTGACCATTCGTACACAAATTTAATTCATGTAATATTTCTTGTGATGTAGATATATTTATTTTAGTAAATTTAATAAGGTTGTAAATTCGATGTGTCTTTTTTTTCAAACTGAAAGATACTTAAATTAATTATTATTATAGAGTTATAAACTAAAGATAAAAATGACATTAGCTGTGATTTATTGGTGGATATAATAATATGCAAATTAATAAGTGAAAAAATAACAAGTTATTAAAAATACAATAAATTAAAGTTGAAAAATATGTCAAGTTTACAATTGGAATTAACTGCTCCGGAAACATTACTTTCCTTAATTCAAAGTTTAGCTGATTTACCATGCAGTGCCATACAACAAAAATTAAACAAATATGTAAGTTATTTTGTTATTTGTTAGATTTTTATGATTAAATATATTCAGACATTACTTGAAAAAAATATTAAATTCTATAAAATGACATTTTTATTCAATAGTTTCTGACTATTGTCATTGAAGTATACACATTTATTTTTTGTTTTCGTGTTATTTTATTTAAGATTATTTGTTCAGGTATTTTTTTCTCTTTGCAGATTCAAGAAAAAACTGGTGCTGAACTTTCATTCCTTGCTCCAATCTTGCCGAAGACCGAGGAAATAGTGGTTCATGTTGTTGGTCAAAAAATATTAGATCGAGGATTGAGATTTCCTATAAATCAATCTGAAGTAACAAAAACAATCTATCTTGTTTATTTTATTTCATAGAAAATTCAATTCTTAATGGCTGCCAAATATTATGATGATTACAGGAGTACAATGAAGTATTGAATAGAGTGATAAGACTAAGAAAAGCCATAGAAATCGATTGTAATCAATTAAACCAGGAATTATTGGGACACTTAAAATCAAGTATTAATTCTACTTCTAATAAAGTACTAAGTATTCCAATAGAACATCCAATTGATCAACACATTGCTTTGGTTGTTTGTATTAATAATTATCCAAATGAAGCAAATGCTGAAACAGTTTGTACCAAAATTGTTCAGGAATGTTTTCGGTAAATATTAATTATTAAATTCAATTCAATTTAATCAAAATATTATGATTGAATAATTTTATTACAGATATTGCCTCGGGTTAGTACTAACAACATTAAATTGTGAAGAAGAAACGCGTTTGAAGCTTCAATGTCAAAATCTGCTTACTGTTTCTCGAAAATTGTTTACACATTTAGGTATAAATTTATTGATTTTACATACGTGTAGAGGATTAATTCATTCATTAAACTATTTGATTTATTATTTTGACAGGTGACTTGACGGATTTATTACGAGAAATAATGATAGAAGCACGAAAATTAACTAACGCTGAAAGATGCTCACTTTTTCTTCTTGATAATGATCATCAAGAGCTGGTAGCAAAAGTTTTTGATGGAATAAAAGCAGCAGATGTGTGTTCATTTAATTTTTTACTCTATTGACGATTTTTTCAAATGATTACAAATGAGTAATAAATTTGTTGATTGATTTTATTGAAGGAAATGCGAGTGCCTATTAATCAAGGAATAGCTGGACATGTAGCAACCTCTGGAAATTTGCTCAATATAAGGAATGCATATGAACATCCACTTTTTTATAGAGGAATGGATGAAGTAACAGGATTTAGGACAAGAAATATTCTCTGTTTTCCCATTAGAGATGAAACTCAAATCATCGGTTCGTTAGTAATATTTAGGATTATTGTTGAACTTGATGATAATTATTTCACGAAGTGTATTTTCAGGTGTAGCTCAGTTATGTAATAAAATAAATGGACTGTACTTTGATGTGTGTGATGAAGAGGTAGCAACAGCTTTCAGCATTTACTGTGGGATTTCCATCATGCACAGTATTATTTATAAAAAGATTCAGGATGCTCAAGCAAGAAGTAAAATCAGCAATGAGCTAATGATGTACCACATGAAAGTAAGTGTATTTATTTGTTTTTCTTAATACATTTTTTAATTGATATTAACAAAAAAATTTTATCTACATTGGACTTGTTGATAATTATAGCAGGTAAAAGAATTGATTTAATAATTATTGAAGAAAAATTACTATTTGAACAATTTAATTACTATAAATTTAATGAAAATTGTATTATTTAGGTTGAAGAAGATGCTATTATAGCTTTATTAAATTGTAAAGATGATCATAGTCTAAAAGACTTTGACAAATTTGACTTCTGTCCTCGAAGTATTCTTCATGAACATACTCCTTGTTATACTCTAAGAATGTTCGATGATCTAGGTCTTACCAAATTTTGGCGAATTCAACGAAAAGCATTAGCTCAGTGAGTAAAGAAATATTTTTAAATGAATAAACATAATTTGAAGAAATAATCAAATTTTTATATTCATTAGGTTCATATTGTATGTGAAAAAAGGTTACAGAGATGCTCCGTATCATAATTGGATCCATGCATTTTCAGTTGCACATTTTGCTTATCTCATGATCAAGAACTTTAATCTCGTTGCTAATAATTACATGTCTCAATTACAATCTCTAGTATTTCTAGTATCCTGTCTCTGTCATGATATTGATCATAGAGGGACCAATAATTCATTTCAAACTCAATGTGGGACTGTTCTGGCAAGTCTTTATAGTTCTGAAGGTTCGGTGATGGAAAGACATCACTTAGCTCAATCTATGTGCATTCTCAATACTGATGGTTGTAATATTTTCGAAAATCTTGAGGGTGATTTATATAGCAAAGCATTAGATTTATTGAGAAATAATATTTTGGCAACTGATCTTGCTTCACATTTCCGAACAATGGATGAACAAGAAAAAATGTTAAGAGAAGGATATGAGAAAGAAAATCCAACTCATCAAAAGCTGCTCCATGCTATGTTTATGACATGTTGTGATCTTAGTGATCAAACGAAGGATTGGAGAACATCGAAAAAAACTGCTGTAATATTTCATGTTTTTTTGATAAATCATAATTAAATTGATATATAATAAATAATAAATTTTCTTTGTATTTTTAGGAGCAAATTTATGATGAATTCTTTTCCCAAGGTGATTTAGAAAAAAGCATGGGAACAGCTCCAATTGAAATGATGGATCGAGAGAGAGCGTCAATACCAAATTTGCAAGTACAATTTATAACGAACCTTGTTTTGCCACTTTTTCAAAATCTTGCCACATTATTTCCTATTGCCGAGTGTCTTGTCAAAACTATTAAGAAAAATCGTGATATTTGGAAATCTGCAGTATCTATATTTCATGAATACAGCAAAAATGGTATTAAAGGAATGGATGTGTTATTAGATCCGAATGTTGAACAACAAATTCTTACTGCCTATGAATCGCAAACGAAATCAACATAAATTTATTATTTCGTTCTTTAGTCAAAATATATAGGAACAAAAATGCTTATTATCTCTTTATCTAAAGGATACTATTTCAAATACTCTTTTATTCAACTAAGAAGAGATGAAATTATTAACGTAAAGCATTTTTGCAGATTGTTCTTCTTCTTGTGATTCAAAATTAAGTTTAAAATAGTAGAAATTACATAATAGATATAAATTTCAGAGCGCTGGCGCCTTTTACAATGTAAAAATTACTATTTATTGAAAAACTTTGTAGGGCAATTTTAAATGACTAGAAAGAGTAGAAATATTGGAAGCTTTTTATTATCTAATCAACCTATGAATTCAAATTAGAGTTCCTTCCAATCTCTATTGTCAAGTACATGATATTAAAAATAAATAGACTCATTAAAATAATTGAGCAATATCTAAAATGATATATTTTTTCGATTAAATAAAAATTGAGATTTAAAATAATACATTCATTTTTAATCGTATATTTTTTACACTTTATTTTACTAATGCCTGTGAATTTTTTTGTATTTTCAAATTGCTATTGCCATGATTAATTACATAAGTCTTAATTTTTTTTTACTAAAAATTTGGAAATATTCCACGTGTATTATTTGTGATTTTTTAAATAAAATTATGCCAAATGAAACTACTTAATTTTTAAACAAGATTTTTAGAATTATACATTTGTAAACTATTTGCGAGCAATAAATGAATTACCTTTTCATAATTAAATAATTTGTGAACGATGATAATTATTCACCGTATGTATTATATTGCTCTTGTTTTTATGATATATTAAATTATTTATTATAAATGAAAATGTAAAATTTTGTTTAGATATATTTTTGTAGATTTTTATTAATTGTGATATGAAAAAATAAATATTAAAACTTTAGTTTTTTATGCTTGTTTGTGTTGTTGGTTTCTACAGTTTACTTATTACTTTTTATTTTTAAATTTCATAACTTATACCTCAAGGTAAAATTAAAATGTGCATTTGAGTATCTGATTATTAGTTTCAAAAAAAAAGCTTGAAATATTAAACTTCATCTCGACTTCATTTTTGTGTAGATAATTTTTATTAGTTATTGCAGTTAAACAAATGATACTTATAATAAATTATTAAATTTTGAATTTGAGAAATGACATACAGCAGCATCTAATGTTGGGGCAAAAAACTAAAGAAATGAAAAGCAATGCTCGAAGTCAAGCTGGAATACGACTGGAATATTAGAACCTTTAACCTTATCGTATAAAATAATATTACAAAATTATATGTTATAAATGGAAAATGTCATTGAATATATGATTTAAAAATTAGTGTAGTATTGATAATTGAAAAGTCTATATAAATAATAATTTTAATTCAAATAAAGCAAGTATTTGTCAGTTATTTAAAATCACTTGAATAAATCATTACTCCATTCAAAAAGTGCAGTTAACCGAAATCCACATATACATGAATATTCTTGTAGAAAAAAGACAATCATTCCGATAGCTCTAAAATATAAATCAAAGTATTATATTTTATTCAATATATAAACTGTAAATATGGCACCTGATGTATCTGCACAATTAGAAAAGAAGAAACATGCTCGATATTTTAAAAGAATATTACAACTAATGTCAAGCCGGACTGCAAAATATGATTGCAGTAGAATGATGTTGGCTTTTTTTTCTATTTCTGGCCTTGACATTCTTGATTGTATGGATTTTATAAATCCAGTTGAAAAATCTGCAGCAATAGAATGGATTTATAAATTACAAATAATCAAAGAAGACGGTGGTTCAGGATTCCAAGCTTCTACAACATTACCGAATGAAGCAAAGGAATATCAGTGTGGTCACCTATCAATGACTTATACTGCTTTGTCATCACTTGTGGCTCTTGGTGATGATTTATCCAGAGTTAATAGAAAAGCAATTATCGAAGGTGTTCGAGCTTGTCAAAATCCAGATGGTTGTTTTATGGCAATGAAGAATGGGAGCGAAAGTGATATGCGATTTCTTTACTGTGCCTGTTGTGTTTCTGCTCTTTTGGATGATTGGTCAGGAATGAATAAAACTACTGCTATCGATTATATTTTAAAAAGCATTGTAAGTAAATTATGATGCATTTTAAAATTCACCTAAGCTTTACTTTATTGTAAGGTTGACTTGTTAATGTATTATGGATTCTCTCATTAGAATAATTACAGTCTTACGATGGAGCTATGGGACAAGGTCCAGAGCTTGAATCGCATGGAGGATCTACTTTTTGTGCTGTTGCTAGTTTGGATTTGATGAATGAACTCCACAATGTGCTGTCTAAAAGTCAACTTGAAAAGTTAAGACGATGGTGCCTTATGCGTCAAACTGACGGTTTCCAAGGGCGACCAGGAAAACCTTCAGATACTTGTTATAGTTTTTGGATTGGTGCTACTTTGAAAATCCTTGATGCTGGCCATCTTGTCGATTCTAATGAAAATAGAAAATTTATTCTTAGTACCCAAGACAATATTACTGGTGGATTTGCTAAATACTATGATTATTGTCCAGATGCGATACATACTTATTTAGGTAAGAAATTTAGAAATGATTGAGAAAAATTTTTTATGTAAAAAAATTATTTTCATCAATTTTGTTGATCATTATAGGGATATGTGGATTAAGTTTGTTAGGCGAGCCTACTTTACAACCCTTAAATCCAGCGCTGAATATCTCTACTCGTGTTTACGTACGTTTACAGGAGATTCATAAAAAATGGCGAAATGGTTGACTAATTTTTATATAATTAATATATTCCAAGATATCCATATCAAACGCACACGAATATTTACATTTGTAAAAATTTTTTATTGTTATATGTTCAAAAATAATGATAAAAAGATACCAATATTGTCCAGTTAAGCTTTGATAATTTATCTACCAGCGAAATTCTAAAAATTGTGCTTATAAATACGTATTGATTGATACTCATTTTTTATAAAATGTTTGATTATGAATAATTAAATAATTGTTAGATCGTTGTTTCGTTTGTTGAACAAAGTGATGATCATAATTCTTGAAATGAATATTAATTATAATTTTTTGTCTGGATTAAAATGAATAAAATGATGATCTCATACAAAATAATTTTTATAACAGCTTAATGACATTTTTTTTTACATTTATAATAAAATTATAATTTTTTGTACCAAAACGGGAAAATAAAAGAAATTTAATTTCTGTTTTATTATGAAATCAGTTGATATATTTGATATGCATGTTAACAATTTCTGAGAAAATTTCCTTCCATTACTTATGAATCAACTAATATTTATTTCATCATTGATACATTTATTCTATTTATTTCATAATTGATTCCACTTGTTGACAAATTTATTCTCCTATTTAGGAAAAAAGGGGGAAACGTAATCGTAGAGTTTATGTACGCAGTAGGTGGATGCACTTTTCATATTAACATCAATTTAACTACTTGTGATTTTAGATTCCCTTTCATTTAATATTGGAGTACACATGTTATTCACTTTAACAAGGATGATATTGAGATGATGCATTACATACAAACAAAAAATGTTCAAAGAGGTATATAGTAACACTTCTTGATACTACTTGAAAACTTCTCAAGCGTGTGTGTCATGTGTCAAATGCCCCTTCCCCACTTCCAGTGAGCGGTTTCGTTTAGTCCATAATAACTTGAGGTGGGTATGCGACTGCGAATCATGAAACAGAACAGAAACACAGTTGGAGTCAGTCACAGTGAACGTTTGGAAGTGCTAGGAGTAAGTTGTATGTTGAACATAATAACTTTCGGTTGATTGTACACATGGACTAATAAACATACACAGTGTTATTCAGTAACTTTTAAATAATTATTTTAAACAAAACTAAGTCTAGTGTGGTGAACTAATTGTAAAAGTGTTCATACTTTTTTTGTCTGAAAATAAATAAATGACAGAGTGAGAGAAAAATATTTATAATTCAACATCGCAAGAGATTCATTTAACTCTATCGAGGTAAGACTTTTTATTGATAATTAATTTAAAAATAGTCATGATTTAAACAACATAAATTAACCTTAATATATTAAATTGTTTATTTGAAATGATTCTTCAAAAGAAGTTGTTACATGTTATAACTGGTTTCTTTTTTAAATTTTCTTCGTGATGTTTTTATTCAACTTGAAGAAAAAAAGTTCACCAAATCGTTATTGTAAAAAAGGAACATGTGTAGCGTGCACAAAGTAAATAGAAGTTGAAGCATGATAAGGCTAATTACATCGATTTCGAGCTAATTCAAAGTGTTATTAGTATATTTTGTTATATTCGTTATCAGGTGTTCTATGAAACTTTCTGTTTTTTTTTCTTTCATTTCATTTTAGTTGAGAATTATTACTCATGAAATAAATAATGCTTGATTAGTCATGTTCTTAAAAATATAACTTTTCCACTTGAACTGATAAACTTTTTTCAATTAGATTTCATTTAAAAATAAAATTTTTGAACAATTTTAAAAAAAGAAAGACTTTTATATTCCTTGTAAGTTCTAATTTAAAATATGTGTTCAATATTTCCATTATTATTCACGTTATATTCATATCCTGGATATAATAAATCGAAAGAGAGTAAAATTAAAGACTATTTATAAAATATTCCATAATATCATTTTATCTTTTAAAAGCAACAAAGAAATTGGCAACTATTGATTAGAAATGGATAATAATAAACTTTCTTCAAAATCAATACAAGTATATGATGGTTTTTCTTATGTATCATACATGTATGCCTATGTTTAATTTTTAACCAAAGTCCTTCAAGTGGACAAGTCATGGTCAGTCACCAAACCTTATAGCACATCGTGAATTTTAAATACATTTATCTTCTCCTTTGTCCTTTATTCAATACACCATTTACTTTGTAAAGTTTACAAAGAAATAAACAAATTATAACATGAGCTTGTCATATAAATATTATGAATAATGAAAAATAACGGTTATAATATATGTACATGCATTTTTATCATCTAACTGAATCTCATGCGATTTTATACAATATTTTTTTTTCTACATGTGATGTATGGCCTTTTAACTTAATCCTTTTTATTATAAAAGTTTTCAGTACGATGTATTTGCAGTAATAAAAATTTAATTCTCTAATAGATTCTTCAGTTGTTAATACAGAATACATGTAGCTGCAGTCTCCATAATTCAAGTTACCTTTTTAAATACAGTAGCTGTTGTTGTTGTTGTTGATTGGAACATTTTTTCTAATTATTATTCAGTATTTTATGCAATTAAAATTCCAGTGTTAATGAATTCGTTGATACTTCAATTAAAAGAGGTTTAATCGTGATAAACCCATGATTTAATATTTATCAAAAGTTAATCTATAAATTATTTTAATTAAAATAATATGACCTTTATTAAATAATAAACTTTATACCTTCATAAACCAGATTTTGAATTAAGATATTCTCGTCAAATATGATGATATAAAGTGCACAACTTTTTCTTTACCTCGAGGAATAGGTCATAATAAAGTTCGTAAATAATCACTGTAACAGTGATGAAAGGTTTAATTAGAAATTTAATTAAATATTTGAATTTTTTATAATTTCCTTTTATTTATTTCAAAGTAATTATTTCTCCATATTAATTGTCAATAGATTATGATATATGATAGCTATAGCTACTGAAAATATTCACAATATTTTTCTAGTAATCATAAAAGAAATATTTCTAGAAATAAGGAATATTTATTCAGGTTCATTCTGACTTTGGTTCAACTGTGCTCCACCAATATGTATTTAAATCATTTTTATATCTATGTAGAATTGGTTATCTATGATGTAATGTTTAAAAGTATTCCCACTTTTATTGGTACGATGCACCGTTGGGAAAATAACTAAAAAATGAAAAGGCAGGTGGTTGAGCTTCTAGTAATATCACCGTCGATAGTTATGTGGTGGAAGAAGCCAGCACGCGTGCATAGCCAGCTGGCAAGCAACAGCTGCTTCTACTTTTAAAAAGAGGGTTGCAAGAGATTCAAATGATGACTGCTGGACAAAATCGGGATGTAGAATGTTCATCCCTGTTGATCAAAGTTCAGTCGCTGACCTGATGTTTCAAGTTTTTCTTGAGTATACTACTACTGACTTACAAAAAACATCTTGCCTCGTCACTTGATAGAATTTAATTGCATTGTGTGAGTTTAAAATGTGTTTTTTTAGCTAGCTGGTTTTTAGCCATGTAAAATATGAAACCAGAATATAAATATAATGTGAAATTCTTTTCATACTGTATCACAATAGACACATTAAAAGTTTTATCAATTATGATTAGTTGAGCACCAATTGCTAAGGTCTAAGAGTCAGAGTTGAAGAAATAATAAAATTCTTTGCTGTTCTAATTGAATATGTTATCAATAAAAGTTTCAAAATGATGTTATAAATTGGAATAGTAGTTTTTTGTTAAAAATTTGTTTCTTGAATAATTATTTTATGAAAAGAATTTTTTATTAACTCTGTCTAGGATTCATTCAAATTAGATTATTCAGAATATTACAGACATCAACTTTCTAAAAGTCGTCACCTTTCAACCTCTTTTCTTTTATTCTACCTTTTATATTACATTAGTTCGCAGTTTTTATCATCAACTAACTTCTACAGAACATTTCATGAAAGTTTTCTTATGAATATTGTATATGATAACGTTTCTCACAAATAGTTTTCTAACAGCTGACAGCTATTGTACGTGCAAAAAATTCCTTCAAAGTCCAATTCTTTTTTATCAAATTTATTTGAACATCTCCAATATGCGATGGTTTTTATTTATTGAATTTTATTTGTGAAATTTTATCAGAAAAATTCCATTTGATTCTTTGTATAACAAAGGTTTTTTGTTAGTTCTTGTTGGAATGCAATCTTCTGTTGTTTCTAGTTAAACACACACGACTAAACTCAAATCAATCAATATTTTTATAGAAAGAGTTAGAAGATAATCCACTATTGATTGCTTCGAGTAGATTGATTTCTTGAAGAAGAAAGTTTAGCAAATTTTTTTTTGCAGTCAGTGAAAAATATTTTTCATTTATTTATTTACGAACAGTGATCACTTGGTACATTATTAGATCATTAATTGTATAAAACGACTTATTTTTCTGCTGAAGTGCAATGTAAACAGAACTAACCAGTGGAAAAAGATGATATTTATAGAGAGAAAGTTAAATATTAGTAGGATATCAAAGAATCGTTCTGTTAGTTTTCCACTCCAACCCCGAATGTGCTTCTTAATGGAAAGAGCAAGAAATGATACATTTAAGTGAGTATAGAAATACATTTATGTCTTCAATGGCTAGGATGAGTGGATAAATATGATAATACAAAACATAAATTAATATTTAAATTTTTTATTGATATATTTATTTAGAATAATCCTCAAATCGTGATAAAATATATCTATATTATTATCTCTAAATGTAAAAGTATCAAAATCTGATAATAATCAATAGAATAATTACTTTTCACTAGGAAATTGCTTGTAAAAAAAAAATCTCTAGATTATAAAAAAATTTTCCACTGAATTACACAGTAATTAGACTTTCTTTTACGCAATTTCAGTGGAAAATTTCACACATCATTCAACGAAAATAAAAGGAAATAAGACTTTTAGTATGGAGTTGATGATTTCAATCAGATGAAAGTAAAAAATACATTATTTCACGTTTCTACTTAATCATTATTTTAGCATATTCAGTAGTAGCTTGTTAAAAATCCTCTATAGTTAAATATGATAATTTAAATCAGGGTAATGAATAAAACCGACACTGAGAAAAAAATTTACTTCATATAAAACACAGTTCATTTGATCATTAACATTGAAATTTCAAATAATTATAGTGAAATATTTCTTCGAAATTATGAACATTTTATTGAAATCATTTTATTTAATCAAATAAATAAAGTGCTATTTGTTTTCAAACTTGTCATAGTATTAAAACGAATGACAAAATGTGTTTTTGATGACAATATTATTGGATCGAATAAAATATTATCTTGAGAATACTCCTTTATTAATTAAATAAAAAAATTTTTCCATTCAACAATATTTTTTTCTCAATGTAGTCAATTACCTTGAAACATTGCCAAAATACCAACCACAAATTTCGTCATTTAATGCGGCTGGTGATATTCAATAAACTCATGTTGCTAGACGATAGACCATGATGAAAAATAATCAAAAAAAAATCAACGATAAGCAGAAACCAGTTTCTTGACGTCATTCCTCTGACTCCTGATGATAAAAATAATTAAAACTCCCATGTTATTCATAATTGCCACCAAAATTTATGATTAAATAAAATGAATAGAAAAAGTTCTGCAGAATCAAAAGAACTCTACTTGATTTCCCCTGACAGTGTTGTTCAATAATAAAAATTAACTATCAAAAACACTCGAAATTTTTTTTATCAATCTACTTTTTGTGATATCATAAAACTTTTGCTATGCAAAAAAAAACTTTCATTATCCTCAACACACAATAATAACGTTTTAATTAATTTACTGAGTAATAATCAAAATAATGAAATTCCTTCTTTTTAATAAAGACATATTTCTGTTAGGATTTGTGTTTCATTAAAATTTTATGTATAAATAATACTTTTTTTTATAGAATTGTTGATTATAACGCCTGCATAAATTTTCTGTGTCAAGGAGAGCACTGAGTGATTTAGATAATGGTGGACTTAATGAAATTATTGCTACTAAATAGATGGATATTGTCACTAAAATTGATTATTTGACCTGATGGTACAACCTTGAAATGTAATTAATATTGCTAAACTTTCAGGTGGCGTGGGGTACTGCTGTAATGGAGTTACAAAGCTGGCTTCTGTATCATCTAGTAGCCGCTACCGACTGCAATCGAGGTACATAGTGATATTGGAAAGTCATTAAATTCAAACATGGTCATTGAATAGTTTATCACACACACATCAGATGGTTTTGTATTTTTTCTATAAATAAATCATCAAGTAATGTTACTTAATTTATTGATTATTGATAATTTTATTATTATTTTATTCAATTCATCGTTTAATTTATTTAATAAGTTATGATTAATTATGATGTTTTATTTTATATATTATTTAGTTTGCTGAAAGTTCATTCATTACGTATTAACAAAAATTTTGGCTGCATTTAAAAATCAGTAGCACTGTCATCCCATTTGCAACTGAATTACATACTCTTAAGGCCATTGTTTACCAATGTTTGATGGTAAGTAATTGATATCTTATCTTCTTTTATCTGTAATAAACTGTTATTACTTTCTATTATTTTAAATAATTGAATTGATCTTCTGATTTAATGAATAAATATTCATTCATGTTTTTAATTGTTTCAATTCATTTATTATTTTGATGACATTTTCATGATAAATGTCAATTTTTTATTTATTTTAAATTCAATAAATCAGATTGATAAATTGCAAGAGAAACTTCATTAGAGATATTTTTTTGTCACCGTAATCCAGAACTTAGTTCTTCTTGAGTTCCAATTTTTTTAAAGTATTTTACAATAGTTTGTTTCTGAGTACACTGCAAATCCCAGGATTTTACAAACGTGTTAAAATAACACGCGTAAAGTGTGTTCAATGTAAAATGCCCATTAATAAACTATGCATGATTTGTAGACACTTTTTACACGTTTCCTAGTGTGTGAAAAATCTATAGTTTGTTTACGGCATTTAACATTGAAGAGGCTTAGCGTTTTAAAAGTGTCTACAACTTGGATTTGCAGTTTTAGAGGAGTGAGAGACTAGTGATAATAATTTTTAGTTGTTTCAATACGGTAGTCAAAATATTGAGTATTTTCATCATGAAGCACTTTCAAATAAAAGAACATCTACTCAAGTATTGACTAGAATGATAATGGGGCTCAAATTGATAACAAATGCTGATAATAAATGACTTTTTTGTCATACCCGTGCGGAAAGGTCAGTTTTCCACACAGGTATGACGAAAAATCATATTCAGCTATAGAGAGGACAATAAGACTATCCTAAACCACGTGGTTACCACCCTCGCTTTCGGCTTGGGTTGTAATTTTGCACATGGTTTAAGCTAGTCTACTTTTCCTCCCGAGGTGGGAAATGTACTATTTGTAAAAGTAATAGCATATAACAACTTACCCCGTTCTTGGAGTAAGTTGTAACTTATACAAAATATTTGTATAATTTGTAGACATTTATTGTCTAAATTTATTGTAAATTTGTATGAAAAAGATTCCTTATAACGTATTTGTTACAAACTCATTTCAAAAAGTCATTATAGTAACTTGGAATCAAACTTCTTACAAACTTCATTTTATTATGTTACCTGGCAAAAATAATGCACATTCTCACAACCACTCATTGCTTACGTCATAGGCCCTGTTATAAGAACAGATTAAGTGTAAATTGAAAACAAAATATTTAAAACCTGCTGAGTAATTAAGCAGTTATTTCTTGCCCTCGATTTTCCTTATCTAGTTATGAAGTTAATACAGCAACTTTATCATTAATTCAGAATAAAATTAAGTAATCAAAAAAAAAACTCCGATAAAAATGAATTTTAAAAAATATACAGTAATTAATAAATTTTTTTATTAAATTATAATTCAATGATGCAACATAGATTGATTAACATGGAATCATTTTTTACATCCATTTTCTAAAATAATTTCGATAAGTGAGTTTTGTAATTACATAAATCCACTAAGTGCTCATAGTTTCACAAAGAATCGATCATCATACCCGTAATTTTATATTCAATAATTTAATAACCGTTTTCTTTTTAGCAGAAAAAGATAAAAAGTATCGGCACAGTATTCATTTTTTTTATTTTATTTTTATGTCACTCATGACATTATATGTCACGTGTGTTTTGTTGAACACTAATTACTCTTTTTATGTATTACAGTCATGCAGTCGGCAACTACTGGTGGAGGAGTATACTCAGGAGGCGTTGCGTCAAACAGCCGAGCACGGGATCTAGGTCTAAGAGCACAAAAGAAAATTCTTGGACGAGTTGTGTCGTCAAATGCGGGAAGATCACTTTTTATAGATGATTCTACCACTTCTTTACTTGACAATCTTTTCAAGTTGATGGAAAAGGCTACTAAAAACAACCCCAATTTGGATAAAAAGCAGCCTGAAAAAGTGTTGAAAAACATTGTAAAATTATCAATTAAAGTAAGTTGTAGACAGAAAAAGAAAAAAGTTGGACTGATATTTCTATTGAATTCATAGCAAAAAATTACAAAGAAGTCAATATTGATTATAAAAGGTCTTGTCTTCTTCATGAAATTTTTTTCTTATCAACATTCTCAAAAAAAAACCTTGAAAAGTATCATGATGATTTGTTGCAAAAAAAAGAATCATTTCTGATTAAATCATTCTTTACCTTTCAATAACTCATAGAATATTCTCGTAGTCTCGTCACGAAAACAGAATAAATCAGGATTACATATCTTTCGAATGATAAAAAATGACAATAACTATTCTTCGAATTCTCTTTTCCCATCATAACTTCAATGAATCAGATTTTATTAAATCAATTTACTTTGCATATAAACAAATGTCATGACATATATAGGACAAACTATATACTGGAACAGCAATCACAATCCTTAATTCTTGTCATAAAAAATTATTGATATAATTATAGCATTGCGGAATATAAGAATCAGAAGTTTATGAAGGAGAATTTTTTTGGGGAAAATTAAATGTAATAAAATTATTGATTATTATATAAATAATCATCATCAAAGATTAAGAACTGTAAATACTGAAGAGTAATTTGATAATGGAACCTCTTGAAATTAAATTTATTTGATCTTATAAGACATTTTATGAGTTCTTAAAAAAATAATGTCATTTTCTAGGTCGGTCTCCTCCAACGTAATCAACAACTAAATCCATCAGACGACTCAAAAATCCACGAAATTGGATCCAGTTTGAGAGCTGCAGCCATGGCTGTAGTATCTTTTTATGAGCTAGATTTTAGTTTCGACAGAGTCTACTTAACAAGATCCCTGGAACGATGTCGAGCCGCTATACAAGACTTGATAAGACCTTATTTGACAGATAAATCCCAAGAAAGATGTGACCAAATTTTCGACTTTCTTACCAACTCGGATTTTCTTGATTCTATATTTAAACAAAATTCCGAGTATAAACCAATACTCGGTGCACTCGTCGAAGATATTAACAAAGCCTTAGATGCAGGTCATCTTTGACTTTCTACCTTCTAATGGTTTAGCAACAATATATCAAACTATTTTTCTCGCAGAATATGATTAGAGTAAACGGGAACATTTATATATTCCTTCAATATTTATTGTACTATACCCCCACGGCCTTGAGCTTAGCACGATTTCACTGCATCCATTGTCTACGACCTAGTCACAGACATTTAATATTTCCCTAAAGAGAATGATAATGTTCATTCATCATTGTCAACAAAGAATTTACTTAATCTAGTTTTTTACTTTTTATAATTTCTTTATAGAGACAAAACAAAGTTATAAATTATTTATTTTAATACGTATTAGAAGTAATTACTACTAAAACACAGTGTGAACATAATTGTTGGTAATAATTATTGTACTAAAATGAAACTTCTGCTTTTGGATTTTTTTTGTAGTGAAATTTTTTTGTAAAACATCTGTACTAAATCTAGAAATTATGAACAGACTTAGTTGCTTTATCCTCATAAGTTGTTATCTAACTCTAACTATAATTTAAGATTACTGAGTTCATTATTACTGTGAAAACACATGAATATGATTAAAGAACTCTTGCAAATTAGAAAACTTTATAATGAAATCACTAATGATAATAACTACGATAAAATCAATCTTCAGTTAAACTTAGAAGTTTCATTTCTATATAATTATCGATTTTCTTCACACTAGTAACAAAATTTGACCAAAAAATGAAACAAACATTTACTTAGAACCAAATAATCATACTGCCGATATCTCAGAATATCTGATGTGGATCAAATTTCGAATCTAAAATTCTAGCATAATGATGTGAATCAAAGAAAAACATAAAAATAAATCAAATCTATATAGTATACCTATACGTATTTCAAACTATAAACAAGTATAACGTTTTTTCATAAGTATACTTTTGAAGCTTTATGTGTATACAGGCCTAGGATGAATGTACCGATAGTAAACTTAATAAGAATTACATATAATTTACCATCTAAGACTAAACTAATTTAGTCAGCTAAGTCTCAAACTTCTATAAGAGTTTAATCTTCAATTTAATTGAAGATCAGATCGACTACTGGTACATCCAATCCTAGTATTGTGAATTTAATCAATTTCAATTAAATTCCCGATAACTTGGAAACTAAAAAATGCAAGAAAACGTAATGATAAACTAACTTGATTACTCCAATGAAATAGAGTTTATGTGTATGATGTCAAAATATAACAATTATCACAATACGAACAATTATTCACCATGTTCGTGGGTAGAATAAACATTATAGCATGATATATAAAGTAAATGGATGGCTGTAGAATAGTCTATAAATGTATTGTAAATGTGCAGATGTGGGTGGGCTAAAAAATTAACTTATTCCGCCCAAACTGAATTTTAGAATAACGTGACAATATAACAACGTATCATTAATATCCACCAAGAAACAATAATTATGATAACTGTATCGAACTTGTATGAGTAATTTTTAATTTATATGTAAAGATATTACTATAAGTTTGTATTATTTTATATTAGTATCATATCCTAGATTGTATTATTAATTTAGTCCTCTGAAATAATAAGTTCTTTTTAGTATTTTATTGACCATCAAAGGATAACGAGATACCTCGGATCGTTTTAGATAGAGTATACTTCAAATACTAAATTGTCACGCTTTCACAGCAGAATCTAATGTAATTATTTTAACCAAATAGTTTCATCTAATCTTATTTAAAGAAAAATAGTTTTACCAAAAATTTTAGTTTTAATTATTGATTTTTATGAAACATTAGGAATTAAGAAATGCCAGCTATTCTTCATAATAGAATATTTGTATTCAATATTATTTTATTTATTAATGAAAAATTCTAAAATATTGCTATCGGATATTAAATTTTTATCAATTGAAGACATCAATAATATTTTGAATGGGCAAAACATAGAAAAATATTTTTTTAAGAAAATAATTTGATCACAATAATTAAAATGTACAAATTAAGGATACACAAACTAACACCTAAATTATTTTAATCAAACGGAGTAATTGTTAAAATTCTTGAAAAAAAATCAAATTCAAAAAGGATTCAATAGAATTTAAGGATATACATTAAAATAAATCATGTATATGTATATATTATGATACTAAAAAAATTATAACATATCGTGTACCAAAAATAAATTATTTATACACATTGAATGATGACAATTATTAGAAAATTATACAATATTGCATAATAAAATCATTATTTAGTAACAATTTGTATAACAATTATAAATCGTATCGGTATAGAGTTGTACACAACAGTCACAGATGATTTTCTGAATGCATTACTGCCATAATCCAGCGTAACATCCATACAAACTTTCTGGAAAAGGTCCGCCAGCTGTAAATAATCGTGTACCGGATGCATCATAACAATGAGTATAAATTGCAGGTGTGTATATGATGTTTTCTGGATCGTTCGAGTAATCTTCGTCAGGTATCTGTAAAAAAAAAAACAAAAAAAAAATTTCATCATTAATGATGTTACTACTGAAAAAATTTCGAAATATTTACTCACGACATATCCTTTCGATGCTTTCAAAATAACAGTTTGATTCGAATTAATCGATGATTCCAAATATTTTTGAGCTCTGACATCGTAGAACATTAGCATCCCTAAACCAGTTCCAATTGTCAGAACTGAACCTTGAAAACTTGCAGATCTAATACCACAGCCAGTGTATCTAAAAATGAAAATGATAACAATAAGCATTGAATTTTTATTAAAACACTTTTTGAACTTTATATGAACCTTGATGGGATTTTTTTAATTAGCTGCAAGGTACGTGCATCCAATAGGAGAGTATGTGAACGACAACCAATAGCATACATGCTGTTATCTAGAACCGCTAAACATACACTTTCTTGACAATCTTGAAGTTCTTCCGATTTCTTTTGTTCAAAAGGTTCAGCCGACCAAATATTAATAAAACCATTTGGAGACAACGCAACAATTTCATTGTAAGCTTTGTTAAATGCCAGGGCACGCACTTTTTGTGTAGATTGACAGTCTTTTACGGACACTGGTTGAATGATTCTACAAAGTAATTAGTTTGATATTAAAAATATTCTCACCGTACTCTCTAGAAATAGTGGAAATAATGAAGTGCACTGCAAAATCAGTGAATATAATACAACTGATTTAAATAGTGGTTCAATTTACACTGTTTTATTTTTAGAGAATATAGTTTATAATAAAAATACGATCAACGTTTCTGATACCTATGTGTTGGAACTTCAGATTTATCCGGAGCAGTAGCAAGATTACTATTAATATGCCATAATGCCATTTTTGTATCTCTTGAACCCGATACTAAAAACTCATCATCGAGCCAACACATGTCAAATACCCAATCTCTGTGGCCACTCTCTCCTACACAAACGGGATCTAATGTTGGCAATCGATAGATTGCAATTTCGTTGCTATTTCTTGCTCCAGTACTCAATAGTGTCCTGTAAAATTCACACTTAGTGAAAATAATTGTCTATAAATTTAGTTATTATTAATATAAAACAAATGAAATACCGTGATGGATTTATTTGCACAGAATGAATTCCACATTGTTGTTCGGCCACTGGAGCTCCAGCTGGATTAGTCTGTCGCCCATGCAAGGACGGAATTTGATCTAATTTTTGCGTAGCTACATCATAAACCATAAGCTTATTGCATTTAGTACCGAAAACTACTTGTCTATCACTCAACCACTGCGAGCAAAATATTTTATTCATGTATTTCACACTAATTGGATATTCTTTTAATGCTTCGGGGGATGCCATATCGGCCACGCAGAATGTTGACAGAAAAGAGAGATTATAACAGAGCCTTTTTAATAAATTCAGTTGTCTTCTTAACTAGTTCGGTACTTATATACATTAGATGTGCTAGGTTCTCAAATTCGGATTTTGATTTTGTAGAAATCGGTGATGGTATCAAAGAGGTTTGCCGTATAAGAATAACAAGAAAATAGCGAGAGTAAAAGTAAACTAACTAAAATCGAACACAATACCAGACATTAAGGCTGTGTTATTTTAGTATAGTTATAGAAGAAGATAAGGAAATTCCATGTATAACCTTCAAAAAAATAGATTAGTACTAATGACCGGTATTATACTTTTTTTCACTATAGTTGTGTGGATAGTTCTACCTATTTGAAATAGAAAAGTAAACTTTTCATAGAGGTACAGGAAAAATACATTTATACATTGATTGGATTATAATCAAGATCTTTGAATCTTCCTAAACCTTCTACAACTCTACAGTGTCAATGGAAGTATTTCTTCTTCGTGATTAAGGTTCCCACGAGTAAAAATAATTATTACTATTATTATGTTCAAGATACAGATTAAGTAATTCAGTCTAAAGACTGAAATCCGAGTTAGAGTGTTGAGCGGATGATGATCTGCAAACTTAATTTAAACATCTAACAATCTTCTTGCACTATTTTAATAACAATTTTGTAATGATTGCATTAATCTGTTTACGTATGACGACTTCTCTTATCACAGGACGTTTCTTTTCACAGCAATAAATAATATAATCATGATAATATTTCTAATCATGTCAGTAAAAAAAGGATTTAAGTTCTCTTGAATAAAAACATAAATTTAAAATTGTATCTGAATAGTTGATTATCGTTTATTAATACAATATCAATGCTTCTCAGTTTTGAAATAAAAAATAAATGATTATTAATTATTCCAAAAGATATCGGAATTCAATACGATTATTATAGTGATTTTGTTTTATTGAATTTTGGAGAAATTCCGAAATTTATAATATTGTATTAGTCACTTTTATCATAATTTAATGTAGAGTGAATGCTCTAATAGTCGACTGATTAAAACCAATATTTGAACTATGTTTTACGTCAGTGTGAGTCAACTTTTAATGCATTGATAAATGGAGTAGCACATTGATGCATATTAAAGTTTAGTTAATCATATAAAGTTCAAGAACGTTTAATTGACAATCTTGTGAAGATTCATCGACTCAGTTAGTCATTGATGTAGTGTCTACTACTAGTACATTCACTCTATTACAAATTTTTTTTAATTTTTATAATCAAATATTCTAACTTGCAATGCTGTATGTGCATGTTTGGCACAATTACTTCTTTTCAATTTTGTTCGATCATTCATACAAGAAATGTGATACAATAACATACAAATTTTTAGTCATTTCTAAAAATCATTTGGTTTATATAAATAAAATTAGTTATTTGTAAAATTTCACACTAGGAACCAAGGTCTTAAAATAAAAAAATATTAATAGTCTTGTTCAAAATGATTAGAATAAATTAATTAGAGAATCGTCATGGTTAATAGAATAGAATAAGTTAATAATTATTATTTTCATAAAATAGGTTTCAATAATATTTGAAAACTAATTATCACAACTTTGACTGCCAACAGCACGTTATAAAATACTTTTAAAAATTAATACAGACCGTCATTGATTTTTCGGATTTACGAAATAAGTAGTATCCAAAGTTCCATTCCATCATAAAAAGCATAATATTTATTATGCTGAAATATTGATGACAATTTGACAAATAACAAAAGCAGATAGCGGTCAAAGCAATCTTTGTATTTAAGTAATTATTATTTTTACAGTGAATTTCGCTTTTTTTTAGTATGTATGAAAGAAAAACTATTTTTTATCGAAATGACATTATCTATTTAAATTGATGAAAATACTTAGATTGGTCTTAAAATATACATTACTAATAAATACTAGTAATAGTATAATTAAAATAACAAACATAATAAAGACAATTAAAAATGTATTCGACAAACATCCACAAAAATGTTCGATGAATTTAAATAACAAATAAAACGTTTTAAAATCATTTTAAACAAATTTAACTTTAATAACTCATGCGAAAAAGAAGAATATTAATATTATGCATCACAATGTTACTAATATATACATGTTTCAATTAAAAAACATGCAAAACTTTCAATTATTTCAAAATAATAATTATATTAATATTAACAATAACTTATCATTTTAGCATTCTTGTTGTTTACATCATCATACAGCGATACATAAAAAAATTTTGTTTAATGGTTTAAAAAAATTATGAATACGTTCTTTTTTCAATTCTAAGTTTGTAGTATGATAGATGATAGCCGAATAATTTATTAATATTTCATTATGTATCAATTGTCTATACTATCCAATAAATGCGTCATACAATCGAATTTTATTATGTGGATATAATAATCATATAATGTAACTATTGTAATTATTATAACATATCACAATGTCAAACCCCAAAGTCATTTTGTCGATTTTTTCATAATGTACGTGCTCGTTCTCAATAACATAATGCTTTTATAAAAAAAAAATTTTTTTTTAAATAGCTATCATCATCAATGATACTTTCGCGTATTTAGATTATAGAATTAGCAAGTTTATTTATTTTACTTTTTATCAGAATAATATCATCAGTATTATCGTTTAGTATATTTTACAAAATATCATATGAGCACGAGATAATTTTTATAAATAGCTAACTTCTTACTATTCTTTCAATTTGTTGCTAGAATCCATAAAATAATAAATAAAACACAAAATTAATATTTTTATAACATAAATTCAGTATTTTAATTTACACATTTGAACTAATTATTTTATTCTATCAACATTTAAAATTAATTTCGAAATTTCTAAAAGCATTTACGAGTATTTTTTTACACACGTATACTTAGTCAAATGAATTATGAATTTTGAGGGCCTTTAAATCATTGTGAATTGTAAAGTAAATATTACTCCTCACTGATTTAATTATACATATTATTAAGAAAACCTAACTTACAATAATAAAGTTCGTATCAATATGCAGTTGTGCACAACAGTCACAGATGATTTTCTAACCATATTACTGCCATAATCCAGCGTAATTTCCATACAAATTCGCCGGAAGAGGACCGCCAGCTGTAAATAGTCGTGTCCCGGATGCATCATAGCAATGGGTATATATTGCAGGTGTGTACTTGACATTTTGAAAACCGTCGATGTATTCTTCGTCGGGAAACTGTGGAAAAATAAAAAAAAAAATTATTAGTTTCTGAAAGAATTAAGAAATATTATTGCTAAATTCTGTGATTATTTATAAACATTTTTTTTGTTCGGGTTCAATTGACCAAACATTGATTTAGAACCAATTTTTTTTGTTTAATCAATTCATTAAAGGTTTAGTATGATAACAATAATGTTTAAGTCAAAAGTTGTCAAGGTCTAACAATTTTATTAATAGCAACTATTTCACTTACCACATATCCTTTCGATGCTTTCAAAACAACAGTTCGATTAGAATTAATCGATGATTCTAAATATTTTTGAGCTCTAACATCGTAAAACATGAGCATCCCTAAGCCGGTTCCAATTGTCAGAACTGAACCTTGAAAACTTGCAGATCTAATGCCACACCCAGTGTATCTAAAAATGAAAATGATAACAATAAGCATTGAATTTTTATTAAAAACACTTTTTGAATTTCATACGAACCTTGATGGGATTTTTTTAATTGGCTGCAGGGTACGTGCATCTAAAAGGAGAGTATATGAACGACAACCAACGGCATAAACGCCATCATCTTGAACTGCTAAGCACACATTTTCTTGACAAGCTGGAAGTTTTCTTGATATTTTTTGTTTAAAAGTCTCAGCCGACCAAATATGTATAAAACTGTTTAAAGACAATGCAGCTATTTCATTGTAAGCTTTGTTAAATGCCAGGGCACGCACTTTTTGTGCAGATCGACAGTCTTTTACGCACACTGGTTGAATGAGTCTAAAAAGTAATTAGTTTGATATTAAAAATATTCTCACCCTATGGTTTATATTAAAAATACGATCAACGTTTCTAAAGATAATTATTAATTTTAATACCTATGTGTTGGAACTTCAGATTTATCCGGAGCAGTAGCAAGATTACTATTAATATGCCATAATGCCATTTTTGTATCTCTTGAACCCGATACTAAAAACTCATCATCGAGCCAACACATGTCAAATACCCAATCTCTGTGGCCACTCTCTCCTACACAAACGGGATCTAATGTTGGCAATCGATAGATTGCAATTTCGTTGCTATTTCTTGCTCCAGTACTCAATAGTGTCCTGTAAAATTCACACTTAGTGAAAATAATTGTCTATAAATTTGGTTATTATTAATATGAAACAAATGAAATACCGTGATGGATTTATTTGCACAGAATGAATTCCACATTGTTGTTCGGCCACTGGAGCTCCAGCTGGATTAGTCTGTCGCCCATGCAAGGACGGAATTTGATCTAATTTTTGCGTAGCTACATCATAAACCATAAGCTTATTGCATTTAGTACCGAAAACTACTTGTCTATCACTCAACCACTGCGAGCAAAACACTTTATTCATATGATTCAAACTGACTGAATATTCTTTAAAAAGATCATGGGTTAAAATATGTCGTGACCCATATTCTTGATTAATCTTTCTCACTTCCTTAGTGTTCGTTTCACGAGCACGAACATAATCTACAAAGTTAAACGACGTTTTCAAATACTGTCGACTCTCCATTACGGTCTCTTCTTCATCGTCGCTAGATTCATAGCATACAAAGTCTTCTGGCTTGTCTGGTTTCCGATTCCGTTCCAAACGCAAAGCTAACCTGCAATAATACTCTTCGTATTATTTCTATTGTTACATTCAAGATATAATTAATTAACATCATTCAATATGCATGATCAACCTACCTACGAGTTCGACGTTCCTCTAGCCGAGTTAAGTTTGCCCATATGGGATGTCTTCCATAAATCCTCATTCTCTGTGTTTCTGCCATTGTGATGTTGTTTATTTTTATTATACAACTTTCTTCTGTATGAAAAGATGAATTTTGTTTATCTTTAGCTAATTACTTTAATTATTTTAACTTTTATACAATTGATTAGCTAACTATACTAGTGTTTCAACAATTAGTTGAGTTATGCTAAAAGTAACAAAAGAGAAAATATTAATTTAATTATACATATGTATATTATATTCAAGTGATTGAGAAAAGGGAATGTGATAGTAGGACCTAGATATTTTTATTTTTCCACAAAATAAACTATTTAAATGTTTAAAAAATTAAGTAAAAAATATTCAAATACTTACATATTTATTAAATAAAAAATTGGATTTATTGGCCTTGTCAAGCCCGTAGTATTCTTGGACTTTGAGACCTCTTTTATTGACTTCGACTTAGAGGCTATAAGCAATAGGTTTCAGGACTCCGTGGCACGTGTGTTTCGTTGCCAAAATAATATTTGTTTCACAAAGATTGTAGTCCTACCTTCGGAAATACTTTTCAATAACACTTTAATGTGCATGATAATCAAATATAATCACGGTCACGGAGCCCTAAATCGCACTAGGCAATCACCATCGCCATGTTGAGATGAGTTGCGTGCAATGGCAAGCAATGGAACTGAGAATAAAGCAGTGAGGAATAGCAGCACTGAGTAACACTGGGCAGCACTGAGCAACATTTTCCTTCCTAGAGGGTAAACTGTAATACAACATAAATGTACAGTTGTTGTAAATCCATAAGCAACGTTTTTACGTTATTCACAGTTCTACATTTTTTGAAGCAAAGTACTCTAAAACATTATCAAATAACCTTCGTTTATGTAACGTTGCTCATAAAAACTCATTCAATTCTTGGATTCAAATATTTTAACGGTTTATTTTGAATAATTGTTTTCACAATTTTCCATGTGTTTGTGATATACAAGAAAATAAACAGTTGGTGATAGTTTGAAATTGAAAATAAATATTCAATAACATCAACAATAACTACTTGGAAGTTATATTATCCAATAATCTTCCTTTTAATTGCTTATTGGACGGCATCTATACTCACGTCATGTCGTTGCTTGTTTACAGCTGATATACAAATCTAAAGTCATTCAATTATGGCTTCGTTTAAGAAAACAAATACTAAAATCTATGCTAAAGTTAAAGGTGAACTTACAGAGGATAATATTTATTGGAAGAAATATTCGGTATGTTCAATCTTATTATATATTAAATTATTTTAAATAAATATTTACAATTTAAGGTTATATCTTATGTTTGAATCACGTGTGTATATTCTAACCTCAAATATTTGAATAAAACTTTATTTTGTTTTCAAAAAATATCATTTAAAACATTTTGGAGTATAATTTTTACATTAAATTAATATTAATTGTGTGAATTAATTAATTAAAATAATTTTCATTAAATGTAATTCAATTATTTCAGCCACCAATTTTACTTAAAGAATATGGTCCAATTGATTACATTGACTTTTCACCAATTGAACCTCATTATTTTGCGGTCACATGTTCAGTTCGAGTTCAAATTTACAACCCAATAACTAAGCTTGTGGAAAAAAATCTAAACAAATTTCAAGAAGCAGCCTACGGAGGATCATTTCGTCCCGATGGAAAGCTTATTTGTGCTGGTGGACAAGAGGCAGTCATTAGACTTTTCGATGTTCATAACAGAAGTCTTCTACGATTATTTTCTGGTCACACAGCCGCTGTTCATAGAGTTTTTTTCACAGCAGATGGACATCATTTAGCATCTTTTTCTGATGACAAAACTACAGCATTATGGGATATACCAACGGAAAAGCAATTAATAACTTATGCTGATCATACGGATTACATCAGAGCGGGTGCCATTAGTCCAATTTCTCCAGATATCTTTGTCTCTGGAAGTTATGACAAAACTATCAAAATGTATGACACAAGAACTAATAAAAGTACATTAAGTGTCAATCATGAAGCTCCAGTGGAAAGTGTTATATTTTTGCCATCGGGTGGAATATTTATTTCAGCCGGAGGCACAGAAATGAGAGTATGGGATGCTCTAACAGGAGGTAGACTTTTAGCAAAAGTCTCTCATCATCATAAAACTATAACCTGTCTCACAACAGCATCTAATGGACACAGAATATTATCAGGATCTCTAGATAGGCACGTCCAAATTTATGACGTTTCAACTTACCAACGAATCCACACATTAGATTATCCGAACTCAATTCTTAGTATAGGCATCAGTGTGAGTAGAAATCAAATATATATTTGTAATAATTGTTGTAATCATAACTGAATGAAGTAAAATTCTTTTTTTATATACAGAAAAATGATGAAACGATCGTTACTGGAATGGTTGATGGTATGATTTCGGTGAGAAGAAGAGAAGATGATACAACAGCTGCTCCAAAAATTAAAAGGAAAAATAAGTTCTTTAGGCGAACAGGACCCAATTTGCCTTCGATTGATGTGGTTGTTCCTAGTGAGAAGAAGGAATTAATGTCGAAATATGATGCATGTCTAAGAAAATTTCAATATTCCAAAGCTCTCGATTGCGTGATGGTTACTTATGTGGTGAACAAATTACCTCACGTAACAGTAGCTGTTCTTCAGGAACTTACACGACGGCAAGGCTTACAACAATCTTTGGCAGGCAGAGATAGCAAATCTTTGGTTAATATTTTGAAGTTTCTTATCAAGTATCTTGGAACTCCTCGATTTAGTCGAATTTTACTTCATGTTACTCAAGTCTTGATAGGTAAATAAATTTTTATATTTTATTGATATTAATAAAAATTTAAAAGTAATTTATTTATAATGAATGATTTTTTGTAGATATTTATGAAGATAATATTGATGAACTTGATCCAGAAGTAATAAAATTACTCACAATATTGGAAGAAAAATTGAGAGAAGAACAAGAATTGATAACGTCAATGACAGAACTTCAAGGCATACTATACATGTTGTTATCTGGAGCAGAATCTAAAATTGAATCTGTGATTGCAAAAGAATCGCAAACCCTAGAGCCGTCCAGTGCAGCTCAGAAGAATTTAATATTAAGTATTTCTTAATAAAAAAAAATTTGTAAATATTTTTTAAAATATATTTAATAGTATCAAATATTACAAATATGCTGCAAATTTATTTGAAATAAGTTGAGTATAAAAAAAATTCAAGTAAATACGACTGTTTAGTTTCTTAAAAGCAGTTATTTTTTCTGCTTAAGATATCGCTCCCAAGGTGAAGAAGATGCAGATGATGGCATTACCCATCCTATTGGAATACGGCTTCCTTTCTTGTAATCTATGTACCTATCCCATAAAAATCTGAAATCAATCATTTTTTAAGATTACTATTTTATTATTTTTTCGAATCCAATTGTAATACTCAGATAATTACCTTGTCATTACTAAATCGTTAATATTTCTGTAGGCTGGATTGAAGGATGTGAGTTTTCGACCAAAGATAGCAACTTCCCAATCATCACAATTATTTTTCTTTCGTTTTGCTACTACATTTTCTTTATCATTTTTGAGCATTGCTTTTAAACCTTGTTCTTCAATGGCATATTCACGATCAAGTTTGGACCATTGCTCGGTTAATTGCACTATATTAAAAAAATTAAATTTTCAGTACTTAGAGTTATAAAAGGATTTGCAATTTTTTGTTCCGACTTACCAATTATGTTTTCAAATGATTGATCAGCAGCTGATGATAACTTCTCACCTCTTGCTCTTGCATTTTTTGCTTTAACATCTCTAAGATTCCTAAGCTCATTTAAAATCGCTAAATATTTCCTAGCATCACTTTTTTTACCTCTTATATCTGACAATATCATATCAGCATCTTTAAGAAAGCTTTCTTCTTGCTTTTCTCGTTCTATAACATTTTGCTTTTCGCTAATCCATGCATCTATTGCTGTATGTAATCGTGATCTTTTTTCGAGAATAGATAATTTTGTAGCCTGCCATTTATTTCGTGTATTTTTTTCTCTCACTCTTTTCTTTTTACGCTTTTCTATCAGCTTCTCAAAGCTACAAATTTTTTCTGCCTCATCTAATTTCTTGGATAATTCTTCTATTTTTGATTTTAAAGAATAACATTCATTCATTTTTTCGTGCCATTGTTCTTCACTCAATTCAATTTCATTCTCTAAACTCGAAATCAATTCCTTCAAGCTTTTAGTCAAATCGTCAATTAATAGAATACATTTCTTCGTCTCTGCAATACCTAATCTTTTGATTGGTTTTTTTCTTTTTAATTGAGAAACAGATGTATTTTCATCAATAAAATTTGTAATGAATTGTGCATCCTTTATCCTTTGATTTATTGTTAAATCATGAAAGTTTTGTTTATTTTCGTGATAATTTATCAATTCAACATTTGGTGGTTGAGACTGTTGATACGTAGGTGTTGGATAGCCAGAATTGGAATAAAATTGAAGCATATTATAATCACATGGTGAATTCCGTGAGAAATCACTATTGTACATGGCGGTTATTGAATTTAATCTTGTGTACTTAGACTAAATTTAAATAATACCTTATCGTTATTTATAAATTAAATTATGCGCCTATACTTTCAGTTATTAATAAATGCGCAAAAATGTAAAGTTCGTTTAATATTTAAACAACTTATGCAGTTAACAGTACATTACTGTCCTTAGGCAACTGTTCTTCTGCTTCTTCAAGAACTTTTTCAGCCTCAATGTACACTTCTGATTCTTTCAAGTCTTGCTCCGTTTCTAAAATTTTTTTTAATTCTTCATAAGCTCGCATTAAACGACGTTGACAATCAGGAACCATCATAAGAGATTCTTGAAGAACTTCTTCTTGTTTTCTAATATCGTGCCCATCCTTGCCTATAAACAATATTAAAAAATCAATAAAAAATTTATAATTAAATAGCATTGAAAAAATTTTGAATAAATCAATCTATCAGAAATCTTTTTATTAATAGATTTATGATGTTTTAGTAATGCTAAAAGAGTCATTCAGAATCTTCAACCTTTTGGAGTTTTTACCGCAAAAAACAAGTTATGACCTACAATTTCGTTAATTACCTTGTTCTTTATACTTGTTAATTCTTTCTTGTTGTTGAAGTGCTTCTTTTTCGTACGTAATCTTTTCTTTTGCTAATCTTTTAACAACTCCAGTTTTAATCTTTAATGTACGTAGACGAGGATCAGACATTTTTTGATGAATGTCAAAAATAATTATTAAGACGTGATAACGTTGATAGAAAGTAGTAAGATCTATACAGAACTCTACTTAGATAATACCTTTTACGAGCTGATGATTAATAGAAGATTATAAAAAAGGAATGATTTTCAAGATATTTTAGGTTATGCATGAGAGTTGTTTTTACCGAATATGCCAATTTGCACACTCCTTGAAATGTGATCAAATATGGCAAAAAAATCGCTCCCTCCTGCCCTCAGTTACTAGCGCTATGGTGTTGATCAATTTATATATTTTTTTTGGCATAAAAAGTATCCATAGTGTCAGCACCAGTCATTTCTGATTAATCAAAGATAGCGTCTTTTTGATTTCAAAAATACACGACCATTATTCAGAAAGAAAAGCCGTCGATTTAAAGTAAAGAATTCTTTTAAGAAACTAATTTTATAATGGCTCAAAAATCATTAAATTTATTCATTAAAGGAAGAAAAAAGCTGTGTTGCGTTACATGTACAATTAATGTTTTAGATGTACGATGTTCATCAGCACAATCATTTTATCATTGTCAGATATTGAGATGCAGGTATTTTTAACCGTCAATTTTAAATAAATATCAACAATTTTTGATAGAAACAATTAAATTAATCATTGAAAAAATATTTTTAGATTACTAATGGCTAGTATTGAACATCAATTTATCATTGGATCTCCTATACCAAAAAATACACAATGCTTCTACGTAATTATAACAACTGATTTCTATAAAAGTAGATTATTTCAAAAGGTCACTGATGAGTTAAATTTAAAAGTAAGTATTTACAATTTATTGAATCAATTCAACTGATATTGAATTATTATCTGTACATTTAATTGTAATTTATTTTTAGATTTCAGAGCCACAGCCAGTGACTCAACAGGCATATATAAATTGTTTAAAATACACAATTGACTTCTATATAGCACCAGACTGGAATAAAGTTGCCAATTTATACCTTGAAGGAGAAAAATTTTGGGCTGAAAAAGAAAAATGTTCAGCTATCAAATACAATATTAAATTGATCTCTCCTGAAGGATCTGACTCTGACAAAATTTCTTTAGAATTGACTTCTTTAAAAGCCAAGCTCTTTTCAGTGAAACTTCATCATCTTTGTTTACCTCATTCAGTGATTGTAGATTTTACAGCTGGACTATCCGACTTTATTGATGTATCTCTATTTGATCAGCCAAGAGTTTCTGTTCTTCCCAGGTAAAATAACTTTAATCATGATAAATAATAATAACAAAAAAATTGTATGTGTAATTAATTCTAACTATTTTATTATAGTATGATAAAAGGAAGAGTATTGTACATATTTAGAAAAATTCCTCCAACTTGTCCATACAAAAACTGGGTTGATATGAGGCGTCATTGGAAGAACATGGTATGGACAAAATTTTTTTCATAAAATTACAGTTTATTAAAATTTTTTTAATTGATTTCAGTATGGCTATCGATTACCAAAAACTGATGAAGGAATCATATATTACGAAATTTATTTCCCTATGTTTAAAAAAAGTTCCAAGCCTACGACTTTTATTTATCCTGATTTATGTATAAGATGTGATTTAAGTGAATTTCAAGAACCAAGTGATGATATTATTAACACGTTTATCGAAGATTTTAATAATATTATGCCTAAAATTGGTGCTTCATATGAAGAAATCCAAGAAAAAAACGATAATTATTCAACAAATTCTAAGTTATTGAAAATTCATAATGATCAAATTGGCACAAAAGATGATACAAATATTGTGGAATCTGCAGAACCAAAGTCTGATAATGTTCAAGAGTTTAAGAAACCAACTCGACTTTCTTCAACAGCATTTGAAAGACTTAATTCTCGAGGTATATCTACTCCAATGTCTCCAACGTTTAGTATGTTAAGAAAAAGATCTTCCAGTCCAAAAAAATTATTGAACTTTCCCAATCTAAAAAAAATGAAAGAAGTACATGAATCTTATAAATTAGAAAATCATCAATCTTCATCCATGGTTGACAATCATACACACGATAAAGCTTTTCCTAATTTCAATAATCCTAAAAATAGAATATCATCTCCACCAGTATTTTCAAAAGCTTCTTTCATTTCACAAAAAGAATCAAATTTTCAAAATATTTTTTGTAATTTTTTTCATAGTAGAAAAAAGAGTGTAATGCCGGGACAAAATACCGATTCGAAAAACGCAAAAGAAAATTTAATGCTACAATTTGATAAATCAAACATTGATAAACAAAATTTTTCATCATCTGTCATAAGTGATGAAAAAGTTTCTTTCGATATATTCGGTAAATTAGATACTAATAAAAAAACTGTTGAAAAATTTGTCATTAAAAGTAATTTTATTTAAAAAAATATCATGTTTATAACATTATTAGCGTAAAATGGTTAATTATAATATAAAATAATCTCAAAATACTATGTATATAAATATTGATAAATTTGATAATTACTTTAATAATACTAGTTAAACTCATTGTTATACAATTGAATAGGCTTGAAACGTCGGTTACATTCTGCAATGACTGTTAATATAATATTGCGATCAGTCTTTTTTTCAATTCCAATCTCTTTCAAATCATTATCAGTAAGGGTTAAAAATAAATCCACGTCAACCTAAATTCAATGAAGAAAATTATTAAACAAGTTCACTGTTAATTATTAATTGTTAATGTATTATTTAATACCTCTTGTTCCATGAATAATAAAGCTAAATGGCTAAGACCAAAATGTTGAAGAAGATTCATCAATTTTTTGTCACGTGAGTTAGTTCTTAGAATTTTTGTTGGTGGTGAATCATATGAGATTGGTAGAAGAGTATCATCTAATCCCAGCAGAGAATCGTCTAGTTCATCCGAAGAAGGAAATGGTGATTTTACTGGACTACACTTAGTTACATCAACAAAATTATTACAATCCTGCTCATCATCTACTAATTCAAAGCTCAAATCGGGTGGTCGATGTAATTTATACCTGAAGCAGAATTATTGAAATAATAAATTTACCAAACGATTGGATCTATTCATACTTTACATACTTTGGCTGAAATGATTTATTTCTTTTATGTTCAGGAGTAGAAGTAGTAGGAGCTGGATCATCTCCATCTTCTTGGATCATTGGTAGAGAATAATTACCCATTACTTTAAAACTTAGTTCTTTTCTATCCGGTGATTGCAATAATGCAGAGTAGGAATGATTATTATTTTTATCAGGTACAATTGATTGAAGACGACTTGGTGAATTAAAAATATCTGCTACTTTAGAATAATTTTCAAATTCTTTTATATCCATCATAGTTGATTCCAAGTTGATAATTCCTTTAATTTTAGGATCACATTTATTTTCATGGTCTTGTTGATGTTGAAGATTTTTTGGTTCTTCTAATATAATATCATTCCATTGATTGGTTTTAAGTGAATCTTTATACAATAAATCCATTATTTCAGACATTTTTCTTTTATTAATAAATATTACACTTTTATAATTACACTGATTTTTTATATTTTTAGTAACTTTGCTAACTTGTTGTGTAGACGATATAAATTGGAGTCATTAAACTTAACGGTCGAAATAAATAATTTGTTTACCTTTTTCATTAGATGTATACTAAATAGGGATGCCGTGTTTTGACCTCGATTTTCCGAAACATCGATCTTTAAGTAATGATAAATCGATTCATTTGAATTGATCTTTAACAGTTGATTAATCTGAATCGATTTTTAACAATCGAAATCAAGAATTTCAAAAATTTTATTTCAACTTTGAAGTTGATACCTACTAAAGACTATAAAAAATATTCACTAAGAATAATATAATAGCAGATTTAAATATCTATTTTATATTTGTAATAATCTTCTTAATGAAGTTTATTCAATTTTGTTTACTAAAGTTAACTTTAATTTTGTTTACAGTAATTATTGGTTAATTGAAAAAATGATTGAATTTTTGGACTTTTTTCTGAGAAATAATGGTTAATTATCAATTCTGATGATACAAAATTAATCAATTTCTGTATTTCATCACATCTCTTTTTACAGATTCATTAAAGAGAAAAACAAGCGATAAAAATTAATTAGCATGAGTATCAATGTGTATTACGATCGTTCAAAAATAATAAACATGAACAGGATTAGCTTGCTTATGAATCAAATATGAGTTTCAAGTCCAATTTTTATCATTTGCATAGTCATGTAAAGGAAAAAGTTTAATATAAAATGAATCCTTGGTAAGAAATTCATTTTGTTTAAGAGTGTCATTGTGATGAGACAAGACTGATAAATAATCTGGTTTGTCAAGTTACTCAAGAATTCAACTATCCTGAGCTTTTTGTAGTCGGCATTGATTTGTCGTCATGTCTTCTATCAAGTGATTATTTATGTAATTTATTTAATAAGTTATCAGTAATGTAAAAGGATAAAACGTGATTCAGCGAATGTTAAAATCAGTTGGACATAACCTCCTGAGTATTTCACATCATTGAGATATTGGTTATATTTATTATAAAATTATAATTGTTTAATAATTTATAACATTATATCAATATCAATAATATTAAGATGACGGACGGCAATCAAATCATGGCTCAGGCCCTCAAAAATCAGGTACGTTTTGAATTGATAATTTAATAACCACTTAAAACAGATCTGTTTTAAGATCTAGAAGACAGTAACTTGAGTTACTGTTTTCTTATTGATGTAATTTTCCAATTTTATTTTTTTTTAGGGTATAGAATATGTTTTTGGAATAATGGGACATCCTGTTATTGAACTGAGTGTATCTATGCAAGCTGTTGGACTTCAATATCTGGGATTTCGAAATGAGCAAGCTGCTTGTTATGCTGCCCAAGCTTATGGATACTTAACAAGTAAATGTTTCGTTTTTGTTGTTTAGCATACTATTTTAAGTATTAATCATCTAAAAATTATTAACAGGAAAACCAGCAGTAGTTTTATGCGTTTCTGGACCAGGTTTGCTGCATGTCACTGGAGGTATGGCGAATGCACAAGTTAATGGTTGGTATGTAGCAAACCAAGTTTTATTAAAATACAGTGTAATCAATGTAAATCAATAGTATTCCTAAATTTTTTGAATTTTTTTGACGTTTATAGGCCTTTACTTGTCTTGGCTGGATCATGTCCTGTAGATCATGAAGGAATTGGTGGATTTCAAGAGTATGCTCAAGTTGAAGCTAGTCGTCCTTATTGTAAGTATGCAGCTAGACCACCATCAGCTGCTCTTATACCACTACATGTAGAAAAAGCTGTACGGTTAGCAACATATGGTCGACCAGGAGTAGCTTATTTAGATCTACCTGCTACTCTTCTCAAAGAACAAGTTCCAGAAGACAAAATAGCTCAAGTCTTACCATGTCCAGAACCACCAATAATTTTTCCATCATCGTTATTAGTGAAAAGAGCTGCTGATGTGCTTATTCAAGCTAAACGACCTTTGGTAATTATTGGAAAAGGTAGTTAACAATAAATTATATTTTATGAATTTTTTAAAAGAGACAAAATACATTACGATTATTTTCCAATTAAATTAGGAGCTGCATATGGCTGTGCTGAAGATGAACTCCAAATGTTTATTAATTCAACTAATTTACCATTTTTACCAACTCCAATGGGAAAAGGTGTTATTTCTGATTTGGATCCACATTGTGTTTCAAGTGCAAGAACAACTGCTTTACTTCATGCGGATGTTATACTTTTATTGGGAGCTAGATTAAACTGGATGCTCCATTTTGGTCGACCTCCACGATATCAAAGTGACGTTAAAATCATACAGGTTCAACTATTTCATGATCTGTTGATAAGTATAATTAAAAAGTTTATTAATATATAATGGAAATTTTATTCAAATTGAATGCAGGTAGAGATATGTGCAGAAGAATTACATAATTCAGTTACATCAGAAGTTGCTATTCAAGCGGACATAAAACCAACAGTAAAATTTCTAACAGATGCCCTTCAAAGCAAGAATTTTTATTTTGGTCAAGAAGAAGACTGGTGGACTCAATTAGAAAAAGCTGGAAGTGAAAATAAAATGAAATTACAGCAATTATCATCAGATATATCAGTTCCACTGAATTATTACACCGTTTTTAAACATATTCAAGATGTTTTACCTACTGGTATTTTATTGCCATTTACCAATATCGTTATTGAAATTAATATTTTAAAAGTCAATAATAACTATTTCTTAATTCTATTTACATTTTTAGACTGTATTATTTGTTCGGAGGGTGCTAATACAATGGACATTGGTCGATCTATACTTTTAAATTTACATCCTCGCCATAGGCTTGATGCAGGAACATTTGGAACCATGGGTGTGGGTTTAGGATTTGCAATAGCTGCAGCATTAATTGTAAAGATTTTTCTCCAAAAAAACGAGTTATTTGTGTTGAAGGAGACAGTGCATTTGGATTCTCAGCGATGGAAATTGAAACAATGTTCAGGTAAGCTTAATGTACTAATTTGATAATTCAATCTATTTTGAATTCTGCTTAAAAAATTATATTACAATTAAAGGTATAAACTTCCGATAATAATAATCATAGTTAATAATAATGGAATCTACGGAGGTTTTGACAAAGAAACCTTTAATCAAATTCAGAATCAAGGGCCAACAATATTGTAAGTTTATTAAAATTACGAATTAAAAATACTTTAATTAAATTAATCATTGAGCGAATATTTTTATTAACAGTACTCCACCATATTCACTGTGTGCTGACGTTCATTATGAACGAATGATGGAGCTTTTCGATAGAAAAGGATATTTTTGTACTACTGTAGACGATATTCAGAATGCAGTAAAGAGCTCTTTAAAGGTAAAAAAAAATTACCATAAAAAAAAATTACTTACTAATGGAATCTGTTGTATTCTACCTCATAGGTAACAGATGCACCAAGTCTTATAAATATACTAATCAATCCAACTGCTGAACGCAAAGAACAAAAATTCGGGTGGCTGACAGAATCAAAGCTTTAATATTATATTTTTATGATAGATGATTGTTGAATAATGGATAAAAGTTTGTACTAAATTTAAGAAAATATTTTTATTAAAAAAAAATATAATATGAAATCTATTATATATGAAAATAGAATTTTTTAGATTATTTATTTATAAATGCCATTAGTTTTTGAGTAATAGTGTCCACTGTTAAAGGCACTGATTGAATTATATCTGTATTATTATCTTCATCAACCTCTAGTAACTCATCCACTTTTACTCCTCTTTTTTTAAGAATGTGACAGAAAGTCAGGTTGCAATTATTTATTGAATTGTTCAAAGGCCCATCCTCCTTTATTATTTCTTTTATTATTCTGAATTCTTGTTTGCTATAAAAAACAATAAATGAAAGAAGTATTAGTTGAAACAATGAATTGTAATTTTACTTGTATCATTAGTAAATGTTACAATACATTTTTTCGGACATGATTGCAATATTTTCTAAAGTTTCAGCAGTTTCTATTTGTACTTCTGTTATTGATTTGGTGGACATTCTTGATAATTAACAAAACAAGTTTAAATGATTAAAAATCAACATTTATAATCGGTAAATGTAATACTCAGTTGCTATTTTTACGCGCAGTCTAAGTCGAATGGAAAATACATTGCCACGATATAATGCTAGATGGCGCAATCGTTAAATTCTTAAGCACTCAGCGATTATTCTCTTTCTCTGCTGATGCTCATACTATACATTGGTACAACTGTTTAGTTCGACATAAGTTTGCGTGAGTTATGTTCATTTTTTCGAGTATAAGAGAGTATTTTTGGAGTATATTTATTAATTTATTGTGATGTTGACATAATTGTTGATGAAAATTGATAAATAGTTGAATAATAGATATAGTAGATATTGATTAGTAAATAAACTTTTATAATAGGTAGACAAAATCGTATTTTGTGTACTTTATTTGGTAAGCATTTTCTAACCTCTAAATTTGTTAAATAATTGGATAATTTTCTTAATTATAAAATAATTGTAAATTTTCAGTAAAAAATGGATCGTGAATCAAATTCAAAACTTCGACGGAGTCCATTCCATGAACGTTCGAGGAGGGAGATTGATCGGTATCATCAAGACAAGAAAAATAAACGCAATAGATATGAATCAAGGCATAGAAGCTTGTCTGATAGTGAACATAACGACTATGAAAGACGTAGAAAAGATGATCGAGAAAATAGGAAAAGACGGAGATCAAGAAGCCCTCGTAAAAATAAAGAACAAAAAAATTCTCCAAAGATACAAGAGGAGGAGGATAAAGAGTTGGCCAATATTACACCAGCACAGAAAAAAACGGTAGATTTACTTACTTCAAAAACTGGAGGAGCATATATTCCTCCAGCTAAATTGAGAATAATGCAAGCAGAGATAACGGATAAATCATCTGCTGCATATCAACGTATTGCATGGGAGGCTCTCAAGAAATCTATTCACGGTTACATCAATAAAGTTAATACGAGTAATATTGGATTGATTACAAGAGAATTATTACGCGAGAATATTGTAAGAGGACGTGGTTTATTAGCACGATCAATTATTCAAGCTCAAGCTGCTTCGCCAACTTTTACACCAGTTTATGCAGCTTTGACTGCTGTTATTAATTCCAAATTTCCCAATATCGGAGAATTATTATTAAAACGATTAGTTATTCAATTTAAACGAGGCTTTAGGAGAAATGACAAGCCTTTATGTATTTCTTCTGGACTATTCATAGCACATTTAGTTAATCAAAGTGTCGCTCATGAAATTTTAGCTTTAGAATTACTTACTTTACTAATCGAAACTCCAACAGATGATTCAGTAGAAGTAGCTATAGCATTTTTAAAAGAATGTGGTATGAAACTTACCCAAGTTTCAAAAAAAGGAATTGAATCAATTTTTGAAATTTTAAGGAATATCCTTCATGAAGGTCAGTTGGATAAAAGAGTCCAGTATATGATTGAGGTAGTATTTCAAATTCGAAAAGATGGATTCAAGGATCATGTGGCTGTTAGTGAAGAATTAGATTTAGTTGAAGAAGAAGATCAATTTACGCATACAATAGAATTGGCCCAATCTATTGATGGCGAAGATATTTTGAATGTATTTAAATTTGATACAGATTATGTGAAAAATGAGGAAAAATATAAAGAATTGATGAAAGAAATTTTAGATACCGATGAAAGTTCAGGTGATGAAGGAGACGAAGAAAATGAGGATTCTGATGAAAGTGAAGCATCAGAAGAAGAAGAAGACGAAATTAAAAAAGATATAATATTAGACAATACAGAAACTAATTTAACTGCTCTTAGGAGAACAATTTATTTAACGATCCATTCTTCATTAGATTTTGAAGAATGTGCGCATAAACTAATGAAAATGAAATTAAAACCAGGCCAAGAGATCGAACTATGTCATATGTTTTTAGATTGTTGTGCAGAAATGCGGACATATGAAAAATTTTTTGGACTTTTAGCTGGCCGATTTTGTGCGATTAATAAAATTTATGTAACTCCATTCGAAAAAATATTCAAAGATTCTTATGAAACAATTCATCGTTTAGATATGAATAAATTAAGAAATGTTTCTAAATTTTTCGCTCATTTGTTATTCACGGATTCAATATCATGGGATGTATTAAATTGTATCAAATTAAATGAAGACGATACTACTAGTTCTAGTAGAATTTTTATAAAAATTCTTTTTCAAGAATTGTCAGAATACATGGGTTTATCTAAACTTAATGCCCGTGTAAAAGATGTAACACTTCAAGAAACATTTGAAGGATTATTTCCGAGAGATGATCCCAAGAAAAGTCGATTTGCAATCAATTTTTTTACTTCAATTGGACTTGGTGGTCTAACTGATGACCTTCGAGAACATCTTAAAACACGACCAAAACCAGTACCTGTTCCACCAGTCATTGCCAAGCCTACTACAGATTCATCAAGTTCTTTATCATCATCATCATCATCATCGTCGTCATCATCAAGTTCCAGCTCTGAATCAAGTTCCAGTTCGTCTGAGAGTTCAGATCAGAAAAAGAAAAAGAAAAAAGTATCAAAAAAACGTCATAGAACAAAGAAACAGTCAAGTGTTAATTCTTCAGAAAAACAATTATTAAAATCGTTTAAATGATTAAAAATCAACATTTATAATAGGTAAATGTAATACTCAGTTGCTATTTTTACGCGCAGTCTAAGTCGAAAGTTTGATGTTTCGTAGTTATGCCACTAGAGGCATTTAACACGCTACCAGGTGGCGCATGGTGACACGACATTTAGTTTCACCACCAGACGGCGCACAAGACTGGTAGTCTAGGCAACGAAAACTGTTTGACATCACTTGAGACTTGGATGTCAACCAGTGCACACCGTGTATTTTTTGCTCTGTTTTTTTTTTTTGAAAATACAAGTGAAGTTTCAATTTTATGCAACATTTGCATAATCAAAACGCAAAAGCGAACATTGATAAGTGAGTGTTTGTAAGAGAAAAAGTTTAATTTGTACAGTTGAGGTCAAGTGAACGAACAATGTCAAGTTGGAGTGCCGAAAATAGTAAAGGGATAATCCCTCCACGATGGTTACACTGTCCTCGAAAAAGTATAGGATTAATAAATAATAAATTTCTTGCATTTAAAACACCACTATCAGAAGCATTTAATAGTCAAGTTTCTGAAGAATGTCGTTTTTCTGTAAACATGTTGTTTGCATCATTAAAGAGTCAAAGACTGAAAATGGGATTACTAATAGATTTGACAAATACTAACAGATTTTATAATAAAGCTGATGTCGAAGCCCACAGTTGTCATTACTACAAACTTCAATGTCGAGGTCATGGAGAAACTCCCACCATAAAACAAACAAAAGTTTTTATTGAAATTTGCAAAAATTTTATTGCACAAAATCCATCGGAGATTATTGGAGTCCATTGCACCCATGGTTTCAATAGAACTGGGTTTCTTCTGATAAGCTACTTAATTGAAAGTGGGACATTTAATTTGGACGCTGCTGTTAATGAATTCTCATCTATTAGACCTCCTGGAATTTACAAGGAAGACTACATCAAAGAGTTATACAGACGATATGATGATGAGAGTTATGCACCGCCTGCACCACCAAGTCCAGCTTGGTGTTTGGAATACGACGACTCCAGAGGGGACGAGAAAGAACATGAACAATTCGGAAGTAGGAAACATATCCGAAGACGTAAGGAACATATTGTTAAAAATCCAGTTTTTATGGCTGGAGTTCCTGGTGTGGTACCTGTACAAGATTTAGTTAAAGTTGCAGGAATTCAAAAAAGAGTTCAAGAAATGTGCCAATGGAATAGAAATGGCTTCCCTGGTTCTCAACCAGTCTCCATGGATTGGGAGAATATTGTTTTACTTAATATCAAACCATATAGAGTATCATGGAAAGCTGATGGTACTAGATACATGATGCTAATCCAAGCAGATAATGAGGTATTCTTCATTGATCGAGATAATAGTGTCTTCCAAGTGTCTGGATTGGTATTTCCACACCCTCGAGATCTTTCAAGAAATCTGAAAGATACATTATTGGATGGCGAAATGGTCATTGATAAAGCAAATGGTACCGAATATCCTAGGTACTTAGTTTATGATGTAATTATGTATGACGGGAACGATGTATCTAAAAAATCATTTTTTCCTGATCGATATACCATCATCGAGAGAGAAGTAATGGGAGGCCGATATAGAGCACTAAAAGAAAGTAGAATATACCGAGAACAAGAACCTTTTTCTGTCCGACAAAAGCAATTTTGGGATATCACACAAGTCAACAGTTTGTTGAGTGAAAAATTCACCAAACAATTGGGTCATGAACCAGACGGATTAATCTTCCAGCCTTCAAAGGAGCCTTACATCTCTGGAACTGCAGCAGAAGTCTTAAAATGGAAGCCATTGTCATTGAATTCTGTAGATTTTAAATTAAAAATAGTCGTTGAATCAGGTATGGGTATTGTACCCAGAAAAATAGGTCATTTATATGTTGGAGGCTTAAAAAAACCATTTGATTACATAAAAATTACTACAGAAATTAAAGATTTAAATAATAAAATAATTGAATGTAAATTTGAAAATGGGCATTGGGTGTTTATGCGTCAAAGAACGGATAAATCATTTCCCAATTCTTTCACCACTGCTCAGTCTGTTTGCCAAAGTATTAGAGCACCTGTTACTTCGGAAGATTTATGTGATTATATTGAGAAATATAAATTTAAAGATGATTCTGATTGTTTGCCTCCACCATATAAACGACGTAGATAACAATTGATAGAAAAATTAGAAAATTAATCATGTTAAAATTGTATTTTTTTTAATGTTAACTGTTAGCTTCATAATTTGTAAATGTTACTTATTATTAAATTAATTTAATATTTGTACAGAAATTGTATTTTCTTGAATAATCTATTTTTTCAAGATAGATTGTAAATTAGATTTATTGGAAATTATATTAAAGACTGGAATGCATGTGTGATATGAAAATGATAGTAATTGTACTATAATATTTAATAGCTTCTTTTGTAAAAATTAAAATGTATTATGTATATTAATTTAATAATTTATTTTTGTTAAATGTCATTTTTTTAATTTAAATTAAATTTTTTTACGTAGAGTTTTTAAAGACTGGAATGCATGTGTGATATTGTAATAATAGTAATTATATTGTTATATGTAAAAATGTACTGTATACATATATCTATTTTTTTGAATTGAATAAAATTTGTTATATCGATTTTTCCTATAAAAATAGCATTTCTTCATTTAATTACCTTTCATAGACATAAGTACATAGTAATTAGTTATTAAGAATGATTAATTTAAAAAAAAAAAAAACTAAATTCAAAAATATATACTTCAAAATACTTAAAATTACTCATGTCTCGTTATTTACTCCACAATTAGCATCTATATTAATAACATTTATCAATAATGTTAATAAAATTTTAACACTCAACTCTGATTTAATAATATTTCTAGACATGAGTTATTAGTTATTAAGAATAAGAAAATTAAGAAAAAAGAATTTTTAAGACATAAGTTTATAGTAATTAGCTATTAGTTATTAAAAATTATTAATTAAAAACAAAATTTAAAAATCTATATCCTTATATATTAACAATTAATACGGGCAATTGGGAATTTCCCATGCTTTGTTATTCTGTACCTGGGTATTTTTCATTCCCGGTAGGCAAATATTTACCCTTAATAGCTATAACCACCTGTCGAATCTTTAAGAGTGCACTAAAATTAATAATAAAATAGAATTAGAAAGTTAGGATAGTAATGTACTTGCGCTCTTTTAAATAGGGATTAAAAAGGGATTTTAAATTGTCATGCGGGTACTACAAAATAATCAAAGTTCTCCATTAGATTTAGGATGATTTATACTTGTATGATAGGTACTGTTGCGCAGAAAATTAAAACTGACTATTTTGTAGTGCCCGCATGAAAGATCCTTATTTTTAATTTTATTGCACTTTCAAAAGTTCTAGAGGTAATGGTAGTTGTAAAGGGTAAAGGGCAAAAGTTTGCCTACCTGGGCTGAAAAATATAATTTTAAATTCCACTTCAGAAACTTAGAGAAGTGAAAAATTAATTACTTTTAATTTTCTTTTTCAGATCGCACAGTTCATTTGTGGTGTACGAAGGATCTTTTGCTTTGCTTTTCCTTATATTTTTAACATTTACTGAAGATGAACTCCAAATGTTTATTAATTCAACTAATTTACCATTTTTACCAACTCCAATGGGAAAAGGTGTTATTTCTGATTTGGATCCACATTGTGTTTCAAGTGCAAGAACAACTGCTTTACTTCATGCGGATGTTATACTTTTATTGGGAGCTAGATTAAACTGGATGCTCCATTTTGGTCGACCTCCACGATATCAAAGTGACGTTAAAATCATACAGGTTCAACTATTTCATGATCTGTTGATAAGTATAATTAAAAAGTTTATTAATATATAATGGAAATTTTATTCAAATTGAATGCAGGTAGAGATATGTGCAGAAGAATTACATAATTCAGTTACATCAGAAGTTGCTATTCAAGCGGACATAAGATGCCCTTCAAAGCAAGAATTTTTATTTTGGTCAAGAAGAAGACTGGTGGACTCAATTAGAAAAAGCTGGAAGTGAAAATAAAATGAAATTACAGCAATTATCATCAGATATATCAGTTGCTATCCTTTATTCATGAAACTTTTTCAATGTTGTCAGTGTATGTAGATGTTAATTTTATAAATTTTGTCAATAGCTAACAGTTTCGGTGGCCAAAAAAATATAATCACTTTTTTGATTTTTAAGTTTCATTAAAAATGGAAAAAAAAATCTATTTATTTTTCGGCCAACAGTGTAAGTGTGCGAAGTTTTTCACAGAAACTGATGAAATTGATCAAAAAACTATTCATCAAAAGATAGAAGATCTTTGTGTACGTGATGTAAACTTGAAAAGATTGAGACAAAATAAAACAATTGTATTACAATTAAAAGATGATGACAAGAACATCTGGTGTGATGTTGAAGATGATGATACATTTACTGATAAAACAGAAATAAATGTTATTTTTATACCATCGGATCACCCGACATCACCAGCTCCATTTTTCAATAGTAAAAATGTAATGAAAATTACAGCAATTATTTTACAGAATATAATGGAATATGCATGATTAGAATTAGTGTTTTAGATATAAAAAAAAATTAAAATCTTTTTCAGATTCTTATAGTTATTACATACATTACGAAAACATGATTGATTTTAGGTTATGAGAAATTTTGGTATTTTTCTCACAAACCATAACAAACATGTTATGTGATAGAATAATCGATTCTTTTTCAGCAGAGTTTAGTGGTTATTATGTAAATTTTAAATTCTCGTATAACATCAAGTTAGCATTCTATGATAGATTATTCATATGTATTTTTCGTCATGCCTGCGCGGAAAGTTCACTTTTCCATTGGAGAGGGGTTGAACTTTCCACTCAGGTATGACGAAAAATTATATTCAGCCCTAAGGAGGACAATTAGACAAGCTTAAACCACGTGTTTACCCCCCTCGCCTTCGGCTCGGGTTGTAATTTTACACGTGGTTTGAGCTAGTCTACTTTTCCTCCCTAGGTGTGAAATATACTATTATTCAAACGAACGATAAGCAGTAATAATGAAGTTATTGTAATTTATATACAAAGAAAAACAAATGGATTATCTCTTACAGATTCTAATCATGCATTTCTTTATAATTGATAAAAATTTTCAGTATCATAGTTTTTTAGTTGTCAAGAATAATCAAATTAAAATAAAACTTCTATATCAATAATTTGCGAACTTTTATTTTTAGATAAAAGAGAATGAACGATATTAGTAATCGTTAATTGTTAAAACTAACTAAATTTGCAGTTAACATAAATAATTACTATTTAAAATTATTTAAAAAAAAAAACGATAAATTCTACTATATGTTACTTTAAATTTTTTTAATCTATTACAATTTTAAGTAATAAACAAAAATTCTATAATTAAAAGGAATAAATACTCTGAATAAGTTGAAATGTTTTATAATTTATCAGAATCCGACATTAAAATTCAAATTTTTTTTATAGAAAACATAGACAGATTTCGATATGATCAAGCAGAAATTTTTTAAAGAATTGATAAAGTTATATTAATTATAGCTACATTTCATTATATTTATGAGTTTTTAATAGTTTCCGTAAAACTGATTACTTCTTTTTTTCAGGAATGTGAAGAGATGCGACGGTATATTAAATTAGTGAACAATGAGCAAAAGTTAAATAATGGACCAAATCAACAGTTTTTAGAAGGAAATCATAACTTATTGGTAATAAAATTTAGCTTATCAATTTTAAATCATTTACTATACAATTTTTTGTTTGTAGGAATTCGTATAAAGTGATCTCTTTTTTTTTACAACATATTTACAAATTTGATTATTTATATTATTTTTTTTAAAAACCAATGAACTTATCCAATTACTAGAAAAATTCTTTTTTCTCATGATGTGATAATTTTCTGAACTTCTCGTATAGATAAATAGTAATACAAATTATGAAAATGAAAATAATTATCGAGCTAATGCATTAAATAATTAATAGTAATCCGTGTAATTTTTTTTTTTTATAATTTTTGTATGATCTAGGTTCAAGGAGACAATCAGAACGTTGTTTCTGTTAATACGTATCCAGAAGCAAGCTATAGTGGATTAGCTTCTAGACCTCTGTCTTTCATAAACGTGAGAGATACTTCTTTTTCTACATTACCTCCTTTAACATTCGATTTGAATGAAAAAATTAAGAGAAAAGGAATATTAGCATCCCAAAAAGATCTTATTTATCATTGGGGTTGCTATTTGTGGGAGAATACTGAAGGAAGACCAAAAAGGCAGGATTATCAAAACCTAGCTTCAACAATTGTTAGAACGTATCCAGTACTTGCTTCTACTGATGGTGATAGCGTGAGTATAACTTTTACTTAAAAATATTAATATTTATTTCTACAACTATTTAAAAAAAAAATAATCACGTTTCTATGTTTTTGATGTTGCTATCTTACGTAATATAAGTTATTATTTATATAACTATTATTTTAATTGTTTATTATTTTTACCTTTAAATTGCAGGTTATTATCCGAAAATCATTAAGCACATGGATACGCAATCACCGTGCAACTTTAAAAAACCAAGCTGCGAAAAGAGATCACGAAGGGCGTATAGTTAATTCTAGCTCAGACACTGATTTAGTCAGAAAAGACGAGTATGTTAATTAAATAAATTATAAAAGAATATATAACTTTCAAAATCTGTTATTCTTAATGAAATATTCCAGTCTTATCACAAAAATAGATATTCAAATTGTTGATATATTTCAGAGATCAGTATGACGTAGAACAATCATTAGAAGACTTTGTGAAATATTCTCAATGTCTGGCATTTTCTGATAATTACTGTCAAAATCCTACAACTCATTACCATGATAGCTGCGAAGACGTAAGAACAGCATATACTGGATCAGTGGATAATGAACATGAGTTTAGTGATGAACAAAATGAACATTTCTTAGAAGAAAAACATGATATACAGGTAATCAAATTTAGTTAATTTATCATTTATTGATTTCTTTTTTTTTTTTATTAGAAATTTCACTAACAAAATTACTGAGTTATTGACTATAAGTAATTGCTCTCGTTACATTTAGTAAAAGTATGAAAGATTGGGAAAAGAAAAAACAATGTGAATACGAGTACAGCGAATAGAAGTACAGTAGTTTATGACAGACAATTATAGAAAGACTGACTAAGATAGGCCAGTATTGGCAATCGGTTTTAATATGTTAATTGACTTACATAAAAATTCAAGTAATCATTGAATGGCTATAAATAGACTCGCAAGCATCAAGTTAAAGAAATATTATCATTACTGGTGTAATAACAAAAAATTTATTACATTTTTTTTCGGAATTCATTTTATGATCCTCAACACAGAAATACCAAATAAAAATTGCCTACAATAGTTAAATAATTATCGATATATTTTTTCTTCTATAATCTAAATTGCACTTTTATAATTTTTGTATGATACAGGTCCAAGAAGACCATAAAAACATTATTTCTGTTGATGTGCATCCAGAACCAGATTGTAGTGAATTATCCTCCAGATCTCCATCTTTTATGAATGTAAGGGATACTTCTTTTTCAACCTTACCTCCTCTTACATTCGATTTACATGAGAAAATTAAAAAGAAAGGAGTATTAGCATCCCAAAAAGATCTTATTTATCATTGGGGTTGTTATTTGTGGGAGAATACTGAAGGTAGCCCAAAAAGGCAAGATTATCAGAGACTCGCTTCGACAATTGTCAGAATGTATCCGGTTCTGGGCTCAAGTGAAGGCGATAGTGTAAGCATAATTGTTACATGAGTTTTCAGTCAATCATTCATTATATTAAAATATAATAATGTTTCTTTTTTACGTAAAGTTTTAATGGATTCCTTTTTTTATTTCTAAACTGCAGGTTATTATCAGAAAATCATTAAGTACATGGATACGCAATCATCGTGCAATTTTAAAAAACCAAGCGAAAAAAAGTCACAAAAGACGAATCGTAAATTTCCCATCAAACGTTAGAAAAGAAGAGTAAGTTAATAAATAAATTATGAATACATATACTTTATACAATCTATATGTATTAATTAACTTTTCTGATGCTTCCATGAAAATGAATATTTCAACAATATTGATATTTGATATTTTAGAGATCAGTATGATATAGAACAAGCATTGAAAGAGTTGGCGGAAAAACAAAAGGAAGGAGACTCACCTCATATTCGCCATATTTTGAAAATCACCCTGGCAATCCGACGTACGTGGATTAAAAAGAGTGCCAAGTCTATTACTGAAATCATAAGAAAATATCCCCTACTGGCAAACAGTGAATTGGTAAGTATTTTAAAATAAATAAAACAAGCTTCCTTTTATAATCATTACATAGATGAGAATAAGAGCAATTCTGTTGATAACTTAAATGCTTCTTATTTATTCTAGGTCATCTTCGAATTCTGTAATTTAAAGCACCTTACTGAAGAAGTTTTAAGTAATAATATTGACAAGATGTTTGATAAATTGACTACATTTTTTAACACTGGAAAAACTGATGACAAAACTAAAGCCTGTTGTTTACAACTTTTGTACGACCGAGTGACAACGATAAAGAAAACTATTAAACCATTAATAACTATTGAAGAAGTATGTTATGATGCATTCACGAATATTTCTCGATTATTTTGAATAATTTTATATGAAAAACAATACTTTTTACAGGTTTATTCATCTAGTAAAAATCTTATCGCAGTTGAAGGAGAATCACCACGCAGTGTGATATATACAAACGAAGATGATATTGAAACTGCATACATTGTTGCTGACCCGGAAATTAACATGAAAATAGAGAAACCGTCAATAAAGAAAATAATTATGGTCCTGTTGGCTGCATATTATGTATGGGACGTCACTTATCCAAAACCTTACAGGAATATTTTAGAATATTTGGATCATGAAGTGATTGGAACTCCAATTGATAGAAAAAATGTTGTGCTATTAAAATTCATACGCCAAAGAGATTCCGAAGAACAAAATATAAAAAATGTGGTATAAAGAATTAAAAAAAAAAGAAATTTTTTTTTTATTGATTATTTATATTATCATATCCTATGATTATACATTATAACTACATAGAATATTACATATTAATAATGTTTTGATGTAAAACATTTTAATATATTAAACAATAAAGTATTTACTAATAAAACTATTATTTGATTTCGACACAAAGCGTTTAAATGATTTTAATTTCTAAACACCGCAATCATTGAGCGAATATTTTTATTAACAGTACTCCACCATATTCACTGTGTGCTGACGTTCATTATGAACGAATGATGGAGCTTTTCGATAGAAAAGGATATTTTTGTCCTACTGTAGACGATATTCAAAATGCAGTAAAGAGCTCTTTAAAGGTAAAAAAAAATTACTTACTAATGGAATCTGTTGTATTTTACCTCATAGGTAACAGATGCACCAAGTCTTATAAATATACTAATCAATCCAACTGCTGAACGCAAAGAACAAAAATTCGGGTGGCTGACAGAATCAAAGCTTTAATATTATATTTTTATGATAGATGATTGTTGAATAATGGATAAAAGTTTGTACTAAATTTAAGAAAATATTTTTATTAAAAAAAAATATAATATGAAATCTATTATATATGAAAATAGAATTTTTTAGATTATTTATTTATAAATGCCATTAGTTTTTGAGTAATAGTGTCCACTGTTAAAGGCACTGATTGAATTATATCTGTATTATTATCTTCATCAAGTAGATCTAGTAACTCATCCACTTTTACTCCTCTTTTTTTAAGAATGTGACAGAAAGTCAGGTTGCAATTATTTATTGAATTGTTCAAAGGCCCATCCTCCTTTATTATTTCTTTTATTATTCTGAATTCTTGTTTGCTATAAAAAACAATAAATGAAAGAAGTATTAGTTGAAACAATGAATTGTAATTTTACTTGTATCATTAGTAAATGTTACAATACATTTTTTCGGACATGATTGCAATATTTTCTAAAGTTTCAGCAGTTTCTATTTGTACTTCTGTTATTGATTTGGTGGACATTCTTGATAATTAACAAAAAAGTTTGAATTATCAAAAATCAACATTTATAATCGGTAAATGTAATACTCAGTTGCTATTTTTACGCGCAGTCTAAGTCGAAAGTTTGATGTTTCGTAGTTATGCCACTAGAGGCATTTAACACGCTACCAGGTGGCGCATGGTGACATGACATTTAGTTTCACCACCAGACGGCGCACAAGACTGGTAGTCTAGGCAACGAAAACTGTTTGAAATCACTTGAGACTTGGATGTCAACCAGTGCACACCGTGTATTTTTTGCTCTGTTTTTTTTTTGAAAATACAAGTGAAGTTTCAATTTTATGCAACATTTGCATAATCAAAACGCAAAAGCGAACATTGATAAGTGAGTGTTTGTAAGAGAAAAAGTTTAATTTGTACAGTTGAGGTCAAGTGAACGAACAATGTCAAGTTGGAGTGCCGAAAATAGTAAAGGGATAATCCCTCCACGATGGTTACACTGTCCTCGAAAAAGTATAGGATTAATAAATAATAAATTTCTTGCATTTAAAACACCACTATCAGAAGCATTTAATAGTCAAGTTTCTGAAGAATGTCGTTTTTCTGTAAACATGTTGTTTGCATCATTAAAGAGTCAAAGACTGAAAATGGGATTACTAATAGATTTGACAAATACTAACAGATTTTATAATAAAGCTGATGTCGAAGCCCACAGTTGTCATTACTACAAACTTCAATGTCGAGGTCATGGAGAAACTCCCACCATAAAACAAACAAAAGTTTTTATTGAAATTTGCAAAAATTTTATTGCACAAAATCCATCGGAGATTATTGGAGTCCATTGCACCCATGGTTTCAATAGAACTGGGTTTCTTCTGATAAGCTACTTAATTGAAAGTGGGACATTTAATTTGGACGCTGCTGTTAATGAATTCTCATCTATTAGACCTCCTGGAATTTACAAGGAAGACTACATCAAAGAGTTATACAGACGATATGATGATGAGAGTTATGCACCGCCTGCACCACCAAGTCCAGCTTGGTGTTTGGAATACGACGACTCCAGAGGGGACGAGAAAGAACATGAACAATTCGGAAGTAGGAAACATACCCGAAGACGTAAGGAACATATTGTTAAAAATCCAGTTTTTATGGCTGGAGTTCCTGGTGTGGTACCTGTACAAGATTTAGTTAAAGTTGCAGGAATTCAAAAAAGAGTTCAAGAAATGTGCCAATGGAATAGAAATGGCTTCCCTGGTTCTCAACCAGTCTCCATGGATTGGGAGAATATTGTTTTACTTAATATCAAACCATATAGAGTATCATGGAAAGCTGATGGTACTAGATACATGATGCTAATCCAAGCAGATAATGAGGTATTCTTCATTGATCGAGATAATAGTGTCTTCCAAGTGTCTGGATTGGTATTTCCACACCCTCGAGATCTTTCAAGAAATCTGAAAGATACATTATTGGATGGCGAAATGGTCATTGATAAAGCAAATGGTACCGAATATCCTAGGTACTTAGTTTATGATGTAATTATGTATGACGGGAACGATGTATCTAAAAAATCATTTTTTCCTGATCGATATACCATCATCGAGAGAGAAGTAATGGGAGGCCGATATAGAGCACTAAAAGAAAGTAGAATATACCGAGAACAAGAACCTTTTTCTGTCCGACAAAAGCAATTTTGGGATATCACACAAGTCAACAGTTTGTTGAGTGAAAAATTCACCAAACAATTGGGTCATGAACCAGACGGATTAATCTTCCAGCCTTCAAAGGAGCCTTACATCTCTGGAACTGCAGCAGAAGTCTTAAAATGGAAGCCATTGTCATTGAATTCTGTAGATTTTAAATTAAAAATAGTCGTTGAATCAGGTATGGGTATTGTACCCAGAAAAATAGGTCATTTATATGTTGGAGGCTTAAAAAAACCATTTGATTACATAAAAATTACTACAGAAATTAAAGATTTAAATAATAAAATAATTGAATGTAAATTTGAAAATGGGCATTGGGTGTTTATGCGTCAAAGAACGGATAAATCATTTCCCAATTCTTTCACCACTGCTCAGTCTGTTTGCCAAAGTATTAGAGCACCTGTTACTTCGGAAGATTTATGTGATTATATTGAGAAATATAAATTTAAAGATGATTCTGATTGTTTGCCTCCACCATATAAACGACGTAGATAACAATTGATAGAAAAATTAGAAAATTAATCATGTTAAAATTGTATTTTTTTTAATGTTAACTGTTAGCTTCATAATTTGTAAATGTTACTTATTATTAAATTAATTTAATATTTGTACAGAAATTGTATTTTCTTGAATAATCTATTTTTTCAAGATAGATTGTAAATTAGATTTATTGGAAATTATATTAAAGACTGGAATGCATGTGTGATATGAAAATGATAGTAATTGTACTATAATATTTAATAGCTTCTTTTGTAAAAATTAAAATGTACTATGTATATTAATTTAATAATTTATTTTTGTTAAATGTCATTTTTTTAATTTAAATTAAATTTTTTTACGTAGAGTTTTTAAAGACTGGAATGCATGTGTGATATTGTAATAATAGTAATTATATTGTTATATGTAAAAATGTACTGTATACATATATCTATTTTTTTGAATTGAATAAAATTTGTTATATCGATTTTTCCTATAAAAATAGCATTTCTTCATTTAATTACCTTTCATAGACATAAGTACATAGTAATTAGTTATTAAGAATGATTAATTTAAAAAAAAACTAAATTCAAAAATATATACTTCAAAATACTTAAAATTACTCATGTCTCGTTATTTACTCCACAATTAGCATCTATATTAATAACATTTATCAATAATGTTAATAAAATTTTAACACTCAACTCTGATTTAATAATATTTCTAGACATGAGTTATTAGTTATTAAGAATAAGAAAATTAAGAAAAAAGAATTTTTAAGACATAAGTTTATATTAATTAGCTATTAGTTATTAAAAATTATTAATTAAAAACAAAATTTAAAAATCTATATCCTTATATATTAACAATTAATACGGGCAATTGGGAATTTCCCATGCTTTGTTATTCTGTACCTGGGTATTTTTCATTCCAGGTAGGCAAATATTTACCCTTAATAGCTATAACCACCTGTCGAATCTTTAAGAGTGCAATAAAATTAATAATAAAATAGAATTAGAAAGTTAGGATAGTAATGTACTTGCGCTCTTTTAAATAAGGATTAAAAAGGGATTTTAAATTGTCATGCGGGTACTACAAAATAATCAAAGTTCTCCATTAGATTTAGGATGATTTATACTTGTATGATAGGTACTGTTGCACAGAAAATTAAAACTGACTATTTTAGTCGTTTTAATCCTTATTCAAACGATTTTAAGTATATTATTTCTTCGAATGTTTTAATTCTACTTCATTTTATCATCTCAGTGTTGATGATTATAAAAAATTGATGCTTTTCAATCAATAATACTCTAAATCTGTACACAATTAACACAAATTAACAATAGATTAGAATCAAAAATGTAGAATAATATTCGACTTTAACGCTTTTGAAGAAGAATTAAAACGACAAAATCGTTTAAAAATTTTTGAATTCATATAACGGTATTATAAAATAGTCAAACTCATGGTTTAGATTTGTAATTGGCTTTATACTTTTATAAAAAGTATTTCAATAAAAAAAAAATTAAAACTGACTATTTTGTAGTGCCCGCATGAAAGATCCTTATTTTTAATTTTATTGCACTTTCAAAAGTTCTAGAGGTAATGGTAGTTGTAAAGGGTAAAGGGCAAAAGTTTGCCTACCTGGGCTGAAAAATATAATTTTAAATTCCACTTCAGAAACTTAGAGAAGTGAAAAATTAATTACTTTTAATTTTCTTTTTCAGATCGCACAGTTCATTTGTGGTGTACGAAGGATCTTTTGCTTTGCTTTTCCTTATATTTTTAACATTTACTGAAGATGAACTCCAAATGTTTATTAATTCAACTAATTTACCATTTTTACCAACTCCAATGGGAAAAGGTGTTATTTCTGATTTGGATCCACATTGTGTTTCAAGTGCAAGAACAACTGCTTTACTTCATGCGGATGTTATACTTTTATTGGGAGCTAGATTAAACTGGATGCTCCATTTTGGTCGACCTCCACGATATCAAAGTGACGTTAAAATCATACAGGTTCAACTATTTCATGATCTGTTGATAAGTATAATTAAAAAGTTTATTAATATATAATGGAAATTTTATTTAAATTGAATGCAGGTAGAGATATGTGCAGAAGAATTACATAATTCAGTTACATCAGAAGTTGCTATTCAAGCGGACATAAGATGCCCTTCAAAGCAAGAATTTTTATTTTGGTCAAGAAGAAGACTGGTGGACTCAATTAGAAAAAGCTGGAAGTGAAAATAAAATGAAATTACAGCAATTATCATCAGATATATCAGTTCCACTGAATTATTACACCGTTTTTAAACATATTCAAGATGTTTTACCTACTGGTATTTTATTGCCATTTACCAATATCGTTATTGAAATTAATTATATTTTAAAAGTCAATAATAACTATTTCTTAATTATATTTACATTTTTAGACTGTATTATTTGTTCGGAGGGTGCTAATACAATGGACATTGGTCGATCTATACTTTTAAATTTACATCCTCGCCATAGGCTTGATGCAGGAACATTTGGAACCATGGGTGTGGGTTTAGGATTTGCAATAGCTGCAGCATTACATTGTAAAGATTTTTCTCCAAAAAAACGAGTTATTTGTGTTGAAGGAGACAGTGCATTTGGATTCTCAGCGATGGAAATTGAAACAATGTTCAGGTAAGCTTAATGTACTAATTTGATAATTCAATCTATTTTGAATTCTGCTTAAAAAATTATATTACAATTAAAGGTATAAACTTCCGATAATAATAATCATAGTTAATAATAATGGAATCTACGGAGGTTTTGACAAAGAAACCTTTAATCAAATTCAGAATCAAGGGCCAACAATATTGTAAGTTTATTAAAATTACGAATTGAAAATACTTTAATTAAATTAATCATTGAGCGAATATTTTTATTAACAGTACTCCACCATATTCACTGTGTGCTGACGTTCATTATGAACGAATGATGGAGCTTTTCGATAGAAAAGGATATTTTTGTACTACTGTAGACGATATTCAAAATGCAGTAAAGAGCTCTTTAAAGGTAAAAAAAAATTACTTACTAATGGAATCTGTTGTATTTTACCTCATAGGTAACAGATGCACCAAGTCTTATAAATATACTAATCAATCCAACTGCTGAACGCAAAGAACAAAAATTCGGGTGGCTGACAGAATCAAAGCTTTAATATTATATTTTTATGATAGATGATTGTTGAATAATGGATAAAAGTTTGTACTAAATTTAAGAAAATATTTTTATTAAAAAAAAATATAATATGAAATCTATTATATATGAAAATAGAATTTTTTAGATTATTTATTTATAAATGCCATTAGTTTTTGAGTAATAGTGTCCACTGTTAAAGGCACTGATTGAATTATATCTGTATTATTATCTTCATCAAGTAGATCTAGTAACTCATCCACTTTTACTCCTCTTTTTTTAAGAATGTGACAGAAAGTCAGGTTGCAATTATTTATTGAATTGTTCAAAGGCCCATCCTCCTTTATTATTTCTTTTATTATTCTGAATTCTTGTTTGCTATAAAAAACAATAAATGAAAGAAGTATTAGTTGAAACAATGAATTGTAATTTTACTTGTATCATTAGTAAATGTTACAATACATTTTTTCGGACATGATTGCAATATTTTCTAAAGTTTCAGCAGTTTCTATTTGTACTTCTGTTATTGATTTGGTGGACATTCTTGATAATTAACAAAACAAGTTTAAATGATTAAAAATCAACATTTATAATCGGTAAATGTAATACTCAGTTGCTATTTTTACGCGCAGTCTAAGTCGAATGGAAAATACATTGCCACGATATAATGCTAGATGGCGCAATCGTTAAATTCTTAAGCACTCAGCGATTATTCTCTTTCTCTGCTGATGCTCATACTATACATTGGTACAACTGTTTAGTTCGACATAAGTTTGCGTGAGTTATGTTCATTTTTTCGAGTATAAGAGAGTATTTTTGGAGTATATTTATTAATTTATTGTGATGTTGACATAATTGTTGATGAAAATTGATAAATAGTTGAATAATAGATATAGTAGATATTGATTAGTAAATAAACTTTTATAATAGGTAGACAAAATCGTATTTTGTGTACTTTATTTGGTAAGCATTTTCTAACCTCTAAATTTGTTAAATAATTGGATAATTTTCTTAATTATAAAATAATTGTAAATTTTCAGTAAAAAATGGATCGTGAATCAAATTCAAAACTTCGACGGAGTCCATTCCATGAACGTTCGAGGAGGGAGATTGATCGGTATCATCAAGACAAGAAAAATAAACGCAATAGATATGAATCAAGGCATAGAAGCTTGTCTGATAGTGAACATAACGACTATGAAAGACGTAGAAAAGATGATCGAGAAAATAGGAAAAGACGGAGATCAAGAAGCCCTCGTAAAAATAAAGAACAAAAAAATTCTCCAAAGATACAAGAGGAGGAGGATAAAGAGTTGGCCAATATTACACCAGCACAGAAAAAAACGGTAGATTTACTTACTTCAAAAACTGGAGGAGCATATATTCCTCCAGCTAAATTGAGAATAATGCAAGCAGAGATAACGGATAAATCATCTGCTGCATATCAACGTATTGCATGGGAGGCTCTCAAGAAATCTATTCACGGTTACATCAATAAAGTTAATACGAGTAATATTGGATTGATTACAAGAGAATTATTACGCGAGAATATTGTAAGAGGACGTGGTTTATTAGCACGATCAATTATTCAAGCTCAAGCTGCTTCGCCAACTTTTACACCAGTTTATGCAGCTTTGACTGCTGTTATTAATTCCAAATTTCCCAATATCGGAGAATTATTATTAAAACGATTAGTTATTCAATTTAAACGAGGCTTTAGGAGAAATGACAAGCCTTTATGTATTTCTTCTGGACTATTCATAGCACATTTAGTTAATCAAAGTGTCGCTCATGAAATTTTAGCTTTAGAATTACTTACTTTACTAATCGAAACTCCAACAGATGATTCAGTAGAAGTAGCTATAGCATTTTTAAAAGAATGTGGTATGAAACTTACCCAAGTTTCAAAAAAAGGAATTGAATCAATTTTTGAAATTTTAAGGAATATCCTTCATGAAGGTCAGTTGGATAAAAGAGTCCAGTATATGATTGAGGTAGTATTTCAAATTCGAAAAGATGGATTCAAGGATCATGTGGCTGTTAGTGAAGAATTAGATTTAGTTGAAGAAGAAGATCAATTTACGCATACAATAGAATTGGCCCAATCTATTGATGGCGAAGATATTTTGAATGTATTTAAATTTGATACAGATTATGTGAAAAATGAGGAAAAATATAAAGAAT